AGACAGACTGTTAACATCTCAAGACAAGATCTAAAAGGGAGCACAGCTGATGTTGGCAAATCTGTGACAGCATTCCCAGAACAAATGAACTGAGACACTGGGGAATAATGCCAACAAAAAAGCCAGATATCCCCCACAGTTGGTAAAGTTGCAGAACTCATTCTGGAAATTGAAGTTCTAAATCCTACTTGGCATTAGATGATACCATGATAATGTCAGCATATGATATTCTCCTCTAAATACATTGTAATTTGCTAGGTTTCATATTGTACAATACCAAAATATTAAAGAGACAAGTAATAATAATTATTTATTCATTTATTAAGTGCAAATTTCATATAGATATGTTCAAATGCACTGTACAATGAAGACATTAAGCGTGGAACAATGAATACATTTAAACATGGTTGAGCTGATGGCATACAAGGGTGCCTCAGGCAGCCGCCAAATGACCCACAGTCACCAACATCAGTAAAGGGGAGACAGTAAGAAGTAGGACAGTTTCAGAGGTGGGAGGAAAACCCCAGAGGAACAGTCTGGGTAAAACGTACAGAGTCAGGTAGGGACTGAAAACCCAATCCACATGTGGACCGGGCCGGGAATCAAAACCAGGACCAAAGAGGTGGAAGGCAAAGAAAGAACTACTTTGCCAACCCCACTCCCAATGTAACAGCAAGATCATTTTCTTGTATTTTTTTTCTCAATCTGCATCTTTCCTCACACACTACTGATGATTCTTCCCCACAACTTCAATGATTTAAATCATATAGCATTTTTTTTACCTCACTTTGCTGCAATATGTACCAAATTTCTTCAAACCTAAGTGGAGAACCTAACCTCACCTATTTGGATGGGAAAAACTGCCTCAGAGAAAAAGACTTTATGTAGGATTTTCCAAAACCTCAATTCCATGAATCTGGAAGTGAGTGGTTTTGAAACCATAGAACATAAAATTTACCAGGCCAGGCAGCCAAGACTGAACCTAGCCAACTCGACCAGTTCTCCGCTGACTCAAAGCCAGGTGCACCATGCTGAACAATCTACCAGAGCCTGCCATGTACAACTTCCTGTTTTTGGCTCCCTCGATAAGAGGACAGGATGGATTTTTTACTGGCGAGCTTTTCTGTGGACACACCTGCTTTTCCTGCAAACAACATTTTTCAATTTCCACATGAATGGGGGACTTGGGCTGGGTGATCGAAGGCACTCTTTTTTTTCTATTTCTTCTTCTTTAGGGAGGTTGCCTGGTAACCATGCAATTTGGCATTGGTTGAAGAAAACAGATGGAAATGAAAGGTGGCGGATGTGTGCTACATACATGTACATGTGCTCTTAACTTTGAGGAATATTCTTGTTGTGTATCACGATGACAAAACAGTCACTTGGCAAGTGTACTATGATTCCTGAACAGCAATTATTGCAAATTACCTAATACTGCACATCTTTACCAAATTCATTATCAATTATTATCAGTTCTTCACTGATATTGCATTTCTTTGAAAAATGGAGGAAAAAAAACACCGTTTCATGAACATTAATTCCAATTTCCTGCAAAATTTAAGTATAATTTTAAAAGCTGACCGTTAATACATATACATGTAGCTGGACCACTTTTCTGTATGGCTGGCTCAAGTAAATGTTTCATTGCTACCAAAGCAATGTACTCCTTGCATCCTGGATACTTGCGCAGCCTGTGATTTCACTGCTTCAAATTTAGTGCTGTGGCTCAACTCGCGCACGACATCAGTGCAGGACTGTCGTAAATGAAGTGCCGGGGTGATATTAGGATCTAGGGAATAACTACGACCTGACACGCTTCACAAACATGCTCAATGAATGGAAAATGAAAAATACCAGAACAGGGGTGGAAATCCTTAACTTGCTCACTGGGGGCTCCATGGAGAGCCCCAACTTCTCTGATGGAAGTCACTGCATTGTAAGCCTCTGTTCAAGATTTTTTTTCCACTCTGTGGCCTATGAATGGGTATATCATAAAGTTTACCACTAGCCTCCTCTATATGTATCATATTATCTTTACATCACTAAAAGGGGATGGGCCATGTAGGAATAAATTGACGTTACATGATACTTTTCAACGGTCTTATATACAATAAGTTGGATTAGCCCCTCATTTATGTCATTAAATCAGCAAACATTGGCATTTCCTGTGTGCTTCTTTCAGTCTCCCCCCCCTCAGGCAGCAGACAAATCTTAGGACAAAGGACAGACTTAACTTTCCAGACCAGAATGCATAGTTCCGGCAAGATCAGTCCGTGCAAGAATAATAATTGCTCTCAGCTCTGGCACGTAGTCAGGTATATAACTCGTATGTGTCAAGTCAACAACACTTGGTCTTGTTTCCTATGCCCTTCTCTTAACATGGGGCAGAGTTATCGGACAACTAACTTGACACGTCGCATTCATTTTGTTTCACATCGTGTCGTACACATGCAATAATTTCTATCGTGAATTGTGAATTTCGAAAGAATGCCGATAAACTGTGTTAATGTGTTGTCGGTTTTGTGACGTCTTTTCAGAGAGACAATGTTTATATTGGTGCATGAAAGAATCATTACCAAGTCAGTGTTTTGTAGTCGATCCTCTAGGCCACTGCCATACCCGTGGCCAACAGCCTCGAGTTGTAAAATCTCTTCCTGAGTGTATTCTGGTTCGAACTGATAAGGCAATTATTTCTTATGCCTCATCAGCTCCTTCAATGTCTCTTTCTTCGTCAAATAAATAAGACGAACATGACAACTGATCACTGTCATGATCGGAAAAAGCATGGAATTATCGTCGCTTGAGTCTGACATGATGGCAAGCTAATGCTAACGCTACTGCATTGTACATGTCGACACGTCGTTGCGTAACAGTAAACAGTCACCGGATAAAGGACCTCATCCTATGATGTCACAATTCTTGGGAATTTCTTCAGACAACTTTCGGTACCCGATGGCTGTTGTTTAGCTTTTGCTCCAAGAAAAGCGTGAAATAGGGTTGTGAAAACTATAATTTTTAACATATTTCCGTGCATTTTGAAATTATGCAGATGTGTTTTCTTGTTACATGTATTTTGTTTTATGTCTTGATACATGTTTTATAAGAAATCTTCCCAGCACGGTCTATCCCCTTTAAATCAGAATTTCAATTTGAGCGGCAATATTGATAATGACAAAATACTAAAATTTACATCGTGAAAAGTGCATTATTCAGTATGGTGTCAGATTTTGTTGCAAGGAGGTAGTGCCTTTACACAACAAGCAGCTCAAAACAATAAATACTCCAAATAAATGACAGTTAGCATCCACGGGAAGAACTGGGCCGTTTTCCAATACTCAACTCCGGCTCCGTCTCAGGCGTCACCTGTTTTTAACTAGCTGACTTTGAAGCTGTAAGCGCAGTAATTAGTCTAATAGTGCCACAAAACATCAAATAAGATGCAAGAAAGCCAGGAATTACAGTAATCCAATTTAATTTAAACGCTTCAGGCCCACAATCGGGGATTAATTTTGGGAACGAAGCCTGAGACGGAGCCCAAGTCGAGCATTGGAAAAGGGCCCTAGATCCATGCTTGATGAAAAACTCGTACTGGTACAGGTGCAATATTAAATGTACCATACATAAAAAAGATGTAAACCAAAACTGACAGAGATCATACATGTGCCCCAGTTTTAACAGCCAGGTCAATTTCAAGGACTTTTACTTTAGGCTAACCTCCAACTCCATTTTCCAAAAGGGTGGAAAATGACTAACAACATCAACAGGGAGTTAGCTGGAAAAGGTCAACACTTGTTTGTTGTCGCAACGAAGTTGAAGTCAACATTCTGAGGACTCCCCGGAAGGAAGCCCCTTCCTTGGATCCATATGCCATCACTAAAACAACAACCCGCTCCAGCTGAATAACAACTCACTTTTCAGAGTCAGTTTCTTCAAATTCACTCATGTACTTTGAGTGGGCAAAGGCCAATAAATTTAGCTATATACCCTTGCATGCAGTGTCTCAGGAAATTTCAATAGATAAGCTGAATCATTGCCTTAGATGAATATGACCACAGTGCAGTTTTTTTTTTCTTTTTTTTTTTGGTGTAATGCTATCAGTGTGAGTCGGTTGTAACCAACAGACTTACAAAATGAATGACTTGAGGAGCATGTATGAAACATGCACCATGACATTGGAATGCACTTCAGCCTTTTCTTTTTCTTTTAATTATTTTGTAAAGAAATCTATATAATCTACTGATTTGGCTCTGTTTTGAGAAGAACCCCTCCGTTCCAGTGGTCCAAGCCTACCACTGTATCTCTACCAGCATCAAGGGTACCAAATGACTGTGTGAAGAAAAGCACGTCCACCACATGGTTAGGCTGCATGCAATACTCCCGAAACACCTGTCACACGACAGCTGCCAAGACATGACAGAGTGTAGCAACCGCATCCAAACGAAAGTCTGGACTTTACGAGCGCCTATAATCTCCGAACTCCTGAGAGGAAGGGAATCCTCCTCATAATCCTGATGCCAATTTGACTACTAGCTGCAGCATTCCTTCTGAATGCCTGACAGACCTGGAGAAGTCTTCTGCTTCACACAAGTTCACAATTACCCTTCACCATCGATCTTCAAGCTGGTGAAATATTAGAGTTATCTACATGTACAGTAGGTGTGAGGAGAGTGGTTTAAGTGTGGGTGGGCAGGGCTTACAGGCATACGCCCCTTATAAGCTCCTACTACGCATCCCTACTGTGGCTTCCTTTCGTAAACAGCAATATCACGTTGCCAACGGCAGCCAGTTACACCCCAGGGCCCTCTTTCCCAAGATGATGATGACTCCCTCCACGATAAGAGTGTTCTCCAGAAGTCAAGCATTCTTCAGTGGATGTCTATAAACAGTTTGCTAATACATACCAAATCTTATTGCTTAATGTACCGCGTCTAATTGAAGCCCTCTATCTGATATTTGACAAGTGACTGTGCATATTTACGATTGGTCATTCGACAGCTCACCCGATTTAGACTGTACAGCTCCTCCAGATTGGCTTGCATTTCTTCACACCTCTTAGCTTTCTGAAAAACCAACAAAAGACAAGGAATCGTTGTTGACAACTGCACCACCTCATTCAGAGTCCAACCTGGTGCTTCAAACTGCCGTTTAGCAAATGGGAAGACCTCGAGGGGGATAATTGCAGTGGTTTCTATGGGTCTGCATTTCAAAACATTTCTCTTCTCTACACAGCTTTTTGAGTATGGATTTGCTGTCCGATATTTCATTAGCTCAGACCTGTCAGTTTGACCTCCCAAAATTGCACAACAATAAAAGCACCAAGGGGATTTCTTAAACATTAAGGTAAACATTCTAATTTTAACTTGTGGGCAATAAATGTAATATATATATGTAATCTCATGAAAGCCAGATTGAATAGTGAAGCTTTTCCCATATAAAATAGTAGGACGAGATAAACCACATTTAAACTAATAGATAGTTATGCACAATGGCAAAGTACAAACAAATCGGCAGTGTAAACAGTCAGAAAGAAAGTCAATTAAAACATCAAAGGTATTAAGGGCAGACATTATTTTGTACCTCTGCCAATTCTGCATTCTTGACCTCCAGATGCGTCTCAGTCTCTTCGCTTCGGTGCTGAATTTCAAGGGAAAAAAGGAGCGATTCATGGTACATGCACGTACAAATTATTAACTTTGTCGCTAATGCAGTACTTCATTTAATTAAACTTAAAGCATTTGGAAGGTATGTTGGACCATACATTGGTCTAAAATGAACAAATAAGCATAAGAAAACACTGAACAATATGTTCAGCTGTGCTTGTCAACAGACTGAACATGAAAGAATTTAAGGTAACTGTAATCTGCATCCTGGCAGCGGCAACAAACTTTATTATCTTTCGTCATTTTACATGATGATGATCGTTGATTAAAACCAACCGTCTTGACTGTTAATGCTCTTTAGAAATGTCAGAATGAAAGTACATGTACCTTGTATTCCTGGAGGACAATCTGTAATCGGCGGTGTTCCTCTTGCATGGAGTCTGCGTCGGCTAAAGAAATGCTCAGCTGTTGAATCAATCAATGAAAATTTACTCCACACTCAGCGCCACTTGTTGTGCCCTCATTTTCAAACACTCAGGCTCACCACTATCAGGTGCTTCATTAACCCCAGCAGTCCTCAAGCCTTCACCTGTTGGAGCTGAGGTTTGAGGACTGCTAAGATTAATAAATTACCTCTTCATTGAGACATATTCAGATTGACATTTATTTGCGTTGGGGGGAGGGAAATTTTTTTTTTGTAAACTCTAGAAAATTTCAAAGGAGGAGGCATGGATTTTTATATAATGATGCTTTAAGAATGTTCTTATGTTTCATTGGATTCAACTCATAAAAATGTAAAGGGAAAAAGTCGAAAAACGAAACAAATTCCAGATATTATAGAACACACTACTGTTGAACCCTGGCTATTTCTTATGTGCCCAACTAGCTGTCATTACAGACACTACAATGAATGAGAAGCTCCATGGATGATATACCTCCTCATCACAAATATCTTCTAAGTGATGAGTTCTTTTTTTTTTCCCTTTAATGTTTTAATTGGCCAACGTTTTTTTCCTCAAAAAAGAGGAGGTTTGCTTTTGATCACATCTAATGATCCCAGGAATATTATTTACCAGTGGAAAGAAATTCTAAAACATGTAAAACCAAAATTCCAAATATTTGTGAACGCACGTCTGAATTCTGAAGCATAACGAAGTTGAATGCTGGCAAAGCGGCATCACAAAATTGTGGACAACAATATCAAACGTACCTGTTCCTCCACAGCTTGCAATTTGGTCTCCAGTGCTTGTTTCTTGTTGGCCTGAAATTAAATTCAACAATTCTCAGGTGGCACTGTGAACTCTTTCAAGAACTTTTTTGTCAAAGAAATCTCTGGGAAGTCTTTCAAAGACAGAAAGGAACTTCTGAATGGTAACTACCCCCTCTTGCTCATCAAACTTGGCAGTCTTTACCATCTCCCAGATAATGATGGCGTGCAAAGGCTTTGTCTAAGGATGAATCTTTATTGACACACACACACACGCCATTCTGCTCACTTTAGAGTTACAATTTTGTTGTCCGTTTTTTAGTCTGCTGTAAAGGAAAGAAAGGTCTGTTTTACCTCTGCCTGAAGGTCGACCAATTTTTCATCGAGTTTACGTTTGTCCTTCTCCTGGTTTAGGGGAAAAAATCACACCATAAGGAACTTTCCAAATTTGTATACATTGTGTTTGTAATAAAACGCTTATTAAACGACAGAGAATGTAAGCCTTGTAAGCCTGCACATTTCATGGGCAGGGAGAAATTTTGGTAGAAAAATTGCTGCGTCAAAGTCCCAGGGTAGCAGGATGCCTGCATCTGTTTAGACATCACAATGCATGCATGGGGGGAGAGGGCAGGGTGGCTCATTACATCAGCATGACTTCCTTTGTAAATTAAACACCACTTCAAGTCTGGAGGGTGCTAATCCATTCCATAGACACCCAACCCCACAACCTACCACTGTTGGATTTTTTTCAAACCTCTCTGCAGTTTGAGTGTGAATCCTGTGGCCCATGTGTACATGTACATGCAAGTTGCAAAGTAATAGAATTCATAATAAGGTACCAGGTACATTTAATTATTAGCGCATTAAAGTTTTAATTAGGTTGGTTATGGTTTTTGTGTGAACCCACAAGGCAGCTTAAAGTGTTTAAAGTTTAGGGGGCCAGCTGCTCTTGCTGAGAGTATGCCAAGCTACAGTGCCGGTAGTTAGAAAAAAAATGAATAAACCTTACTAATAAGGCAATGTTGTATCAATTGATATAGAGCATTCTGAACTTTTATCTGAACTCTCTGCCACATGACAAACCTTGACCCAGACCTGGCTTGTCCCTTAAAATACATGTAGCTTTTGCAAATAGAATAAATCAACTGCAAGATGAGAAGAATACTACCGGCCAAGCACATATTTATTCCAATTCATAAATACTTTTTTTACTAAGAGAGTTGAAAGAGTCCATACATGATAGATTTCAAATGATTTTGTTCCAGAATTTTACTTTCATTTTCCCAAGCTTCCCTGTCCATTTTACGGTAAATTCCTTGTGCAAGCTGTCCAAACAAATCTCCTTATACAGGCAATTCCATGAAGAAGTGGACAAAGTTAAAAAATGGAAATTTAACATAACTTCAGAACTAAAAATGTCACAACCCCAAATGTGATGTCAAATCAAAGAGAACTCGAATATCTTTTATATGAGTGGTGTATCATTGAGATTTGATTCAATTGAGTGCTTTTTGGGGTGTTAAAAATCTGTTTGGGGGCAATAATCATTGATATTTTGCACCCATGTTGGCACAGTGCTTTGATGTGGTAAACGTGCTAAGATTTTTGGTTATTACTTAAAAGTGATTAGAGAAATTCAGAAATGATATCTGTCAAAAACATTTTTTATTCAGTAATCAATTGAAGAAATACAGGTGCCATGTTTTCATTATCCCACATGTTTTATTCCTGTCCATTTTTGTAACATAACTAACCAAAATTAAATGTCAAATTACACATCACAAAACAAGAGACACCAAATTTCCAAATGGCTGTGTTAGGGAACCTGTTAAGATGTATTGATGGTTCCAATATGGAGAACTAATCCCAACAAATGACGATGTGGGATCCCAAACTGTCATGCAACAGTTCTTAAAATGTAACGAAACTAATCATGGAATTGCCCATATGGACTTGGCGCGCGCGTAAAGAGCCACGTGCACACAGACTCTTGACCAATCAAAATCAATTGAAATATCTCGTATCCAGGTGCCAGCGCGTGATTTACACAGCAGGCATTATCACTTCTCAGCCGGTATTATAACATGTTAACACACAGTCAAGTTGCAAGTTGTTGAATAGGGAAACCGTCTGAGGTATTTACAAATAAGCATTAATTTGAGTTTGTCTTTAAGCTGCAGTGACTCTTCCAGCATGACTTTCATTATGAGTAAGTAGTCGCCTTTTTCAGAATTTCAAAAGAACTTTTGGCGGGAAAACTAGATTTGTACCGTCAACAATATAAACAAATTATCACACAATACAGGCGATTCACAATAGTGAGCCTCCAAGAGTTTGCAATGCGTTGGCCCATCAGAGAGTACGAAATCTGTCGACCTAATTGTTGTTTGGAAAGAGTCAACAGATTTCGCGCGTTGTGCTTTGTCAATGCATTGCAAACTCTTGGAGGTGCACTACTGTAAATCACCCATTTTGAAAAAAATTAATAAAGCTGTTGTTTAAATATCAATTTGGAGTGACAAAGTGAAGAGCTGCCTATTACAACATTAAATATCTCATACCAAGTGTACATTAATGTAAACAATGTAATTTCAAGTAATGACATAGGAAAAACTTGGACAACCTTAATTAATTTAATTTCCCTCCACAAACCTGGTCAAGTATGGTAAGCTTCCATGAAATGCATCTAGCTAGAGAGAAGTCCTATTTAATTCTGATCACTGCTGTGGCTTGCCAGAATCCTCAATGTCATGATGAAGAACCTTAATCCCAGTGGTTACAAATGAAAGTCTCTCTTGTATCCTCATTGGGAAAATGTCTGCAGGATTATTCCCGCAATGATCTCAACAGGTGTGCGTGCACGTGAAAGTCTGCAAAACACGTCAGACTTTAACACGCAAGCAAACATTCTTGGTAAGAAGGAAATCGGTTGCTTAGCGAAACCATCACAGTTTTAGACTTGGTTTGCTCTGTTGTTGCTGTGAGCTTTGAAATGGCCAATTCAAAGCACAAGCTAGTTTGCTGTCATCAGTTGAGCAAACATTTCAAAGCACACTCACGTTTTTTTTGTCTGCTAGATCCTTCTTACATTTAAAAAAAATGACTTCTTAGCCTTTACTAGAGTATTTTGGCAGTAGATACTTGACAATGACAATCTCTGCATTTCTTTTAAGGGCACAGCTACCTACAGCTGCAGTATATCCAACAGAATTTCAAAGAAACTCACAAACTCAATTTACATTCCTCTGATTTACAGATCCAAAAGCAGTTGTTTCCATAAAAAAATAACACCCAAAGCCCCCATCCCATAAAATGAGTGGTGAGAAGGGCTGATGGCGACTAGTTTTAATGCCAAGAATTCCAAACACTGAAAAAAAACTAAGAACTCAACATACCAGTTGTGCATGCTTCTTCTGCCATTCCTTGTTAGTCAACTTCAATTCTTCGTTTTCATCTCGAATAGATTGGCTCCGGTTCCACGCTTGCTGTAAGCTTGGATAGGATATGTCAAACCAACAATACACACTTTAGCACTGCTCCCATTTAAAGATGTTTCCAAAGTGAGCAAAGCTCTTTTATAATCCCACTACATCTTACATCAGACATTTGGCTTGAAAGATTACAGTTAACTACCAATTAAGCATCTTTATTCATATATTCAAATCAGATATTAGAATATGCAACTACTTCAAAAGTTAAAGTGTATCTTGTGGGTGACTTTCCAATTAGGTTTTGCAAGAGGACATGGGAGGTACAAACAGGGGGGCAGAGGAAACTTGGATGAAATCCCTGTCTACCTTTTCAGCTCTCCTTTCAGTGTGTCAATTTGTGACATCAGCTGCTCGTTGGCTTCATCTGTTGTCTCTATCTGCATTTGCAGCTTCATGTTATGTTCTGTCAGTTTGCGGATCTGAAACTGCAGGTCCTCGATCCGGTTCTGCAAGTCGGCCATGTCACTGTAAAATGGACAAACAAGCAAATTTAAATGGTTTGTTTCATTATTCAACTGAAATGAGGGATGGCAAGAGCTTGTTGCAACTTCCGTTCGAAATGCCAAATAAAAATATCAAAATACTTTCAAAACAAAACGATGCATTAACCCCCCCCCGAAAAAAATGAAAAGGTCAATAGAACAGCTGATAAACCTACCGCAAAGTGGTTACTGTCTGATGAGAACTGGCTTAATAAAGCTTAAAAGTACAACTCACTTTTACTAGCAGAATCTTCCTCAGGGAAAAAGCAATAATGACAGAAAATACCAGACTGCATAATATCCTGATGCAGCATTGGCCACTGGCCAAGTACTATGCTGCACCAAACTAGGTGCCAGCAGCCTGATTTCTTTCAAAGTGGTCAAAGTTTAAGATGCAGTTAGCAAAGTTATAATTACAAAGCATTTCATAGTCTGTGAGACCCATGCATGCACACGCATATATACAATGCTACCCCAAGACCCTGCACTAACAAGGTCCTATACTCACGGCTGAACATGTCTCATTCAAACCAAAACTAATCTGTCAGCAATTACACACGCTGCTTCCCTCTCTACGTACAGGCAAGTAAGAAACATATTAATGACTACACACAAAGCAACCCTGAGCTGCACTTACGGTGCGGAGTCGCCGCCCTCGGCCTCCAGACTCCCATAGCTGCATGCAGACAGGTCTAACGGAGCATCCAACAGTCCTGGGTGGCACAGTCAATGAGACAGATAGTGCATGGGATCACGGAAGGGGGGAGAAAGACTTGATTGAAACAGGAAATTGGGACTTCCCTTCTGTGTGGCCCAAATAGGACATCTGGGCAAGGTCTTACAAGCTAAACCTTGTGTTTTTTTTTTTAAATTCTTGTCCATCACGGGCAGACCGCTGAACCAGACGCAAACTACATGCGGGTCACGGAAAAGCGTGCCGGTGAATGAATCTGCCGTGAGGGACTGTAGTTCCAAATAGAGTAGATAATTTAAAGCATGTTTTAGTATCCTTGGGGTTATCAACTTTAAAAAGGACGATAAAGAAATACTAGAGCTGGTAAACAGAATAAAGAGGGCATCAAATGAGAAGGTAAGGGGTAACAAGTGGGTGAGTTAGACATTCATACTACTGCATGGGAATAACAGCACAACTTTCTTATTAAATGTAACAGGTAGGGTAAGCATGCAGCAACAGTTAGTTGAGTTTAAAAATCTGGGCAAAAGGCTGTCTGGATGTCAGATCTTGTAATCTCACAAAATTCTTTGAAAATCTTTCCTTACCACTGAAAAGATGCAAGTTCTCAGTATGTCTTGTTTTCCATTGTGCCCTGCTCCCAGTTAGAGGTGTGGAAACTGCAGGGTGGCCAAGAAATAGGGCAACGAAAATGTCAGCAAATTGGCTCCTTTAGACAGTGTATTGAAATAAAGGTGCAGTTAGCTTCAACCACGAAGCAATAGTTGTAAACCAATTATGAATAAATTCAGAAGTCACAAATGGCAGGGACGCACAAAGAAAGGCAATGACTTCTTTGAAAAGGGTCACAGAAGTCACAGACCTCACCGTGGCTTGTCCATGACCCCACCGATGGTTCATTGTTTGGCAAGGAGGAAGCGTTGCCAGGGTCGCAGACAGCAACAGCCGCAGTGTGTGTCACGATGACGAACATGTGCATGTGCATGTGCATCTGCGATAGTTTGCAGTGTTACTGCAAGTAGCCCCGCAACCCTGACTGTGCGTCATTTGGTCCACGAGGCTCGGGCTATTTCTGGCGCATACTTCATCTGAGTTTTGCAAGCATGCAGCACTAAGCACATTTTCCCCCATGATCGATGACGCAGAAATGCGACTTTCATTTTTATCATGAGGGTGCGAAGTTCAATCCCTAACTGCACCTGTTCCAGATGATGTAGTTCAATGTACATGAAGGGAAAACATGAATGCCCATCACCCTCTAAAAATAAGCTCTCCACTTAAAAGCACATTCTGCATTGAGTTCACTTTTCATGTGTTCATCACAGGTGCTGTTTTCACACAGCAAAGCATTTTTTGTTGCCTGAAAACCACGATATATAAGATCTGTGTGTGAGCCATGCCAGTTATGCTTGCCATAAAATGACACCAAAGCCAGGCTATAATCCATGCAAGCATAATGAAACACAGAGAGCATTACCAAACAGTCTCCATGACACAGAGTCATATGGAAATGCTTCATCGCAACTGATACAACCACGGAAAAAGACAATCGGCAAACGAGCAACTTTACAGACTGTTCGAGAGAAGGCCCTTTCAAATACACACCCACACATGGCAAGAAAACAATGATGTCTGGTTTACATGTAGGTAATACCAATTTTCCCATTCTTTGATTGTTTAAAATGACACCGCATTGTTACAATCTAAATGACCCTAAACAAAACACACTGAACTGAATTAGTAGTCTGACATTAAGAGGCGTTGTAACCACCACAAAAGAATTTTTATTCGCAAAGATTCAGAGTTTCAGAAGACATTTTATTAAAATGTTTTTGTGGAATGACATCATGCACTGTCTCTTTTACAACTGCCTGTATCTTGACATCTCATGTGCTATCCCCAATCATTACAACCACATGGAAACTATGATGCAATGTAGGCTTAACCAAGAGCTGGTGCTGTACATGCTCACTTCGAGCAAGCACGACACCTGCTACCGTATGTATAGCTGTATACTTAAGAGAAGCAACATCAGAGCACTGTATTCAATGTCCCCAAGCAATGTCAACTGACCATTGAGGTGATGGCCTGCACCTCCGTCTAGACTTCTCGTTTTCCAGTGGGGGGCAATGTCTGGGGTTGAAACCATCGGGACGGCGTTGCTGCTGTCTGCTCTCCCATCCATGGCTCCACTTAAATCCATGCCCCTGGAGGCCATGCAGACAATGCAAGAAGGGCAAGTTCAAATCTACCTGTACTCAAGGCTTTTTTTTTTTAAAACCTGGGATTCATCTCGATCTTCAGCTTTGTCCAGCATGGTCTCCACAATCAGTCTCAAACATTCATTGTAAGAACTCAAAGGAAATTCTTCATATACCGGTACATCAGATCAGAGGAACAGATGTTTTATATAAATGAAAGAGCTCCACAGAGCTTAATAGTCTCAACTTGGTTGATTAAACTAATAAAAAGACACGAAGCTGAAGATGGAAATGGGTTTGAGGAATTTAAGTCTGAAAACCATTGATTGATTTTCCTTATGCATGGAACCAGTGACCACAACTGTAAAAAGGGTACTGTTTAGAATAGATTCTTTTGACAATATTGCTCTTAGCAGCAGAATGTACTGAAGCCACAACACTTCCAAATGGCTAACTAGAATACCATGCATGAACAGTGAGTATACACCAATTTGTCGCACAGACACTTTCCAAAATACCGAGGGGAAGCAGTCCAATGCAAGCATTCATGATGTAGGAAGGCAAGCCTAATTGTTGTTTATAGTCATAATCACAGCCGAGTTCACAACATCAAGCCATACAGGTACCAGCAGACAATTAACGTGCCAAGCTCAGTCCCTGTCATCACCTGGAAGCGCACAGTAAAAACTTCACGAGTGTTGCTAGGACATACATGTGTGAGGCACAGGTGAAAGACTGTCCTAACTTTTTGTAAAGTAGCGCCATTCAGATATGAAAACACACTTTAAATACCACTCTTGATTTTCTATGGAGTTGAAATTTTTGGAAGCTTCTGACCACCATAGGAAGACAGTGCTCTTTAACATTTTTGACATATTCTGCTCACATTGGCTTTTTTCCCATATTCAATAGTTTCATACAAAATCTTTCTTAGCATGGTTACCTTTTTTGGAATACTTATATGTACATGTAACTTCCCTTGTGATGAATATTAAACCAGACTTTCTTGTACTATTTTGGATTGATCAAAATTATCATGATGATCCATGGCATTGAAGCAGACTTGAACTGGTGTACAAATACTCTACATACAGTGTACATGTAAACGGTACCCTGTGGCCAATAGCTACAGCTGATAAGGAATGATCTATTCAAAGAACAGATTCATGGCATGGGCTTAAGGGCTGTCTGATTTCTAATTTTAGAAGCCAAAAAAATTTGATAATTTTGTGTAAAGTGAACACCACACACATAATAACCATTGGAAAATTTCTTCTCTACACAGGAAAGTTACACTTAATCATAACCCATTTAGAAAGGAAATTTTTTATTTTGCTCAAAATTTTCAAACCAAAATCCAACTCCACATGCTCTTGAGGCTGGTTTTGAAGTGATTTACCAAATTATGAACTGAAATGGAGGTTGAAGTCATCCAAACCAGCTGGTGTCCCACCTGAGACCAAAGTATAAGAAAGACTTGCCTTTGATTCTGCACATTCTTGATCCACTGGGATATTCTGTTCTGGTAAGTAGGCAGGTCAATCTCTAGATCCAGTCCTGTTGGGTCCAGCTGTAGCGCCAACTCATCAATGTCCCTGCCAGACTACAATGGCAGAGAGGGAAATCTATGAATGATACTGCATTCACTTTTGTCTCAGAATCAGCATCCGTTAGCATGCCTGGGTGTATTTTATGGGAGGGGGGTGGAAGGTTATCAGGACAGTGTAAATCGTAGTCCCTTGAAGATATCTTTCAGCAGGTGAAAATGAGCAAGGTCTAACATAATGGAAGTATATGTATCTGTGAGAAATATGCCTCATAAATAAAACACACACACATACAGTAATAATTAGGCTTTGTCACCATGGCAATGTGGCTTAGTCTCAAATTAACAAGTGCTATCTACATGTAAATACACATGTACCACTCGAAGAAATAACATAAATTCCACACAGAACTGAGAAGTACATATAAGAGACAACGTTTGCCACCCGTATTTGATAGATCACGTACTGCCCCTCCAGCGCTCAGGAAATTATAAACGAAACATTATTTTACCAATCCTTCTTGAGAATATTCAGCATTGACTCTCTTCAAGCATGATTTGATTGATCGATCAATCCATTCCATTACACAATTATTATACCATACAATTACTCAGTGACGTGTACTTCTTTAATTAACCTCCTACCTGTCATTGAGAGTAATGTTTGAAAAAAGCATATATCCATGTTTGATATACCGGTATCTAACTCTGCTTCTAGAAACTATGTGAACAACACATACCCTGATGACTGCAGAATGCCACTGAATACAGGTGCATCTGTACATACCTGTGCATTCACCTTTTCTCTGAACTAGATGCTGAATGCTGTACCATCTAATGAGCCCTAATAGTTATCCCTCATAAAGCCCCAACTCAACCAGAATAGTGAACACCTCAACCACACATTAAAAACCTATTATGGGATTTAAGTGTTGATTAAATATCAATAACAATCAATCAACACAGAGCTCTTTATGAAGGACTGCGATTAGGCATCTGTACACAACGGGGACAATGCAGACACTTAACACCTTTATCATTTCATCCTGTCTTCCATCCTAAAATATAGCAGGTGAATAGACCACTTGTATGCCAAAATAAATCTTGTTACTGGTGTTTATTTGGTTGAGCATCATCACGCTCAAGCGCATTTTTATTTTGTCTTACACTTTGACTTTCTAATGTAATTTCAGACTTATCAAATGTGAACAAAAAAACAGGATGCTACCGTGGTAGATATCCTGCAGTGCTACGGATTTTTTCAAATTGGCTGGAAAATGGATGAACCATGGCTCTTTTGACATCACACCTGGCACAGAATCTTTTAGGCCTAAAAATCTGTCAAAAATCATGAATTTTAAGCAAAACTTGGCATTGTTTAAAAAGTAACTTAACAGCTTACAGGTGATGCTTTCGTTTGAATTTGCGCAAAAGCTGACCGGAAATACTGAACAGGGAAACACTGTTCTTCACTATTGCATAATCCTGCCCTGTTACTGTGCTTACTAACATGTGTAACATTCTAACGCTGGACGTGTCACACTTCTTGCAAAGTAAACCCCGGTTCATGTATTCTAATCTTACAAATTTTGTACTCTTCACAACATGCAAGGTATCGGTATTGAAAATGCACAAGTTGATCATTCAGCGTATTTCTATCATAACTGCTTTGTATGCACATTAAAATCCTATTCCGATAGAAAATCATACCGGTGGAAATATAATGACCATAAACATTAAAATCGGATTCTGTGCAGTGCTAAAGCATTCCTCAGTTTGCATCTACATGTAAATCATCAGATTACCGTAGATTTGTTAAATGCGAATATGGATCAATAAGATAATCTTAAAGTGTTCATTGTTGAAATCATTTTAAAGTAAAAATAACTTCTCCGACAAAGCATTATGGTATTCAACATAATCTATATCCAGGCTCCATTGTTTAAAGAGTGACGTGAACTCCGTGTACAGTAATACTTTATTGTGAGTGTTTGACCAGGTGTTGTTCTTCAATCAATTCCCATCGCTGCTGATGATCAGGCAGAGTTTTCACACAAAGGTATGTGTCTCGGCATCCTGTGGCATGTGTTGGCATCAGGACAAAGCGGGACGTTTCAATGCTTGCCAGGGTTTTGTGTCCTAAGCAATGAATTTGCATACAAACACATATATGCTTCTGTACATTTTTGCACGTCGTAAAAAACTCATGAACATTTGTCAAAAAATAGTATCTCTCATGGGTACATGTACCTGTACCAGTATGGCTTTGAGTTGGTTACTTGCTCTGGTTAACTGATACTTTACTCAGAGTAAGACATTTTGTTTTATCAGCTGGATTATGAGCCGTTGACTCCATAATGCAATTTTAGAAAAAACAAAACGACAAAATCAAACTTAGATTTTTCTCAAAGTAGAATCACAAGTGTTTGGGAAAAAAATGGACTACATTTATATGTACATGTACATATGTTTTTTGAGTCTGCTGAAAAAAATTGAAGGGATTTTTTTTCTGGTCGATAACTGCAAACTTATCACTGGAATCCAACCTAACAGCTGCACACATGGGTATGCTGGGCCAGGCAACTGTCATAGGTACTGTAGATGTAAGATGACATGTGTGGCACATGTGGGACAACATGTACAAGAACAAGTCAGCCAGCAATGAAGTCAACATTGAAAGTGCTGTGAATGTACTCAACTAACAGCCAAGCCGTGCATCTTTACCATGTGGTTTTTCTGTTCAAGTTACAAGCAGGAGGGATTGCTCTGAGTATGTTGCAGACGCACTTGACACCGGCTCCATCATTCAGTTCATACTGTACAAATTTCAAATTATAACGAGTGAAGATTTCACTTAACCCTCTTGACAATGGAAAAACCAAACAAATATTGACCTCTTAAAAATACAGGTATGCCAGGTCTTTTCGTCCATCCCCGGATAAATCACTGGTACTGGTAGCTACATGTAAAACTAAAACAAAAAAGAAAATATTATTTATTCTTTTTCTGTCTTCCAACCCTGCCAAATTTCAAGTTATTTCTGTAATCCAATTCACTGAAGAAATGCTGGCCTTAAATACACATACAGTCGTGGTGCTAGATACCAGCACATGTACATTTTATGAGTTAATCACAGGAAAGTCAAATCACACATCTTGCCACATGTAACGGGGGTAGAACAATTCAAAAAGAATGCTTTTGTGGGAGTTCGCATATTAAACTGAATCTACATGTAGCGAAAGTGGGCGAGTTGTGACTGACTTAGGTTTATGAAGGGCTCTGGGCCTACATGTAACTAGAAATGGTCATTTACAATTAATTCTGTCCTCTATCTATCAAGGATACACTTGTAAGTAACGTGCAAAGCACAATAAACTCGTTCAATAAATTAGGATCTTAAGCTATACACTGAGCTTGAAAAATTCCAGAATAAACGGTATTAATAAGAAAAATAACCACTGGTTTGTATATAGTACTTTTATCTAAGATCAAAGTGTTGTCCATAATTATTACCTCTGCTCATTGGACCCATGAAACATACTAAATACCATCTCAGCTCCCTGGGGAGCTCAATGCAGCTATTTCAGCACAAAGCAGCTTTAAATCAATCACAATAATCGTCGCCGCCCTCACAGGTACCCAATTACTCCTGCGCACGGAAAAGCAATGAGTGACACAGTGCCTGGCCCGAGGGTATACACACCTTGACCCCAAGCTGGATTCAAACTTGCAACTGCAGTGTTACCCACTGACTACAAATCCAATGCTCTAAAACCAAGAGGCCACAGCACTTCACAAAGTAAGACTTACCTTATTTGCCTCTGTGATCATTTTGATGTGCTCTATAACTCTCGAGACTGGGACACGTCCCTTCCCTTCTGTGTCGCAGCAGACAAATATCGTATCCAGCAATTCCTCCTTGTCGATGACACTCAGCCCTGTGTCGTCTGTTGCACTGCTCCCAGAGCTCTGGCCAGACCACTTGCGTGAACCCCGCTCCCTGTGGCTGGGTGCCAAGATGGGATCCAGTGGTAGGGGTGAGCCCCACCAGCCAGTGTTCTGCCGTCTGGCAAGTAACCGTCGAGGGGAGGCCCCCTGGCCCTCATAGCTGGTCTCGACACTTAGTGAGGATGGCTGCTGCTTGGAGGACCTTGGATCGTCAGTCAAGGTTTGTTTCATCTCGGAGCTGGGACTTACAGTGGTCGGCGGTTGACAGCATCCGATGGTGAGTGGTCGCTCCGACAGGGCGACATCGGGGAACTTTTCAGAAGGGCCCTGAGCCTTCTTCAGCTTGGCACGACTGCCTTTCTTTGGTGAAAACAAGAAGCTCATGTGGACTTACTGTATCAAATGTACCTGAAAGAGAATGGAAACACAAAAGACTCAAGTATGCAGTGACACAGTACTGAGCAAGGTAACAAAATCACTCCCAGACTCAATCTCAAGCACAGCACATACATGTACATATATAATTTAAACTTTACGAGCTACATAGAGAACGTATGTACTCTATGTAGCTGGTAAAGTTGCAATTAATCATACTGCATGTGCAGCAGTCATGATGACATACATGAATGCACTTGTTAAGAAAAGGATATCCACAGTGTACATACATGTACCTGTAGTTTATGGATGTACATCATATGTATACCTGTACCGCTACCTATTTTGAGCTCTGCTATTGACATTTCTTAGCTGTTTGCTTTCCACACAGTTCAAGTGCCACGGTCTGCATTTTACATTCACGTGTTGCGGCAGCCTTTGGAATTCTAGCTGTATGTGGCATCAGCAGTGAACTGCCGCGTTTCTAACACGCATTATGGCCTTTGAGCCTTGCCACAGAGAAACTTGTGTGGAGGGGTAGATAATCTGTTGTCTGTATATTGAATTGAATGCAAAAAGCCTGCATTGTAATTAATACAGTTTGCAAAGGCAACATAACCGGTTTGCCACACTCTTTCATCTCTCTGTACATATATCCAGTTACTTGTTAACCTATTTTATCATGCTGTGTCACATTTCAGGTTTTGCCCAGCAGTAAATAAGAAACTGTGGCTGGCCATCGGTACAAAAATAAGAGTAATTCATATAGTGTACAAAAAATCTCAAGCAGCTAATAAAATCCTGAATAGTACATTTCTGCTTACACGAGATCAAAAACAACACTGATATGACTGAAGGTGGTGTCAACAAATTTTGAAAAGCACCCAATCATGCTAGAATTCTTATTTTAATACAGTGAGCCAAAACTGTCAACACAGTCAATAATCAGGAACTGTTGCACATTGTGTAAGCCTGCACAATCAGGACAAAAAAGGCGACAATGGAGTGAGAATGGATAGTAAAAAATAGCGCAGAGTCAGTTCAAAAATACTATTCAAATATTTGACCTTCAATTCAAGTGAACATCTGAATATAGGGACGTACTGACTGGCAGATTGTTAATGAACAAACTATATACAAAATCAGTTACAATAACAACCCACTTCTCATGTCTCGGAGTATCTCCAGCCACGATTGGGCAAGATTTAAGAGACAAAAAATACGTTTTGCCCTGTTGAAAATGTCTATTCTGTTAAAATCTGTTAATGAATAGTTTACTTTCTGAATTGTTGTAAGATTTCTGTCACTTTTTATTTGAATCTGCTTGAAACAAGCCTCCATAGTGCAATATTTCTCATTTCAAATGAAAAAAATTCTCCCTTCCTTTTCATGAGTTTTGTATTTGAATATTCAAATTCAGAAAATAATATTTGAATATTCAATAATAGATAAAATATTCAGATATTGGGATAATCGGCACAGCCCTAGTAAAAGTAACAGGGAAAACATGCAAACTGTCGCTTAAAGTTACTCAGGTCTATTTCTCAAATTTTCGTCCAAACTTGAATGAAAAGAATGGATCTGTTATGCCCAAACTAAGTATGGTATCTATTGCGATATAGTTGGAATTCCTGACAGTATACAAAAACTATAGTAGACTACTTACTGGTCGCAGTAACCTGAAATACAAATCAAAACTTATCGTTGGGACTGTCCCAACTATAGTGCTACAGTTATGCCAGCCAGAACATGAGAGTGAACATCCAAGATTTCTGTCCACCACCCGCAAACTGCTGAAACAGGCACCAAAAGTTTTCATTATTTCAAAAACGGTCATTATTTAAGTATTTTCCCTGTCAAGAATAGCCAAAAAAATGGCCACAAAGTAATTGGTAGTTCATAAATCTGACAATGTCACGTACGTAAAAATTAATCATTGATTCATTAAAATTAATGGTGTGATGCAAGATGTATGCAAGACGGACTGAGAACTAGTCTACGCGCTGTGTAATCAGTGCAGTGTACGGTACACCAACTTGTCCAAATAATGAGTAATGAAAAGAAGCCTCACGGATTTTCAAAATTTTCCGGACAGAATTCTCACGGCATAGAGTGTGTGCTATAGGCTAACATAGGGTACAATGTTGCTTTGTCAGTAACTTATGATTATTATGCTGTAGATGAGATGCTACATTATCATATTTCAGATGAATTTGGTTGTTTGTGTTGGCCCCCAAATCCTAAAGAAATTTGAAAAATTTTCTAGAGCCTGTGGCTAAGCCGGTAGATATTTGCCAACTGCGGTAGGCCAGTATATTCTTAACCTTTACCCATCTACACCACAGTGTCATAGTGATGCTGAGGATTGTATATTTGGGGACTCCGTTCCTGTAATAGAAGGGAGACCTACCCGGTACATTTTAACTTTTGGCTTCACCTTGGTAGATGGCACTGACGTTATGCTCAATAACTGTAAGAAACCGGTAAGGTTGATGTTGAAAAAGCTAGGGTAGGGTTTTGAATATTTAGGGAAATAATGAAGGGAAGTGTGAGTGCTTTAACACATGACACATGGTGGAATCGAATTTGCATGACTGGTTTATCGTTGAGAATTAAGAAAGTCATGTTATCTCACAATTTACAATTTGAAATTTCAAAGGAAATACCTGGTAGGGTCAGTGCAATAAAGAGAGCATTGCCACGCCTTAGGTTTTTTTGGGGGGGGGGCTGACCATGCAGTTTTACAAGATTAAGTATATTAAACAGTCAAAAAATGGAGGTCCGCGGTGTTCTAAAAACCTGATGCCATATATGCAATAGGCCTAGGTCCCTGGGCTATTCCTTAGTTGGGGTGTAAAAAACCTAAGTTACTCGAAACAGTCATGCCAACTTGACTGTCAGTTGTGCAGAGCAGTAGGCCCCAGGCACAGCCAGTAGTACAGTAGCCACGCTTCATAATTATCATGAAGAATCTCGTTGGACTTGGAGTCTTTCTTGGTTGGAGGGAGGAAAACTGTTCTATTGCCCACGGAAGGGCCTATAGATTTAGGAGAGTGGTGGCTGAATATTTCGTTCTTCCTCCCACAATACACTGGGAAAAGATACAAAATAACCACCTACGTGCATCAGATCATTGCATATCAGACGACATGGACGAGACTTGAAAGGCTCTAAGCTTGCCAACGGTGTCAAAGGTCATCTGCCAGTGTGTCTCCGACAAGCCTACAACACAACAGCAGCAAATCCCTAAGAAAATCAACCGTCCAGCGTCAATGGCATTCTTTGTGACCCTCTTAAATAACCATATATCGTTCAAGCAAATATCGGGTGGAAATTATGAAACTGGAAAGAGCTTTAAATGGCACGAAATCGTGACACTGTTTCCGCGATCTGAAGAACTTGACCAGAAAGACCCAGCAACTGAGCAAAAGAAAGGCACGTCACTACAGCGCCCTCTATATTCTATAAAACTTTTCATCCAATCAAAAACGAGTTTTTAAGCTGCAGACCCCAACGCAAACGAGCGCCAAGGTTTGGGTTTTCGTCAGCTGGAAATCAAAGCTAACCTAATGTGGCAGAATTAACTCTCTCAGCGGTTTTTATTACAGCAAACCACAGAGCACTGCTATCCACACAAACCAGTGCCCGAACTGCGAAGCATGTACGGCCTGCGCTTGAGGGGGTATGTCACCCATGTCGTGGCCTGTCTACTGTAGCCGAACGATCGCCTTGCGTTGGGTCTCCAACTTCCAGGCTTAGTGCCTTTCTTCATTTTTCGACAGCTGTAGACGATTTTTTGGAGGGGAGGGGACGATATACGGGTATGCAGGGTATTCACATTTGAAATACGTCTTGGGCCAATCATATAAAACAAGTTTCCTTCACGAACAGTGGCGGCGCTAAGTGGCGTCATGTTACAGCAACTGCACCCACTGAAAAGCCGCTTGCACCCAAGTTTGCATCCACAAAAATTTGTCACATATTACGACGGGGCGATCAACTTTTTTGATTTGCACCCACACGATTCTGCCACACTTTCACCCACGGTCACCGAGGTCTGGGGCCGCCACTGACATGAATAATTTATTTTTAGCTTGCAATCTTGAGCTTCCTGAAAACAAGGCCAGCGGCATAGCGAGGGGGGGGTTGCACCCCCCAATAATTCTTTTCAGTCGGCAAATAAAGGGTCAGTCGACAAATGACACTGAAATTGACGTCATGAATTATTGACGTACATCAACCAGTCGGCAAACTGACCCTGGAACAACCCCCCCCCCAAAGAAAATGCCCTCGCTACGCCGCTGACAAGGGCGGATCCAGAACCAAATTTTCAGGGGGCAAACAAAGTTGGAAATGATTTCGTGTAACCTTTTATGGCCTCTCTGACAGAGAAAGCTACAAACAAAAATATCGCCTTTCTCTCATTATTAAAAAAGAAAAGGCTTCTTTTTGAGAAGAGGCGAGGGCATGCCCCCCCATCCACCCTTGCCATGCACATGATAACGTGTGCTTAATCATGCATATAACGGCATCCACATCGTTGAAAGATTAAGGCCTATACAAGATTAGACAAGAGCAAACGTTCGTCACTTATTGTTAACATTTTACCGTTTTTCAGTTCATACGTTTGATTCAAATCGTTTGGGCAACGATGGTATCATGACATCATTGCCTGAAGATATAGCGGGGGGGGGCCTTCTCCTCAAATATTGCCTCGGATATAAGCAAGAGAAAACTTATGTATAATGTGACTAGTAATAAGAAATAACCTATCGTGGATCGCTAGCTGGGTATCCAGGCTTGAATAAAGGCTAATATCCCAGTAATGTACTTCTTCGGTTGTTTCAAAATACCTTTTTTCTTGACAAATTATCGTTTTCAGCCGGGTTCTACTTAAAGAAAAGAAACATTCTCTTTCCCTCCCTAGGTCATGAATCTGGAAGATATATTTTTTTCAAAGGGAAGTACCGGTACAGTCCGAAATGAACAGAGGAAGCTCACACGGGCCATGGAGACGGTCTTCATTGAGGCATATCCCTAGCCCAGGTCGGTCGCCAGTCTTATTTTGCATCATAGTCGCAATGCAATGAAATAATTCGTTCAACCTGGGCTTCTGAGACTATTGTGTAATTAAAAAAATGCCAGCGGCCCTGGCCAGCGGGTTACGACAGTATAACAGAGGCAGTGTTGGGGGTTGTGTCTTTTACCATCAGCGGGACGAGTCAAATCGAGCAACGCCCTCACCCATTCGAAAATGTGCCCCCAAAAGGGAGGATTAACTGCTACCACTCCACCCTATTTCGCCAATTTGAGTTTTGAAATTGAAAGCCTGAGCACTTCTTATCCGGTACTGGATTGGGGATACAGGTAATTATGACTACTTTATTAGGCCTGGAGGTATAGATACATGGTCTCCTTCACTCAGACTATTGGTTAATTATACAGTAAAACAGTATTAAGCCGGTTGGTCAAAGCTGCTTAGCCACAGAAATTGAAAATGCGGCAGTGGGGAAGGAGCTGTTCATAAACCCCATGCAAATTTTATTGAAAGAAATGGGGAAGATACGATTTTTACGGAATTGTTTTAGTGTGTCCAAAACTTTGCTACTCTGAGCAGTGGTGATTGCATAATACAATGATTTTAAAAAGTCATTCCAATTAATAACCAATTGTTTTAAAGATTTTAAACCGCGCAAATTATTGGGTTTTGGTGCACCAAAGGGGTTGGGAATTAGCAAACGGCACACGAAATGAAATCAATATATGTGAAGTGACCACTGTGACTGACACGCCGTTTCCTCTTGTGCACGGGCATCGCGGGCACACTTTAATTAATTTTTCAAGTGGGCGAGGGCGCTGTTCCATTTTACTGGCACGCAAACCCACCATAGAAAACGACAGACCAGATTGTTACCTGGGCCCTTTTCCAATACTCGACTTGGGCTCCGTCTCAGGCTTCGTTCCAAAAACCAATCCCCGATTGTGGGCCTGAAGCGTTTAGATTAAACTGGGTTACCGTAAGTTCTGGCTCTTTTGCATCTTATTTGATGTTTTGTGGCACTATTAGACTGATTACTGCGCTTACAGCTTCAAAGTCAGCTAGTAAAAAAAACAGTTGAAGCCTGAGACGCAGCCGAAGTTGAGTATTGGAAAACGGCCCTGGATTGAAAGTACGTGCTTGTGCTAGCAGTTAGAGAAAGTTAGAGGTGTCTTTTTGAGACCTTAGCTATACTTAAGGGGAGTATTGCACTGAAGTTGTTCTCAAGGGAAAAATTACTACGTGTAAAAGGAATCTTCTTTATATCGGTTGATGATTTTCATAATTTTATTTATGGCTCTGCGGCGGTATAGTAAACAAGACCGTGGGTGAATTACAGATTTCGAGAGTTGCTCGGATGCCGAGCCGCTAGCAGTGAGCCCCATATTGGAGCTGACTTGACAACTTACATCACTTGTGTACATCAGGGGGATAAATAAACCCCGGTTGGGTAGGCCCTATGTAGTTTTACGGGGGAGCCAAACACATTTAGTTTAGTTGGTTTCTTTGTTTGTTGGTTGGTTTGTTGTTGTTTTGTTTTGCTTTAAGATCTTGAACCGCAAATAAATGCACACACTTGAGTGTCGCACAGTGAGTAGCAATTGGCTGAACTACGTATCACCAGGGGCGTAAATCCTATGGGGTAGAGGTTATGTATCACCCCTTCGAACGGAGTGGGTAGGTTATTGGATTATCCCCCACTTTTTCGGGATGAGAAACAAAAGCATATTATCAACTTTATTTTTTTTAACTTTCCAACAACCAATAGGGCCCATGTATTCGATAGTAATGCACCTTTGTTGATGTAAGGTTCAGGAGTGTCATACATAAGATGCATATGGACAACACCCCAAGGGGTCATGTGGTGTCCAGCACTAACCTCCTTCCTGGTTATTCGAGTGTCTACGGCCAGGCAATTGGGTTGGGTTTAAGTCACCCACTCCCCCCCCCCCAAGTCCCCAGCAAACGCCACGGCATTGGGCAGTAATAGCGCTCCGGCTTCACTACTCAGTTCGGCTTGTTGTGTGTGGATAATGTGTGGTACTTTCACTCAGCTAAGAGTTGATCGGCGAGTCACATTGTAGCTCCGGTGCAGTCAATTTTAAGTTTAAATACATGTGAATGCGATGCGACGTTTGCTCGATTATCCCCGCTTTTCTGGAGATGGTGTTTGTCTTATTTTTCTGCCTGTTATACTATTGAAAATGTCGCAACTATGACTCCGAATCTGGATTAACTTGGTTTTTAAGCACTCGAACCCTTTCAGAAAAGTTGGACTTTCGAGTTTCTGTATTAGATTTCTGTAAGTCGATCTATAAGTTCCGGCCTCTTTTCTAAAATAAAAAAAAGGGTTTTGAGTGCATTAGGACAACAGGACACATTTTGTAACAAAATCCGAGTCAGTGTGGATCAAATGTTGAATGGAAACATCATCGTTGTTTATTACTGAAACTTCATGTTGCAATATTCTGTTGCATTTATTGTTGGGTTTCATTTGGTACGCAAGTCTGGTGATAACCACTGTTTCGCTAATTACAAACATTAGCAAACAGATCGTTAATCAGATGGTTGTGAGTATTCAGACACTTGAACAATTCATTTCCCCACCTGTACAAAACTCCTGAAGTAAATTTACATCGTGGTCAGCCCGAGGGAAATCCTTCTTCCGTTTTTGTTTTTTTTTTACTGTAAAGTGTAAGTCTTGCAATGTATTTTCAAAATTGCATCATCAGCAATCCCAAACACGCGACACAAAGCAATCACGTGCATCAACGTCAAGTTCAACAGACACGTACCGCGGTCGCAACAAGTGCCCTGTTCAGTGACCTCTCAACGCAAAAATACCACGTGACAGTAGAGGAAAATAATATCATTACATACAGCGCGCGACACGTGAGGCATAAATTATTATAAGTGTGCTTCCGCCCTCCATTGCAGTTCAGGGTCGATCAGGAAGCTGAACTTGTCCGTGAACAAGGACTATTATAAAGTGGTCAGAGCTACTCAGGCGTACACCGGTAAGTGTACTTCGCCCAAGGTAAACTTTCCCTGCGAGCTATTTGGGATCTCCCACCCTTCCAGCAAAAAAGGCACCAGTAATACCAGGCTACGCTACAGATCATGTTAATATACCTGTAAATATGTGCTACATACGCCGCAACATCGTTCGGCCAAAACAGTACCCGTACGGCAGTGCGGCACGTGATCTGTATGCGGAAGTTTACTCCGAACAAAAAAAAAAAAAAATCATATCTAGGTCTGTTGATGTTGACAGTTCTAAGCGTGGTTTTTACCTCTTTGAAATTAAATTTTAGGTCAGTTCATCCTGCAGATTTTTGGTGTCAATGCATTATATTGGTGATCAAAGAATTTACAGCAAAAATAGTGTTGGCATTAAAAAAATGAAATATGGCAGAAGCTGCATGTATACAGGGTGTACTGTCACTGTAGGCCTACCCAGGGGCGGTTCTACAGGGTGGCTAGGGGTAGGGGTAAACTTTAGCCCCCCCCCATGCAAAGATGAGTCAAAAAGCAGTAGCAAAAGTTAAAGGGTGACATCATGTACAAAGGGTTTACCCCGAAAAAATTAGCTCTAGAACTGTGTCTAGGGGGCCCTACATTGTGAGGACCTGCTTTCAGAGAGCCGACAACAACAGCACATGTATGTATATAGCATTATACCAGTGCCAGTGGTTTATGTACAGGTAATGGTCAATGATTCTCTTAAAAGTCTTCCAAAGCTGTGAATTTCAACAAAAGATGGCTCAATTTCATTGAGAAATGTGATACACAGTGGCATATCTGGGGGCGGGTGCTCATGTTTTCATTGTGTTGGTCATTGTTTCACTGGAATCAAAGGAATTCTTTTCAGACATCAAGGGGGTGTGTGTTAGGTAACGATAGTCTAGAGTGTGTATCGCGATTGGACATGTTGGGGGGTACCCCTCAGTCTCATTTCTTGCTGGATACAAGTTCCTTTGCCACATGTAATTATTGAATTCAGTCTTAGGAAATCCACTTTTGTGTCCCACTTACCCATACTTTTATTTTGTTCATTTCACAATTTTGAAGAGTATTTAGGTTCCATATTGGTTTTATGCCAATACAGATTTGCATATTTATGTATAAAAATATTGTCATTTTGAGGAAGAAACCTTATTACAGGTGTTTCACCGCCAACATTGCCAGAATTTCAGATACTTTTACTATACTGAAAGTCTATGAAAATGCACATAATTCTGAAAAGTGAAAAAGTGAAATTCTGAAAAGTATTAGCTCTTGCATTTTTCACAATTATTGTAGAAAGATGATCAGTGCAAACAGACCCTAGGTATTCCACTGCCGTGTCACTGGGTTAAACCAAACTTAATTTAGAAAAAGTGGCACTTTCATTGACTCGGTACAAAGTTTCTTTCCCTTGGGTACTCGTTTCAGTACATGACAGTAGAAAGTAAGCTGCAGGGGTGAACAGAGTTTTCTAATAAGTTTGTTCAAAAATCATTTTCTGATCAAAAGTGGACAATTTCGGCTTCACAGTTTGAGCACCCTCACCCTTTTGAACCACGTCTGGAATGACAGATCACAGCAAGAGCACCCTCATTTTGTTGGAAAAACATGGACAATTTATGTTTTAAGAAGTGCACGCACTATGGAATGCCTGAAGGGCCGAAATGACATAACAGTTTCCATGTACAGGTAATACTCCTTCCATAGTCCCTTCACACTGAACCCACTCAAACTTGATTTGAACAAGTATAAAGAATCGTAATGCACGATAGAAATGAAGCAGTTACCATCAGAGGACATGTTATGTGCAGCATTTACAAAATCAGGCAAGCACAATACATGCATTCGTATGGGGTGGCTGAGCCACTGACTCTCGGATGCTTACATGTAGGCCTACTAGTACAAATGTTAATGTACATGTATGTCATGCCAAATCTCCCATTTGTGTTGTACACTTTCAACACCTGAGACGTCTATGGAGGCTGACAGTGTGTTGAACTTCACTGGATGCCCTGCATTGTATAAAATACATGTAACAAGGCAGATGAAGTCGGAGTGTGCCTGGAAGAAGGTCTTAAGTGCTTACGACCTTTTGCCGGGAAGCAAAATCGCTGCCCGAAAAAATTTTCCCGGCAAAAGGACGTATGTATGCAACTAATTTATTTTAATGAAATATAAGGATTTCTTTGCAAACATTTACCGAAACAATTTCCCATGTTGTTTGATAAGTTGTTCAAAGGTTGCTTTTTGCACAGCCTGTGTTGATTTTGTAGTAAATTTTATCCGTTTTTACTAAATAAAAAGAGTGTGTTTCTTACACCCTTTTACCAGGAACATTTTTTCGTACTGTGCTTCCAGGCCAAAGGGTGTAAGTGCGCTTACGACCTTTTGCCGGGCACACGATGAAGTGTACAAGTACATGTATACCCATATCGCTTCAGGATTTAACCCATTGCCAAGTCTTTTCATGCTTCAATCCCCTCATATCCAACATGGTCAGTGTAAATAAATATCGCCTGGTAGCCTATAGACATGATGTACAAGGCACCACCTGTAAAGTAGCTTATTAGAATGAACTACAATCACATGCCTCTCTTTCTCAGAGAGAAACATGTAGTGATTAGATGCCCTATCTGGCTAGGCCAGCCCTTGATGGGTGCAAAGTCTGATTGGAAAATGACAAGCAAATATAATATGCCATGGGTCTTTTGCATGGCTTTGGAACTGGCATCATGTATTGATTGATCAACTTTGGAGGAAGGATAACCTGTAATGATTGATAAGCTGTAATATATGACTGTATGTTTCATGTTCTTGGATGGGGTTGCATATCATTTTTTACTGATTGCATTTTACCGTGTACGTAATACAGTTTCTACATGTACATGTATTTCTGTAAAGTTTCTAAGATCAGGTTTTTTTTCAACTGTTACAAATTTCACAGGCATACCTAAGGTGCAAGCTTCCGATCTTGATTAGTTCAATATTGTAAAATCAATGGCACTATTTCAGAGTCAAACTTGCATGCATATGCAGCTACTTGTCAATCCCTAGTTTTGGTCCTCAGTACAGAATAAATGATTTGTCACCAGCAAGTCATGGATCCCTATTTCCAATTTTTCAGCCATACTCAGCTGTATACAAGAAGTGCTGCACATGCAGATGACCTTTAATCTTGGCATTGAGTTTCACCTTGCAGGTCCTCTTTCCCTTGGATTGGCATCAGCCTTTAGCAGGGCCAAGTTTTTCCCTGATTTCTGATGTTCAACACTTTTGGAGGGGGGCGTGACAAACACAATTTGAATGTACTCTCAACTGCAATGTTACCTGGGATGTCAGATGGCACTGTCTAAATAAATGAGATAGTGGTACGTGACGGTTAAATTAATTTGTAATTTATGGGGAAAAAAGCATGTGACTGGGATGTTGAGGTTCTGGATGCATTGCGTGCAGACAGAATTCTACATTGTATAAATTACAAGGGACTTTGGTAATTGATATCACTGCCCTATGAAAACAAATGCACATTTCAAAAGGTTTTGTGTTTAAAGTGAAACTAAATCAGGAGTGGGCTAAAGATAGAAAACTTCAAAGATTGAAACCAAGTACCCGTATGTTCAATTAAAATGCACTAGTTCTGATAAGGTCATGTGAAGATTAAGTGTACCTGAAGTTGTCCTTAGTAATACATAGAACACTTTGTTCTAAACCCATGAGAGTAAAACAGACAATTGTGGTGAGGTCCTTCCATCATGAAATGTACTCTTAAAATGAAAACAACTATATCTTAGCAGTTTCCTCAGCTACAACGAAATGACCAAAAGCATGGGCATGACAGTATTCAAAACCTGTTATTTGCGCGCACATCAGTGGAGGCAGCTCAACCTTACTGAAATGCTGGCACTAATGTGCAAGTAAGATTTTTGAAAGAGGGATAATCCATTCACAACAATGGGGATGTATGTATATCTCCCATGCCTATGTTTTAGGTTATTGTTCTCCACACGACAACTGAACAAAATTTTAGCATCCACCGATGGTTGGAAAATCTCAAGTAAGGTCTTATTAGGTGAACGAATATTGAAACAAAAATTTGTGCACTTAAGCAGTTTGGACTACAATTAATCTTTTACAATTTCTGCTGTCAACTTTATGGTCACTCAAGATCAGTGACAATTTGATGGTGCGTAGACACTGGTACAAGTATTTTTGAAGGCAAGGCACAAATATTAAAGAAACAGGTTCGGAGAGGGGGAGTAGCACGTTGTGCCTGCAGAGCAGTTGTCATGTTATTAGTGAGTGAACATGATTTTTAGGTGATTTATAAATAAGGATAGTACCACAGATCAATGAAAGACGAAATAACTGCCTTTCTTCTTAGGTTCTGGCAGATTGTTTATCTGCTTTGCCCTCCTGCTTGCATGCTTGATCCAAGGTCTGCACTTGACGTCAGCATGGAACCCCTACCGGTACCGGATAAAAAGGGGCTCGTCGCCAACGAAGTCCCCATGGATGGTTGCGTGGATGATGGCGGCAGAGCGGTAAGTCAAACAGTTGGTCTATTTTGATTTTCATAGTCAAGTCAAATTAAGAAAAACAATGGTCGAGTTAAAGAAAGGAGCCTTCCTCTATTTTATCTTGGAAAAAAATTCATTCAGGACCAAAAGACAAGGCCCTGAAAGGTTTCTTCTTTTTTCAGAATATTACTTTCAACAGGAAAGTGACAGAGAAAAGTATTCAGTATACTGTTCAGGTAATCTTAGCAGTAACTGTGTATAGTACACAGCCAGTTTTTCTCTACCTTTCCTCTTTTTACTTCCTTGTAAAACCTTGTAATTGGAGCTTTAAGCGAGAGATGCATTGGTTTGTGTGCACTTGGTAGAACCCTAGTAAACTCCCTACGGTACAATATCATATTGCAGTTGGGAGGATTTATCCCTGTTAGGGTTGTTATTTTTAATTTTAAACTGTCCAACAATGCAATCAATGTTCATTTTGTCACATCTCCCCATGAAGGGGATTTCTTTGAGGGAACTCCTAGTTCCAATTTTTTTCAATAGCAGTAAGCTAATAAATGAATCATTTTCCCCCCCAAAGCAGTTATTGATGAGACATGGATGGTGAGCCCCTGGTTTTGGTTCCCTTGTGCAGTGTATGTCAGGAGTAGAGCATGTTTCTATACATGGGCTTCCTTTTATTTGAGATGGAATAGTCCCCAGAAAATTGCCCTCTTGCGAATGTTTGAATTGTTTCTTTTGGCCTTAAATCTTCTATATAATTCATTTTCCTGCATATTTGTGTGCCTTTCAAAGCCGGCAGCCGTTAACAAGAGAGGTCTGACAATCCTCACGGCAGCGGTGTTTATCGTTGGAGAAATGGCAGGCGGAGGAATTCTGTCGCTTCCCGACGCACTCAAATCAGCAGGTCTGCTGTTAACAATTCACTTACACGTATCTCTACTTCAACTTTGCGCTTGCATGCTTGAAGAATCAAGAATTTTTTTCTGTCTGAATGAGTTTCACTTACTGATACCTTTTAAGATCCAGAGATACCAGTTTTCAGGGAGTAGCGCGATTTCAGGCTTTTCACTCGCAATGTCAGGCCAATAAATCTCAGGTCCTATAGGTAACAAGGTAGTACTTAGGCTTCTCTGGCCTTTATTTCAGGCTGTGGACGAGAAGCTGCCTGGCATTCCTGCCGATCATTTGTGCAGATATACTAGAGAATTAAAAATTTCAAAACTTTCAGCCGAGACATTGTGAGGTGAACCAACATTTGTTGCCCATCAGTTCTCTTTATTCCTCTTGAGCTACTTTTCCCTATATCATGCAAGTGCTTTAGTCAGGTCCATTAAAATCCATGTCACAAGCAATGGGCTGATGAGCAGTGACCAAGGCACTTTAACTGGATGGGAACTTGACTTGGGACTGTGTGACTCGTTGACTTATTGAACCTCAGAAGTCCGTCTTGGAAACCAGACAAGGAGGCAATCAATTAAGGTTCTACTATGAAACGGAAAGTCAAGCTGAACAAGAAGGGCTGAGGAATTGCTTCCACAAGCTTTGCAGTTCACACCTTGCAGGTTCATCTTAAGTACCAAGATGCCACAGTGTATGATAAGATCTTCTGTTCTCCCCCCATAGGATGGAGCGGTATCTTACTTCTCATCTTCTGTGCCTTCCTCTCCGCCTACACTGGCATTGTTCTTGGTCGGTCTTGGCAAATCCTCAAGGATAGGTTTCCTTTTTACCGAGAGCACATAAGGTACCCCTATCCTGCAATCGGTTTTGAAGCCATGGGAAAAGCAGGCAGGTAAATATTCAGCCACATTTGCTCTGTCCACTTGAATTGGATTAAAGTTAGAATTTGCTTCAAGTTGAAGTGAATCCTTAGCGGCAAGAAAATAAAAACAAGTTGGTTGAAAAGTGTTCAACCAGGCCCGTACACATGCTTCCAGTGCACCCACAAATACCATATACAGAAAGTGGTTGCATGTGCCCAGTGCGTCCTGTAGCAAATATGCCTAAACATGCACACGCACGTGCAGTGAGTTTCTACAGTAGGACAATTGTTTTGTATAAACACATCTCTTGTTCCCTCTCAGTGCAGATAGGCACACAGATCCCTCTACATTTTAGCTCTCCCGGAACAGGCACATAAAATTTGATTTATTTTTCTGGTGGGTTAGGCCTACTAACGACAAATTTATGAACAAATTATAAAAATGTTAGGCAATGAACTTCTGATTAAGCTGGGCTTTGTTAGTGAATATGTAATAAAGCATATGTAATATTCTGAGCACTCTTTCGACCAGTTGTGGAAATCTATCTGTAGACAATTTGGGATGTGGTCGTCCACAAGAGAAAGTCTTCGAGTTAAGACATGCAGTTGACTGGTTTGTACATGTGTATTGGACACAGAAACCTGAATAGCTGGCACTTGCCCCATATCTTTGACGATCATTCACGCAGGTATGCTGTCACCCTATGCGTCAACCTGACACTGTTCAGTGTGACCACCGTGTTTCTCCTCGTCTCCTCCCAGCTCTTCCAGACTCTCTTACAGATGGCGGAAGTGAACATATCATTCTGTGCCTGGGTGCCCATCATTGCTGCCGTTCTCTGCCCGTTGACTTGGCTGGGGACACCCAAAGACTTCTGGTGAGTTGACATTGAAAGCACCAAGCAAGTGTGGTACGTGGCCGCATAAAGCATTAAACTACTACAGCACTAACTCTTCAGTTTTGGGCACAGAAGCTGTGACGCCGTCCAGACATTTTCAATTCCCATGCGTATTGTGGAACAAAGTGAAATGAGTTGGCAAGAATTCTGAATGACGTACTGTAAATGAAGTGCACAAATCCAACATAAGCAAATAGAGCATGTTTTTTATCAGTCGTATGATGTACATGTATCATATAAAAAGCCGTAGGAAACTTCATCTGCAGTGCAGGTTTGTGCACAAACACGGATGCACCCAGCAGGCTACTCTGCACAGCGAGTTAGTCTTCTAGTAATTTAATGTATAGCTCTGTGGTTTGGCCACACTTTGATGATATCAGCAAATTCTCATGAACATCAGCATAATGTCAAGGTGTTGTTTTAGTTAGTTTCCTAGTACAAATAAACCACTGGCCTTCCTTGATACAAGACATTGCTCCTTGGTCCGGGGCACTCATCTTGTTTGAGCTGGTCTTTGACAGGAGCATGACTTAAATTGAGTTTGGACCAAGTTACGTGGTGAGACCTTCCTCTGCAAAGCAAAACTTAAGGTATAAAGTTAGTAAGGGCTTTGTTCAAATCAATTGGCTGGAGCGTGAAATTACACACAGGCCTATGGTAGTGGCTGCGGCTGCATTGCATAGAGTCATGTGTAATTTCGAGCCGCAGTCAAGTAATTCAGACATGGACTAACTCGGCTCGGCCGTCTGGGGATACTTTGTTGCAGGCCGATTGCAGCGGGCGCTGCTGTGTCGACCGGATTGGCCTGTATACTCATCTTCGCCCAGGAGATGGAAGATTTGGGCCCCACCGTCAGTCACCCCTCCCCCACCTTCCAGAGTTTTTTCACAGCTTTCGGCGCCATTCTCTTTGCTTTTGGCGGCCACGCCATTTTTCCTACTGTTCAGCATGACATGAAGGACACCAGGAAGTTCCACTGGACTGTGCTTGTTGCTTACATCGGTTGGCAAGTTTTCTTTTTCTTTCAACAGGGCTTCCTGTAAAAAAACAAAGAAGTAAATCCAAGTGCATTGATGAAGTTTGTTGAAAGGCATTACTTCTGTCCTCTAGTGATTTGCAAGTTCATACTTTGAAGCAAATTTGACATCACAAACTGTTTGAATTGCAAAATTCACTTGAGTTCAGATGGGTTCAACTTCTGCAAATACATAGCACAACTATGTGATCCGATCTCACAAATTCTGACAATCTGACTTCGATTTTGCTGAATTGTTGCAGTTGTGGTGGCTTACTATTTGCCTGTGTCTGTGGGTGGATACGTGGTCTACGGAGCCCAAATTGAAGCCAATCTCCTCAAGTCGTTGACCCCCGGCACCGTCACAACTATCGTGATAGTAATGATTATGCTGCATCTCCTGATGGGAGTGGTCATTGTCATCAACCCCTTCTGCCAGGAAATAGAGGAATTTCTCAAGATCCCACTCAGTGAGTTTTCCTTGTTTTTCATGGGGGGATAACTTGGAGGCAGGACGGCTGCTCCCTGGAGAAAACAAAAATTAGTCATGGATACGCAACCAGCGCACAAAGCTGTGCAAGCATGCTGCATGTTGGCCCAATCGAATGAATATCATTGAATTGAAGATGAATTGTCAGTTTACAAATAAATTATGCAAGTAAAAAATATGAGCTGTTTTATGTTGGGCTATTAAACACATAAGAGAAGTTAACTGTCTCGGCTTAATGTGCACATGGACAGATCTGGACTTTTTAGACGTGGGAGGAGGGGAGATCAGAATTCACCACCCCATTGCCTAAGAATACGGGCCATTCACAATAGTGCCTCACCAAGAGTTTGCAATGCGTTGGAGAAATCATAACGTGCAAAATTTGTCGACCCTTTCCAAATGCACACTGGGTCGACAAATTTCACGCATTGTGATTGGCCAACGCGTTGCAAACTCTTGGTGGCGCACTATTGTGAAACGGCCGTATTCAGCTAATATTCACTCAATCTCTCTTTAGGCTGCATCCAAATCTCTTGTCTAAAGCTAGGTCAAGGTCTTCACTCCATTGGAAATGCGTAGAGACGCGCAGATAATAATAATAATAAATAATAATAATAGACCTAGCCGTAGCTCTGGAAGCCCATTTCGGACACGGCCTCAGACTTGGTATGCATGTACATCCAGGAAATTTCAATTTAGCACAGCTATTTGTTGATATGGTCATTTGAAGTTTGTGGCCTCATGCGTACCTCATGCCTGCATGCATTATGGCCACCTCAATGAAAACAGTGTACATTACCGCTGACCTCTCTCTCGGGAAAAAAATGGGCATTGTGCAGGAACTATAGGTCTGATTCTGGTATCAAAATGGCCACAACCCATTGCTGAAAAACTTGCAGAAGGCTTGGTGCAGGAAAGAAAACGTGCAGCGATGATATCAGAGAAAATTCAGCGGGTTCAGCCCCTCATCAGGTCTTCAAGAGTTAAGTACATGTAATCTACACACTATCTAATTCTGCACCATCTCACCCTACAGAATTTGGCTGGAAGCGAATTGTCCTACGTACGGTGGTGATGGCAGCAGTTCTCTTCATGGCTGAAACCATTCCCAAATTCAGTGTCATCTTGAATCTCATCGGTGGCACAACAGTCACACTGTTAACCTTTGTCTACCCCTCCCTGTTTTACATTCTGCTCCGGCGGCAAGAGAGTCCAGACAATGCCTGGGTTACAGGGTGAGCGAAAACAAAAACAACCCAAACCCTAATCCAAAACCCAAACTCCAAACCAAACCCCAAATCAAAAACTATAACCTAACCAAAATGAATCCTCAAACACAGCCCTCTAAAAAAAACCCTAAACCCAAAGCAAAAAAGAAATTCCTCTCAGACTTAATGAATAGATACTGTCTAAATATTCTACATTACTTGTTCATTTGTTGGCTTGATGTAGGCCTGAAGTCACTGCGAGATAACATTCTGTTTTTCTCATGCATTGACCCTTGTCATGTTACAAACACAGGTTTCTTTGTGGCTTCATCTCTTACAGGAAAATTGAGATATGGGAGTATGTACTTCACGCTGAAATTATACTGATTGGGTTGGTTGGTGGAGTGGCGTCGACATACAGCGAGATTTACGACATTGCGACAGCGACGGGGCCGACGCTTACCGTACCGTGTTATATCAACTCAAATCAAACGGGATAGGTTTGCTGTGTCGATTCTCCAGAATATGCCCATACCCTTGTAGTTGTTATGGAAAAAAGCTCAGTGAAAGCAAGAAACGATGGGCAAGTATTCATGAAGGGACCCACACTGGTCCATACAGTCCTTGCAATTGCTTGGACATTTTCAGCATTGCTTGTGATTTGTCAGAGATGTAAAAACTACTGTGAACTGCTCACTGACCACAGTTACCTGAAATATACAAATATCAAAAGTTTGAGAGCCTGCTTACTAAAACAAACGTTTTCAAAAGTAACAATAATGCCAGGCCCTCTAACTTACTAGGATTCCAAATATAAATAATCGAAATAGTTGGACCACACAGCTCAGCTGCTGAGGCATAATTTTTCAGTTTGCTTGCAGCATGTTACTCTTCATTTTACATATCTAACTTGAAAAAACAAATACCCTAGTATTACAGTGCTGTGTGAATCAGTGATCGTGGGCTGTGACTCTTGGCTTTGCCACTGTTAGGACACTTCAGAGATTTAGCCAGTTAAGTGCCAAATTATGGTTGTAGCTTTTCAAGTGCACATAATTTTCAGTATGAACAGCCACTCAGAAGTCAGCATTTATATGAATATTAGTATCATAAGGGAATATCGAATTTACTTTCTTTATTTTTTGGCTTCCTGCACAATTATAGCACCATTTGTATCAACTGGAATTTGTCGTCTTTCGCTTAGTGATGCAATTACTAGAGGAAAAGATGTGCAAGAGGATCAAAGTCATGTCTACTAATTGATATCATGTCCTAAATCTTTTAATATTATCATCTGACATTTTAAATTTGTATAAGTATATAATTACAGATTTGGGTATATATATTTGCAAAATCTATATCAAATCATAAGTTATGACGCATTTTTATCTGTCTTTGATAAAAGAATGAAGATGCTCCAAGGGAATGTATAGAAATTTCAGCAAACAGCTTATGCCTACAAATGGTCATGGTATTCTGGAAGAAAATGAAGAAATCACAGCTGTAAAAAGTGACCTTCAGTGCTTGATTGTGAACTATCAGAGTCAGATCTCTTAACATGGCCTTGTGTGAGGAAAACAGTATTTTCAACATTTATTAACTGAGGCATCATACTTCTGTGAATGTAGTTTTTATTTCCACTGCAAGCGCTGACACAAGCGCAAAACCTGTTAACTGCAGCTGTTTATGTGATTATTTCAGCCACAGGTTACTCATCATTCCCTGGTGAAGCTCAGCTGCATGAAACCTGGATAATCTGGGCCCAATGTCAAAGCACAGCTAATCAACAGTTAGAACGAAAGATTTGCTTACTACAGCAGAAAGCGCTGTTTCATGGTGGGATTGTCTTAGTAACTGCACCCGTGAGATCTTTATTGTTTACTGATTGAAGCAACTTTTTTTCCCTCCACGATTGAGTTCGCTTTTGCTGTGCTTACTACTTGACAAGAGTTTCTTTGGAATAGACAGAGGCTCTGCCAGCACAAAATCAGGTGTTAAAGCTGATGACAGCTTTAACCAAGCTCCAGTGATACCTTTTTACCTCATGGAAAACATGAACACGCATTTTAATAATGAATTTGAATTTCAACAAGAGGACTGAAACAGACTTTTAGTTATTTTTTAAACTTAAGGACTGAGATAAATTCCCTGCACATTGAATACAGGATTACTTATAAAAGTTTGTTACAATAATGAAGCAAACTTTAGTTAACATATTACCTCACAATAAAAGCTCGGTATTGAGTAATTTAGAAATACACATTTAAAAACAAACAAAACATTTACAATTTTAGCTATGTTACATGCTATTGAGATCAACTGAAATAAAGTGTGATTCTTCGTCTAATAAAAGTAAGTCAAAAATGAAAGAACACGGTTTTTCACAGGAGTCCTTTCTGTAACAAAAAGCTGTTATATGTTGGTTGTATATGTATTGGGGAAATAAGTGGAAGTCTTCTGCCTGTGGTTTTTTGGTTTTGGCGATCTACCGTTAATGATTTCTCTGCTCTCTACGGGTGTATGTGCTTGCACATATTGAAGTTTTTAGCTGTGACAGTCCCTGATCCCCAAATCATTAAATCCTTCTTTCCTTGTTAGAGGGATCTACATGTACTCAGTGCCACTGTCTAAATCTTCTCTATCTGAGATCCCCTCACGAGCATCATCAAACGGCAGCTCATCAGCCTCATCTTCATCATCTTCATCAAGCTGGTCTTCTTCCGCTTCATGCTCCCCAAGTGTGTGGCTACTAGCTGGTACCCCTGGTGAGCTTTCAACAAGGTGCGAAAACCTATCAACGTAGCCCGAGTACCCGAATTTGGAACCACGACGACTTTGAGATGTATTTTGTTCCCACTGATCAGAGTCTGCTGTCCGTTTTTCTCTATTGGAATTTCCATTGTGGATGTCTACTCCCTGGCCGAGCTCACCTTCTCTCTGAACGAGGGTAGAGTCAACGTCTGTGTCTTCATCCGCACACAGTGGTACCCAACTAGAGTGCCTGAGCTCATCTTTGGAGGATGTAACGGCTGCAGTAGAAGCAGGTGTTGGGGTCGTCGATGCAAGTACGGTTGCTTTGTCCTCAGTGTCCTCAGCACGAGATGCATCTACTTGGTGGTGTCCAGAGTTAATTTTGCTTTCCTCTGTTGTGCTGTCAAATTCTGGAAGTGGTCGCCAATGATGAGAGGTTGCCATAGTTGCCGCATCCACATCTTTGGTATCATCCATCTTGAGCTGTGAGTGTGAATCAATTGTGAGACCTGGGGTTTCCTGTTTGGCAACTGCAGTGCTGGTGATGCTAAGAGCTCCCACTGCAGTGTAATAGGAAGATGCATCAATGAGATTCTCCTGGTCTGCCCGTGAAGCAGACTTTAACACAAGCTCCTCTGTACCGACAATCGAGGTGCTGTGTTCCTCAGTGACAAATGACGGGGAGTGCCCAGAGAAAACCTTTGAAATCTCTTTCGCTGTCAAGACGACGCTGTGTGAGCTGGTGAAAGATTCACGAGACAAGTAGCTACCTTCAGAAGATATTTTTTGCATTACATCAACCTTAGCAGATTCTGTACTCGGGTGGGAAGATGGCTTCTGTGCTATATCAACCACAGGTGGGTGCGAGTCAGAGGGTAACGAGAACTTCCGAGTGTAGGCTGGGTAACCAAATTTTGACTGGCGTCTGATCTGGCCAACTTGGGCGTGCTCTTCCCCAGATGCAGTGATGACTGGGTCCTTGGTTGGCGTTTCCAATGCATCTCTGGACTGCTTTGCCGAGGCAAGTGACGAGTGGGACACTGAACCCACCCTGGGTATGTCATTGCTAAAGACTGAGCTATGGACTCTAGGAGATACCGAAACAGGTGAACCAGGCAGAGTTGGTCTTCTCTGCTGGTGGTGATCCTCAGACACAATGGCACGGAGATTTCCAGACGATGACTTCACAATAATTGGGGCTGTGCAGATGCCTGATGTTGCTGAGAATCCAGTGCCTGAGATTTTACTAGTGGAGATCCCAGAGAGACTCTCATATTTTGGATGTTGATGCACCTGCACATTTGCATAAGAGTATGCTGCCTCCCCTGACGAACTCTTGGCAAGTTCGGGTTGTTTTTCCTCAACAACCAAATCAGTGGAAGGCTCCAGGTCATGCACTGAATGCCTTGAAATAGCCTCTGTGGAGGCAGTGGAAGATTTTTGCTGTTCCTCTTGTTGGATGGCCAGGTGGTGGGAACTGAGGGAATCTGCTGATGACCGAGGGAGAGTTGATTCCCTGATGAGGCTTCCAGATGTCAATGGGGTGTTTAGTTGTCTGACTGGGGCTTCGTATGCTGTGGATTCTGAGATCGGGATCCAAGCGTGGGATTCCTGAACTGCGCCTGTGTCAAGGGGCAAGGAATGAGAACTGTACAGAGAGCTGCGCTTTCCCCCAGGAAAACTGACTGGTGGGGGTGACTCCAGGAGAGGTCTCCGCTGCTGACTTTGTTCTTCGTACGTGACAGCTCTGAGTTTCCCAGACGAGGATTTGACAATCAAGGGAGCTGTGTGACTACTCGTGAATGGGGAACTACTTCTTGATAGCATTCTGGGAGAGTTAGTCTTTGTGTGGCTGTAATGGCTTGGATGTGATGCAGTTTCCCTGGAGACAGCATCCATAATTGTTTCCCTGTCCTCATCATACGTCACTGAATGGCGGCTCAAGCGGTGTTCCGATTGGTTGACATCAAATAGTGACCTTTTGACCCTAGATGTGGACGAACGTGAGACAGCGGAGCCACCGGAGATCGAACTACCGGGTGACTTTGTCTTGCTGTTAACCAGTGACAGCCGTTTCTGCATCGCAAGTTGAGGAACCGGGATGGGACTTGACAGGAGTCCGGATGCACTCCCTGGTTTGGGTTTACTCTCCTGGTATTCTGCCAATGAGAGTATGTCTTCTGCGCTTGATTTTCCGTGGCCTGAGAGTGCAATGTGGGTAGACCGCTGCTGTTCCACTGGTTCAATCGCCGGTGATGGAGACGGTGGAAGAGAAATTGACTCAGCAGAAGACTTCTTTCTTGGCGTTTCTACAACTTCAGTTTGGGAAGATGCAACATGTTTACTCGACTTCCTTTTCAATATAACATCAGCTGGTGACTTCTCATCGACGGTTGATTGGCTCTCCTCCGAGCCAGTATGTGGTGGTCTCTCGTGAAGTGCCCCGTGACTTTTTCTGTCAGCTTCTGCAACTTGCTCATCAATCTCCTTGGTTTCTATAGTTGCTTGGGACCTTTTCGTCTTCTGGCCTTTGAACAAACTGTACGAATGGGACGACTTGAAGTTTTTAAACTCTTCTCTCGAGATTTCCCTGAACAAATCGATTTCTGCATCGTCGAGTAGAGGCTTGTCTGCCGGGACAGCGTCCATTTGTATGACTGCAGTAGGGGAGCCACCAGATTGCGGTACTTCTGCTTCTGCTCTGTTAAAAATAACAGCGAGACATAAAAAGTGGTGTACCTTGTGTTCGTAATTAATGGCAACATTAGAGACCGACACTGTAAGACGTGAGGAAATTGAAAACACAAAGAGTGCGTAAGGTAAAATAGATTTCTCACAGTTTAGGTGATACTTTCACTTCTATTTTAGATGAAATGATGGCCAAAAACCTTGGAAGCTCCACTTTGAACAAGCTGTTTTGTTAAAAGTAATATCCATCAGCAGTAAGATTACCCTCTCAGTTTTAGTAGAGGTCGGAGGAAGAAATCCCTGCCCCGTTTGTTCGTGAAATACCATTTCAATATATCTCGGGCACAAGACTCACGGTTTTCTTTTCCTCAGGAAGAGGTAGACGCCAAATATGACAGCGACAAGAATGCAGAGAGCTATTATTGCCATGGACGTATCGCCAATGAAGAGGGGAGCTGCAGATGGGAAAGGACCAAGATGGGAAAGAGTGAGGGACAAAAAGACAATTGTTCTTCAATAAGACATATCAACTTGTCACCATATGAAAAGGAGCGGTAACGTAAATTTTTCTTTTAAAGGAAGATAGGGGCCAAGAGAAACAATTGACGGGAGGAAGCTGCTACATTGTACAAGACTACACTGCTGGAGTAACAATTCATTCCTTAGGCCTACATCATGTGGGTTTACAATGCAAGAAATTCTAGTCTTGAGAGTAAGTTTTAGAGCTTGACGGCAGAACAGATATAGCAAAGCCGTACGTTAAAAATTCACGATGAAGACAGACAAGGTATGTTTAAACAGTGCATAACAGACGGAAGACAATCGAATGTAACACTCTGGTGCGGGTTCTTACAGACTCGTTCGCAGGTGTGGCCCACAAATTCCACTGGGCAAACACAAGTAAACAGCAGGCCGCTACCGCCTTCGTGCTCGATACAGGAGCCACCATTCTTACATGGGTTGGACTTGCAAGTTAGTACATCTGACAAGAAGAGATGCAACTTCTGAGAGTTTCCATAAACATCACATATTTTATCATCGCAACTGAACTTTTTAATCCAAAGCTTAATATTTTCTTATTGCAGTCAGTAACATCCCTCCCTACTTCGGAAATAAAGGAACTTTTCCGGCAACCAGCCACAGTTATATACATTAGGTATATACGTGCACAGATTACATGGCCGCCATAAAGCTCCTCACACCGTTGCAACAGAACACTTAACGGACATTAAAACAGACTGACAGCAAACGGGTAGGAGAGAATTTTGTCTGTTTTTAGCTTTAGATTTTATAGCTAGTGGCAATTTTCAAAGAGGTAGCAACATTTATCTGCGTTTTAACCTGAAATAAATATCGTGTGATTATTGATAATTTGGCATGATTTATCTCGTATTGACTGTCTGAAGAAAATAATTACTGTTCTTACTGATCTTAGCGTCTGCCGTCTCGCTGGAATCATCATCCATGATGACCACACAGTGGTAGATGCCTTCATCTGAGCTCTGCACGCCGCGAACGATGAGCTTACTGCCCGTAATCTTGAACCTGCCGCGAAACATAAAAATCTGAATGCAGACCGGGCGAAAGAGATATACCTTTACAATAGCGGGATAAAGGATTATAAAGCAAACACCGTCTAGGAAAAAAGTGGAACGTGTAGGGTCGTTATACTTCATTGTCGGCTCAGTGGTATGCTAGGCCTAAGTGTGGGCACATTCCTTGGTCGAAAGCAAAATTTTAAAACAAACCGATGCTGGCAAATTTTAACCAAACTAATTATGACTATCTTGCCCGTTGATGAAGGTTGGCCCATATTTCGAGGCGTGTTAATGGTGGAAATCACTGTGTCGGCAAAAGCCTACAATATTCAGCGTTACCGTGGTCACCGGTATTATCTATAGACGTCTCAGTCCTAACTTAATGAAAAAAAAACGTTTTGCTGCAGTGTGTTTAGATTTGATGTGAAATTTACTGTGTGGTGTCCGATCCAAGCATGGGCCTACTTTTCACTGAAGGCAGCGCTGTCCTTAGTTATCTTTTCTCCTGTCGGACTGATCCAGTAGATCTCCTTTGGTGTCTTGCTGGGGTCAAAGTTGCACTCAACCTCCGTGCTATGACCCTCCTCCCGGGTAATTTCTTCACTTTTCTCCTCTGCGTCGGTAATCAGGTGGAGAAAAAGGCCGTTTAGTTTACATATTGTTTTTGAATGTCACAATGCCACTGTTGAACCAACTGCTCGTGGGGATGGGTGGAAATCATCCAACAACCGACGCGCTGCGATCATTGGCGGAGCTTTTCGCAATGCCCGTTGTGGCCAACATACACAATTTTACAATACATGTAATTAGTTGTCAAAACCGATGAGTTAGGGTGTCACATCCCCTCCCAGCAACGACCAAGCCTGTTAATAACCAGCAGTATCTGTTTATGAGTGACCCTAATTTTCGTTCAGAGCAACTACAAGGTAATCACAGATTGTCAGTACTCAATGTTTACACCCAAAAATGACTATTCGCATCTTCAACCACAACAACTTTTAATTAATGCGCAACTTCCAACTTTTCCGTCTTCTGCTAGAATGTATGTAATAAAAAATGTCGAATAATTATACACTCTCTACCCACACTGAAAACACAAAAATCGAACCTTTGATCTGGTGTCAGACTACTGACGTCCATTCTTAAAATTTAGCTTTGTTTCTGTATTTGGGTTTGGGGTAAATCCCGGCCCAAATAAAATCGTAATGCGTAATTTTTTATTCTAATAGCCACTTTTCTAAAGACTTGATACCTTCTGAACAAGCATCAGCGACACACTCTGCACTCTCCTCGCTGCTTCCTGTGCAGTGGTCGTCTATATTCTCCGGCAAGCAGATTCTCTGACGGAGGCTGACGCCTTTGCCACAGGTCACGGAGCAGGAACCCCAGCTACTCCAATCGGCCCACTCGGAAGAAGCCGTCTCAGCGTTGGTTTGATATGCCAAAGTGGGGTCATACTCCGGGTCCTCTCGTCGTAACCGGTGTCTCGTTCGCTCTTTGTTGCCGTCAATTGCAAGGTGCCGGTTAGTATCTTCATTTGCCCGTCTCTTCATCTGATTATTGCTTTCTCGGCTCTTTTGTTGTCCCTCCATTCGGTCCGGTGTAATGGTGGTATCTTTAAGTTGGCTACGTGACTCCATATTTTCTCCATGCGTCTGCTTCCAGATGCTAGCACTTTCTCGTTCGGGACTCCATATTCTACCTTCATGGTCTCCAAGATATCTACGGCCTCGTCCAACTTTCGTCATATCAAATGAGTTATGTTCATCCGTATATTCGTTCATTTTGTCATCATCTTCAGAATAATCATTAGTATCAAAATCTAAATCATCTGTATCATCCTCCTCGTTCGCATCAAAATCGCCATCTTCACCTTTGAAAGTCTGAGCAGTCACACGTTGCATCCTCTCGTGATGTAGCCCACGGCCCCCGCTGCCATTTTGTGCTTCGGTTTCCTTGTGAGCATTAAGTACTCCATACTCATCGTCGATGTGGATCCGAATTGCTGCTTTTCTAGCCTGTCCCCGCTGAAATGGCTTCTTTCGGTGCCGGTGACCGCCGAAAAGCTTTACAAGCAGGCCGGGAATAGCTCCTTCCTTCATGCCCTTTCCATCAGACGAGGTGACGTTCGATGGGTCGACGATACCGGACTTGTAGTCATGATTTCCTATGTGGATACCGTGATCTTCCTGATTAATTATGACAAAATTGTTTCTACGGCTGTCAGCAGGGAGTGGTACGTGGTTTGCCAGCCTAGTGGAAACGTCTTCCGCTGCAAAAAGGTCCGTAATTGCTGGCAAGTATTTCAAGTTGTTTGCCTCAATCTTTCCAGTGATGGATACATTAACCAATTCATGGTCGCGATTATCGATACGTTTAATGTCGACTTTTGGTGACTTTTTGACGTTGTCCGTGTCGGGGGAATCTTTGGAGACTTGAATTTCAACATTTTGTTGGTTCTGCCGACTTGATGATACGGGGCTTATATACGGAAATGGTTTTTCATAAATTTTGAACGGCTGCTGACTTCTGGGGTTTGGCTTTACAGTTGCTTTTAATTCCAAATTTCGGAAGCGGGGACTCCGCGTTTCAAGGAGCGCTGTTTGTGTTGGCTGAAAAACGCGCGTGCCACCATCGAAAATGTATGCATCACCCATACTCGCATCATCGTATTCAGTTTCGAATTCCGAATCCGGATAATGGGGACTCGGCATCTCGGGGAGTGCTCTTGGTGTTGGCTGAAAAATGTGTACACCACCATCGAACATGTCTGTATTATTCATGTTCGTGTGGGCGTAGTCGGTTTCGAATTCCAAATCTGGATAGTGGGTAGGTCTACTCTGCATTTCAAGGAGCGCTGTTGGGGTTGGTTGAAAAACTTGCGTACCACTATCGAAAATGTCTGTATTGTTCATATTTGTATCACCGTAGTCTGCTTCAAATCCCCATTCCGGAAAGCGAGGATTCTGCATTTCAGGGGGCAGTGCTGAGGCTGGCTGTTCAACTCGTGTACCACCGTCGAAAATATCTGAATCGTCGTATTCTATTTCGAGTACAGAGTCTCGTGAAGGACGACTTGTAGCAGTGGCAGTTGGCTTCAGGACTATTCGGTGCTCCCCCTCGTTCTCTAGTTGGGGAAATGGTTCCAGATACAAGTCTGGTGGTTGTTTTTGATTGTGACCAGGTGAAACACTGCCAGAGTCGGAATGGACCAAGACTAAATCCTGCCTGAGAACAATGCCTGGCTCAGGAGTGACGATCTCCTTCACCTCCATCTGTAAGTTTGCTTCGTTTTCACGTTGACCCTCCTCTGAAGTTTGTGTCGGGTGCACTACGACGAGGTCTTGCCTCAGAAACACCTCCGGCTCAGGGGTCACAATCACCTTCATTTGGAGATCGTCCTCAGGAATCAGCTCCGACTTCACACCCGATTCTAACTTTGGATCTTTTTCAAACCGTCCATCTTCCTGCACTGATGCGGGATGAATCAGAACTAAATCTTGACGGAGTAAAACTCCCGGCTCAGGGGTTAAGATCGTCATGTACTCGGTTTGGAGATCACTGTCTGAACTAGGTTCAGATGCGTGGAACCCCCAACTTTGATCTTCGTCATCAGACGGCAAATGAAGAGCTGCATCTTTTTGTGTCCCTCCTTTGGGAGTGTCCACGCTGCTGCTGGAATTCGGCTTCACCTTTCTTCTGCGAAAGCGATTCGGAAATGCGTTGTCTTCTTCTAACCCAACGGCCTTCCACATTGTCAGAAAGTCCTTCTCTAAGTCTCTGTCACTTGGAACACTTAAAAGGCGTCTGCGGGCGCCATTCACCCCTGATGGCCTGACAGAAGAGCCGTTGTCTTTGTCTGTGTGGGGATCATATTCTTCCTTTTGCTCATTATCTGTCTCGTCCTCGACTATTGCTGACGTTGTAACAGCCTTTAAGTCCTGTGCTGTAAGGTTTCTCTTGGATTGCACGCGGTCGTGGAAATCGTTGTAAGTCTTCAACAAGTGTCTGCAGCTCTGATCTCGAAGCTCGTGTGCTATCTTTTCGAGTTGATTAAGCAATGTGCTGTTGATAGCTGTTCGACGTTCTGTCCGTTAATTTGGGATTCCCGCCAGTACCCCTCCTCTTGGACTTCGTGTCCCTTTGCATTTTGCTGTTTGACAGGAGGTCAAGTATCTTGGTGACGTTTGTCCGCACGTCGTCCAGGCCCTTGGAGAGGGTTTGCACGTCGCGATGCTCAAGCATGGGCCGCGGAGTAGTCTCCCCTGGGCTGAGCTTCTTACTGACCCCATGTCTTTCGAGAGTGTTTCCAGTGGCGACGAATGAGTCCGCTTGTGATTTGCTGTGAAAACGGGGCAAACTTAGGAGCTTTAATTGGTCACCACGGGTACGGTCAGAATTTGCTCTAGTCTCAGCAACTGGGAAGTCAGCCACATCATAGTAATCATCAGCTAATTGCCCGTAATGAGGAGACAGCTCCCCTGGCATTTGGCGATCGTCAGAGCCAAAATCCAGGTAGTCTTCATTGTTTGTCGACAAGAGCACATGGCGATTGACGGGGGAAATCTTCGTTCTGCGGGCTGCACGACCTATGTCTGTGGAAGGCCGAAGTGGGGAAGAAGTTTCTTGGATGAAATTCATGTTATCTCCATCGCCTGGCGTGAGGGCATAATTTCGATTGGATAACGAATTCAACGCCCCGCCGTTTGGTTTCTGGTCGTCAGCCTCCAAGTATACCGGTGCGTCGGGATGGTAATACCCATGGGATAAAACAGGGCGCCTTGGGACCGGACGGTCTGGGACTCCAACGTCTCGATAATTCGGGACTCTCGGGTGGAATGCGCGGGTGTTATACATCCTTGGGGGCATTTCAGGGGGAACCTGGACATTTTGACGGTCCCAAGGGTACGGGACTGGCTTTTGCTCTCGGTTGAGGACTGAAGCCGACTGTAGAAATGATGGAAGCTTTGAGTTGGATAGCTCATTCTCAAAAAAATCTGAAATAGACAGGTTTTGCAATTAAAATGTTAACTAAGAGCATGAAAAACGGAAAATGCTAGCTTTAATCATTAGCATGTTTGTGGTTGGTGGAAAGCAAAGCTTTTTCGTCGGACGCTGTTCGAAGGGAGTAGGACAGGCAGACAACCCTGTGACCTTCCATTTTAAAGTGAGTTCTACCATTTATTGACTTAAGTTTCAGACCTATCCCCAGTAACCAATCCGTTGCAAAAGATACCTAAAACATAACTGTTATGAGTATCCAGGAATGTCACTTAGGCTAATTTCAGATATTTTAGTTGGCATTCCAAAATTCCTCACTCTCAGTGAAACGAAAGAGGGTGTACTGTGGAAACGTGTACCTTTTTCGTTATTTTTAACCTCCAGAAGAATGTCTTCTGATACCACTTCGTCTCGTCCATGGTAGCCGACTGAGACACGGAATGGGTACAGCGTCTGATGCGGGTCAACTTGGCGGATCTTGGCGTTGCAAATTAGGCGGTTCCTGAAGCAGTATACAGCAGAAAACAAACGTTTTGACGTAAACCCTATTTTCACACATACGTCAGTTGCTTCCGAGAGGAACACGTACAAACTGCTTCATTTGATAAATAATTTAGAAAGACAATTGAAGGGCAACTGATCACAATGACAAGGCCTCACCGGCACTCTTGAATTTCTCTCAGTTTGCTAGCTTCCCCGGTGCTCCCTTCGTGCAACTCAAACCATTCGATGTGGATGGGCACCGGCGGAAGATCACTTGCACGTGGAGTAACATAGATTTCAAACTGGAAGTGATCTGCAAGGGAAGGGATGACGCCATGTCCTTCCACGGGACGGACGAATTTTAGGCATGGCGCCCTCTCCGTTAAACGCTCTGAGGGTTAATTAATTTATTAGAATGAATGTGACGAGGCCTAACTAGGCTATTAAATATAGGCCTAGGAAAAGTCTGGTTATTGAGTAACTTACATAATTTGTGTTCTTTGAAATCGGAATCTATTTCTTTAAACTTATTTTTTAATTGCCAAGGCGCTTAAATAAATTAGTTCCTTCTTCGACTTCGACTAGTTCCAAATCAACATGTCGCGAATTAAGAGGAACGGTATGGAGTCTGTTACGAAACTTGGACATCACTCTTCAACGTCTTAGCGACTAACGCTTACAAATCCTTGACTCTACAGGCTATCGAACCTTTCAGAAGCCTATTATTTCTGTACACAGCCAGAGAGTCTTGTCGTTTAACCACTTTAACAAGTGTCGCGCGACTGTTTAACGGCTGTGTATAGAGAAAAATCACATTTGCAATTTGTACAGTTTTACTGGTCTTGTTTTCACAACTCTGCGCCAGATCGCTTTGACTTACCGCCAGGTGTAAGCTTTCTGTCGTAGCAGTGCCATCCATGCTCGGCCAAATAGGCCGGAGAGTTTTCATCGTCACTCTGTTGGGTCCTAACAACAAAAATCGCCACCAAGATCCAAGCGAAACGAGGAAACATGCTGGCCTTTGGGGCATCGAAATTGTAATCTAAATCGTTTCCATAAACATTCGCAAAAACGAAAGCTGAACGCAGTGTAAAGGCGTGCGCGGTGTGTGGCTTACGCGCGCTGCTTCGAAAAATGCATGCGCAATGCAGGGACGCGCACTGAAGGCTTATGCGCGTCTGCGTGTATATATAAAAAGAGGGCATTAAGAACATGGAAATAAAGTATCTGGCGAAGACTCAGTAGGGTCGAAAATTTGGCTATACAAATTGGTGAGCACCATCATTTATTTCCATGTTTAAATGCTTTGGCCTGTAGTACGTCACGGTCCTATTTGCAGCTATAAAAAGAGGGCTTTGCAGGATGCCAATAGAGATCATAATGGAGACAAGCATGATCAAGCAGACGATTCTGAATCTCACGGATACCGATCGCAATAACTCTAGCAAAGCAAGCCAAAAGACCAAAAGTGAAAAGGGAGGTAAGCGGTAGAGCTTCAGGCCAACCCTTTTTATTTATTTGCCCCTTCTTTGGGGAGTGCCAGAGTCATGAATCTAATTGTGTCGGTAAGTTCGACAAGTTAAAACTGGAAAGTATATGTATAATTGCAAACATCGATCCATGATGAGACAGTATTGCTTACTTCTGAAAAATCTGCCTATTGAATGAGGAATTATTTTTGGTATTAATAACTTTAGTGTAGTGAAGCAGTTTGAGGGGAAAACAAACTTTTATTCGCCATAGCGCTTTCTATCAATGTCTCTTTTTCGTTCGCCTATTTCTTAATTTTTGTCAATTTCATTTCAAGTTACAGTGAGGCATGATTTTCTATTTCAAATAAGTCATATAAGCATTTTATGAGTTATTGTTCTGGATATTATGAAAAATCTTCTCTTTCTAATTTTAGGTGTATTTATGAAAAAAAATTGCAAAATACAGAGCCGCGCGGCAACGGAAATCTCAAAATATAAGGTGCACAATGCTTTGTTAGGCTCCGTATTTTTGATAATGTCTTCAGTAGTTGGCGACAGTTGACGACTTGTACACGTAAAACACCTTTTAATTTCGGGATTTCTCAGATTTTGAAAGAGTTGGTTTAAAAGTCCTAAAATTGGGAAAATCCTGATGGAAAATCCTGACAAATCTCACCCCTGCACACAACGGCAATCCCATTTGGTGAAAACTGTAGGTATTCATTCTTCGAGAACACTATCAAGCCAAGAAAAACTGAGTTCAAAATCTACATATAAAATAAAGAACGAGGGTCCAAAAAATTTACCGTCATAAACCAAGCAGAGAATAAGTTTATTCAAGAAAAGAAAAATGTGCACAATTTTATCATTTTTCTTAATATAACTTTCAATAATAATTTCCTTTTCCACGCAGCAGACAAATTGGAAAGAACACTACACACAAACAAACGAAAAGAAGTTCATTATCTGTAATCAATAATTATTACATCACTATTATCTTCAATCACTTTCTCGAGCCGATATTTTATTTTATTTTATTTGAAATCGTCTACATAAAAAATAGGAAATAGGAAATAGGTACTTGTTTTTCCTTCAAAAATTACTATAGCAAAAAAGTCTTTAATGAAAGAGCCTTTTGATTACACCGACTCGCCGCTTTAGGAAGGATAATCCTTTAAAAGAAGACGAGCAACTGCAAACCTCTTTCTCGCGTACAATCACGATAAACGAACGCTTCCTTTCTTATGTATACAATGTACAACATTTTTAACTACATGACAGTTCACGTCGTTTCAGTGTTAACATTTCCCCTCAGTTACAAATGAATTAGGTCAGACGAAATACGGACACGTTTGAACCTTTTTCCATGAATTGCATTAAAGACTGACTGACACTTCCGAAGCAGACATCGAGGCTTCCAATTCTTAACTCCACCGAAGAAATAAGCCAGTATGCTCCAGCAGAAAAAAAAAAATCTTCCCGGAATTTGAGAGGCAGCCAAAATTTCCTTTTACCGGGGCTTAAAACTGCCCTCATCCAAAAGATTCCTGTGGAACGGATCAAAGACGGTTTGGATCTCTAGCTCTGACCGCGTCTGCCCTCCATATATTTAACAGACACAAATAACCTCCAACGATCAATAGACATGCAGACTATTTTTTCGAACATTCAATCTCGCCCGCGGGCGTCCATATCTTTAACCCGTCCGTGCATCTTAAACTTGTCCACAAGTTTCAAGGTTTTCCATTTTGTGCCAGCAGCAAATTATATTTCCCGCAAAAAGCTGTACATGCAGACTGAAGGACTTAACACATACATTATACTCTCATTACACTCTAACAATAATTTAACTATACACTATATAAAACATAAAACAACAGTCCTGAGTTTTCTCCTTTTTTTTGCTATCAAATCACAAGTACTGTGGACGAGTTTTTTAACCAACAGTTTAGACTTCAATATTCTGGGGTACCCTCTTTTGATGGTATTAAAAATGCTTTGGCAAAGATGTGACATTTTTTGACAAGGGTTTAAATCCTTTGAGCATCGTTGTGGTCTGAGCACTTTTCCCTTCAGTGTTGGAGGGAGACCGTTTAAACAGAATTCTTTAGAATTGGAGATGGCAACAAAATACCTAATTTGAATGGTCAAGCACGAGCATTTCAACTGACTGATTTTCATTAGATTTCAGTATTACACAAATATACTTTGGACTCATTTGGATACTAACATATATGGATAGTATATTTACACCGATGGCTAGACCACATTTAGTCACTTTAACCAACAATGCCCTCATTTATTACTGGCAGTAGTCATGTATCTTCTGGTCCAAACCGAGGGTGTGATAGTTGTTCAATATAGTGAGACCCCAACTACTGCAAACTCTTTGGTGGGCCTAGGAATGGGAGAATACAAGTGAGCTGTTCTGATGAGTGACGCGATGGGAAGCACTTCTTGACAGTCTGCCCCACCCCCAACAAAAATCACATGGCTGATAAGTGAACTGGATATGAAGCCGAGATCCAAACGCAAGTACAAGAAACTTGTGAGGGACACTGTGCTCCTTCCTTCTTTATCAGGAGACCTGGCTTTACTGTAACTCGTCAATATGGGACATATGTACTCTTGGTGACACCTGTCATGCGCGACGACTCTTTATCGGATGCATGCAGCAAAATGATCTGAAGGTTTAAAGTGGGCATCTGAATTAGAAAATAACCTGTGCCAGTGTTAGAGTACATGATATGCACAAGGGAGTACAAAAGGGGTATTTATTTACAACCATCAAACACAGTTATCCTTTCTACAAGGTTGCTATGGCAAGTTTCACCTTGAAGGCAACCGACTAAGTGTATTAGTCCAGAAAAAGGCCACACAAGGGTCGTGAGCAAGAAAACTCACAACAGAAAGTGGGTTTCAGGATAGGCGACTATCTGAAACAAGGCAAAGAGGCAAAGCATAGATGCACACCTCTCAAAATGAGAGACCAGACTGCGATGGAACATCTTCACCACTGAACAAATATCAGAAATCAACAGAGAAGCATTGCAAGACCTGCACATGAGAGAAGACCTTTAAGTGTGTAGAAAAGGGGGCTTTGAGTAAAAAATTAACGCGAACCAACACAGCTGCTGAATGCATATTCAAGGTTACGCGGCAATGCCAATTGTTTTCACCTCTCTGATTCTGCATATTTGTTACATACAATTGAGCAAATACGCCGCTTCCTGTGAAATATATAAATCTCAACACATAAACCAAAAAACACCTTCCACAGAATATGTCATAAACAAAGGGGGCCAAAAAAAAAACAAACGAATTTTTTGACATAGAGAAACTGATTTCCATCTCTGTGCTGACACAGTTGTGACTGAAAGACTGTAAGCAATCGTCAGGCAACTTTCTGCTGCGACTAAACTTCAGGGGCTCAGTTGCGCACTCGCTGGATATTTTTGGTTCTTGTTTTTGCTGGGATATTCCCCAATGAAACCTCTCCGTAACGGCAATTGCTCCTGAGCGAAATTCCTCTTGGGGGCATAATCTGCAGAAAGCGCTAGTTTGACGATAATGCCATTACTTAGAGACACTCAGAAAGAGCTTTGAAAGAAGCCAAAACACAGTACAACATTAGATGGCCAGTGCATGCAAGAATGCAACCACTCCAGAAAACACGTGCAACACCATATATCACTTCAACAGAAAGCTTCAACTTGGGGGAGGGGGGGAAACAAATGTAAAATTTGCTATTCTGAATTTGCATAGGGATTTAAGACTAGACACATCCAAACCACCGACCAGCTTCTACCATGAAGGCAATGCCCTGGATCACATGATCAAATTCATTTTTGTTTGCATTCACTTCTTGTACTGAAGAGAGTAAAAAAGTCCATTGGACAAAAACAAAAGTGCAATTAAAAAGTTGTGCACGCACTGACACTGGTTTTTAACTCAAAATAAACAAAAAACAAAACTACTGAATTTTCCGATCTTTCCAACTCTGCTGCTGATGGAACACTTTTGAGAAAAGGAGAGAAACCTTTCTAGGATCAGCCTCTTGTGTATGAGCTATTTCAACATAGCATCGGGCACACCCAAATGTATGCATCACACGGTCACATGTTTCAATGTGACAGGAGATCAAACGGCACTCACAGCCAGTTGATCAACAGAGCCACAATGCATCTCGAGCACACCAGCTTGCCTGCTGCCATGCAGTGGTGAGTGAACAACAGATGAATGGCATCATTTGGTGCTGTCTTCTTCCAGCAAATCTTCAGACAAGAATACAGGAAAAATCCACAGCGATCTCTGTTGAAAACATCTGAGCACGAGACGGTGATGGCAGTACCTCCACCTGGAAACATGCAGCTTATCTATGAGTCAGCCCATTCCAATTCCCCTCCTGCCTGTTACCACCTTGATTCTTTTGAACCTTGTCCCAATGAGACAGCCTGTGGTAAAACAGGCTCCTCTCCGGCCTTACGAGTACACATTGGGCAGGCCTTTCCTCGTAAACAGCCTTTTAAAGATGAACCCATTCATTCCTTGAAACAGTGGCACTGCTCAAATTTACAATATAAAACATGCCTCCATAGCTTCTCTTGGTCACGGACAAGAGCTGGTTGTGAAGTGGGGACTTTGACCCCAACCAGACAATAAGCCTGACTAGGGTAGAATGGCCCCCTTTGGTTACCCGAGGTCATGACAACGTGAATCCACGAGGAAAGCACTCGGCTGCAAAAGCGAATGGGTTGGAGATGACAGACTGAGTCCGGTGAGGTTTTGCAGAGGTACTGGCTCCACTGACCTGAGGTCAAGAGTCACTTTCGTCGTCAGAGTCGAGCACCAGATGCCGGACATCATTCAGCTCACCCAAACACTTGGCCAGAGTGGTGGAGGCCTCAGCATTACTGATGGCTAACCTAGCAAGATGGATCTCATGTCTACGGAGGGCGCTACAAAGGGGAAAAACAGGGGGAGAGGAAACAACATAGTCTTTGAACAATTTTCTGCCTTTAGGCAATCCTCTAGCAAATACCAGAGGAGCTACCTTGAAACAGGTGTGACGTTCTTAATCTTTCAGGCATTTTTTTTTTTTACAATGCTCAAATACAGATTTTTTGTTAAGGGGGAAAGTCACCATTCCAGTTGTTATCAAGTCAGAATCTGTTGATAAGAAATTCAACATCTTACCCGAGGAAAAGTACCAATTCTGAGATAAGAAAATCTAATGATCCATGGTTTTCACAGCCAATTTTTCACCAAGATCTGAAGGTCTTTATTAAAATTTGTGAACTGCATATATTAACTAACATGAGATACACAGAACTGAATGAGTTCTCAGCAGCACAAAATCCCCTATTCTTTAATTTAACCTTGTGACATGGTGTGCTAATGAAATCACGGCCAACCCATACGGAAATAAAGAAGGTAGACGCTTAAAGGGCCTCTTCACCCTTTCAACAAATGTCAAAATACTGCACAGAGACAAAAATTTGGATTTCCTTCTCCACAGAGTTGGTTGAGGTTCTGGGTGGCCACTGACCTCAGATTCAACCCGTTAACAAATAAAAACTCCCCAAAGCTCATCAGACAAAAATGTGGTAAACTGTCTGAAATCATGTGGTGCCAAGCACTGATCGCATGAACCTCAATTTATTGTGCAAAGCCTGATGAGCAGAAAAGATCAGGCACTATTTTCCACATTCAAAGGTACATATAACAGGCCGTTGAGGAAAGAAATTGAACTTACACTTCATGCTAATTGGACTACTATGTACGTACCTCCTTGCAACGGCCGAGTGGGCTGCCAAATTCTTCAGCACCAGGGCAGCAGTGATGCGGATACTCTTGGTCACTGGTCCTTCACTTTCGCCCTGCAGTTAGACAAAATTTAAGTCATGACGACTGACTTGTACGAAATGGCGCCACAGCAGCAGACCTGCCAACCTTTAGAATCGCAAAAGTGTATTCGGAGGTTCCAAAATGTGTATTTTTTCAATAAAAACGTGTATTTTCCCAAACAAACAGTAAAGCCAAGCTAACAAGTACCTTTGCGTGGCTACATACTATTTGAACTTTAATACTTTACTCGTGCAGGCTTAAATGGACCTTAAAATTTCCTGGTGTTGCTAACAGCAGTTGCTTTCTTGCATTTACGCAACAGTTTATTTTGGTGTGCACATTGCTGCCAGGGCCTAGCTGTGGCTTGGGTGTATATTTTGTTTATGAGAAAGTCCGACAGGACTGCAGTACTGTGGATCGCATTCTTTGTTTCAGCAATGTCGGGGTATTTACCGATCGTGGTATTTAGTGACGTTCTGATTGGTTGAAAGGGCACTACGAGGGGCATGTGTACATCGCGTACAGCAATCACGAACGCTCTACATTACGAGTTCACGATATCGAACGGCGTGACATGCGACTTTGTCTTGCTTGCAGCCGCTTAAGCTATTTTAGCTTAAATTTCACACAGCGCCCTCTTTCTTTCTGTCCGTGTCAAAATTATCGAAATCCGTATTTTATGGTGATAAAAAGAGGTGTTCTTTCAATGGACTTATTGGAACTAGAGAATAGTCTTCCACAATGTTGAGTACGCACAGAACCACGACTGCTGTAAACAACCTGAAGCAAAACAGCGAGCACTTTATGCCTACTTATGTCGCGTATAAACCTGCCAGGCTATGTTTTGTGGAATAGATACAGCAATGAGGAAGGTACGGACGGGCTGCTTTTAGGCTCAATCCTCCGAAAAGTCTGAAGGCAAAGAATGTGCCACAGACTTCCTATGGAGTGATGGAGGTTGCAGGCAAAAAAAAACAAAGTGCGGGCAGAAAAAAGTTATTACAGTAAATACAAACAATTATTCCGAGATGTGCGTCACATCATTCAGCATTTTCCCAAGAATTTAATTGAGATCTTATCAAATTCAACAACCCACTAGACCACATCTGATCATTCTCCAATCCAGGGGCAGAGGTACACATACCAGAAGATCCTTGAGAGACGGAGAGTGAAGACTCCTCCGGATGGCATGGTAGGCAGTGTGAGCGTTGTAGAGGATAGGAGTAGGGAGCTGTGCGGTGGGAGTGGTGGTGCTAGACGCTGTGGAAGCCTGCTGGCGTTTCTCAGCCGCTGCCCGCAGCGCCTGTTCCGTGCAGTGCTTCTCCTGTTGTGGACAGAAGAAAACAACATGGCACCCTGGTCAAACAATGATCCATTTGATCCATTAAATATTGATAGCACTGAATTTCAATGCTCCTGTAGCTATGAAATCTGAGTTGGCGGAGAAGATCGAATGTTAAACATCAACACAAACACCCATGGCATGCACCGACGATACATCTGAGAAATCATTCCACAGTTTCATTCAAAATCATTCTACATGAACAAACAAAAATGAAACCCATTGAAAAAAAACATCACAATTCACGTCAGAGACAGAGAATTTACTCCCCCGTTGATGGCTGCATGTAAACGAGTTAGAAATGCAGTTTGCAATATCAGAAGTGCATCTGAGAAAAAGAGACACGATACAACAAACAAAATGCTACTGGCAAAAAACTGCAAGACAACACTTGATAGCGACACAAAGCAATCCTAGTCATCTGAGAAAGAGGGGAAGCATATCCTAGTATTCTATAACAGAATTTACACTGGGTGGATAAAATCTGAGAACACAAAGCATGCATTCAGCCAACAAAATTTCCACAATACTTGCATGCAACACCAAATACAAAGTCTATGAAACTTTGATCAAACAGATGCTACATGAATATTAAACATGGTCATCAATGGTCTCATTGAGGACTGACTTACAATGGCTTCGAATGGACAGCCTTGACGACTTTGATAGGAATTTGCAAGTCATTTGCTCTAGATAATATCTAAAAAGCACTGTATCTGACAACCATCTCATAAAATACTGGTGTATGCTTTGATAAAGGCGACATCTACACTCACCAACATGTGACTGACACAAGACCACCTCTGCCGCTGGATGTTGTCGCAGTTCTCCCACTCACACATACCTCGGTAGGCTGAACCCATGACATGGACTGTGCTGGCATGGACGTGCAGGGATTTCCTGGTTTTGAAATTCCTTTGGGGATAGAGAAGGGTTGTTGATCACTAAAACGTTCCCAGCCACCTAAGTCCATGGATTATTACACAGAAAATCAAACACCTGTTCTGGATGTTTGCAGAAGCAAGTCTTGGGAGAGCACTACAAGACGAAGAAAGTTTTAAATGTAGGGTTTTTTGGGACTGGCAGAGGTTTAACCCCTTGACGATGGGAATTTCTTCCCGAAAGCCGACTCCAAGAATTCCAGCCTCACTTGGCCATGAAGGCCACCTGCCAAACCGCACATTCTCGGTTTGTGGCCCTGCGTGCTCTGCATGCTTTGAATTACACGGTGAAAAGGCTGATTGTTCGGTGGCATGCGGCTCTACTCACCCTTCCACATTCCCGTTGCCTCTTTTCAAAGTGGGGACTATTGTGAAGCTGGTGATTATGATGCAAATTCGGTCTTTTCATTTCTGGGCTACGCACAAAGACAAATTACCATACATACAACAGCCAGGGTCTGCCTTCTTTCACCGTGTTTGCTCGAGCGTGGGCCGAGAATAAAAGCTGAAAAGCGGGCTGAGGATCTCAACTTTCACAGCGTGTCTAGCCCCCTCCCGGCGCGAAGGGGTTAAAAGTAAACTTGCATTTGCACCAGCGAAAAATTACATGCTGTGCAACAGGGGTGTCAGTGGGCCAGTTACAAATCAGAGCTGAGAACAGCTAGCAAAAAGCTGAAATGTTCAAAGTTCCAATACGTTTGTACAGACCAGGTGTACAAAACAGCTAAAATTCAGGGTCAACGTCTAAACAAAAACAGCTGAATTCTCACACCCCTGATATGATCCCACCCTTTAGAAATGGCATAACTTGATATTTCGATTTTTTTCACACCCGATTGTTATTTCGCTGCTGATGTGTCATCTGCTAATTTGCCATCTAGTCAAAACATTAATGCTAGGCTAGATTGATCATTACTGGAGTTAGCAAAAACCGTGTTTTTGAAAATCAACTGACAAGCCTTCTCTTTGATGCTTTGTGAAATTTAACTTTTTCCGAAATTATAACCACAAAACAGGTCAGTGAACATCTGCATCTACATGTATCACAACACTGGAAGTAAAGACAAGAATTGCTTAAATGCCCAATTTCTAATTTCAGTGAATTCTGAAAATGTCTTGAATCAAAGGGTTAAAACTTGGCAGAAATACACGTAGTAACAATGCACCTGAAGTAACATACACACATACCTTTTGCAACCTCTCCAGCAACAAATGCTTATCTCTGCCTCCGCCGGCTGCTGCGGCGCTGTCTGCTGCGACTGCTGCTGTGATTGCTGATGATGGTGATGGTGATGATGCTTGGACTTGTCACCGGACGATGAGGACTTCTTGTGGTGTGAGCCGCTGGACGAGGATGAGGACCGTCTCCTCTTCTTGCTGGAGCTGGACTCTCTGGAGCTGTGCCGCGACCGCTTCTCGGATGACTTCTTGGAGCTGGATTTGGAGCTGGAACTTTTTTCCGATTTGGTTTCGGACGATGGCGTCGGCTGTGTGGGTGGTGGAGATATTGCTAAGGGGGAGTTTAAGCTGGGGGCACTTACTGAGGTTGGTACTGGTGACTGTGGTTTGCTTTGCGACACCTGCACTTGTGTAACTGGGACATTTGGGGCTGGTCTTGAGATTTCAGGGTTCACTTCACTGATGGCCAAACTGTCTGGTTTTCTGGGTGTGCTAGATTGGCCACTTGAGTCACCTTCTTGTGTTTGAGACTTTGGTACAGTGGAGCAGACCATGTCCCCCATGTCCTCCTGAGGTTTGATGACGACATTTTCTTCAATGCTCGGACCACTGGAAACACTGAAATTGCTGCTGTTGTTGGCATTACTTCCAGATGTCACCATGGCAAGACCAGACCTGGGTATATCTGCGGGAAGGTGTTGTCGGATGTCCCGGCAGAAAGCAACTGGACTGGCCACTTTATTAGAGTCCATGTTTCCAATGGCAGGAGGAATGATAGCACCTGTGCCATCATACATAAACCCTGTTCGCTCATTTAAGACAATGCCACTGTCCGACTCTGAATCTCCATCCTTTTTAGAGTTGTTATGGTCCATTAGTTTGTCACAGCTTGTTACGTCGACTGATGAGATTTTGCTCTCTCCATGAGCGCAAGATGAGTTTGAGTCATCCTTGCTCTTGTGTTCCTTCGACTCGGTATCCTCTGCACTTATTTCTGTTTCCATTTTGTCACAGTGCTCAGAAATACCACCATTCACAATGTGATTGATGGATTGTTTCTCAACAGACTCCATATTAGCATCCAGCTCCACACTCAATCTACGAGTCCGATCTTTCAGCCCCAACTCTTCACTTTTTCGCCGCATTTTGGGGCTTTTGAGGACCCTATCAAGGTCCTTTCCTGAGTTTTCCAGGAGGATTTCTGCCTGATGGATCAAGACATCATGGTGTGTTTTGTCCAGATCCTCTCCGTTTCCAAACCCATTCAGCAGGGTCTGCTTCAGTGATGCCTCCTCCAACTTGGATTTGAGTCTTTGAATGTTGTTTGTTTCAGGAATTTCATTACCTTCACCAGTAGCTGACCCATTACACGTAGGCTTGGTATTACTTTGCCCAACTTCACATTCATTCAAACTGTTTGTTACTGTTTCTATTTTTGGTTCCGTTGATTCAGAGCTATTGCAAGTTTTTGAATTTTCACTTGAGTCTTCAGACTTTTCTGAGGACTGATTGCTGGTATCCTCACTGAAAGAAGTGTTCTCTATCAACCTGATGCTGGTTTCTTTGTCCTGTACTTTTAAAATATCTGTGCCATGCTCGGCCTTTGAGCATATAATTGGGGGACTTTTACTTCCAGATTTGGACTTTTTCTTCTTTGAGGATTTCTTTGACTTGTGTGATTTTGACTTGGATTTTTTCTCAGATTTATGCTGAGAGGATGGGGATGGGGACATTGGATATGACTTGGAAGTGGAATTGGGACTTGAAGAGGAACTGCAACTTAATGCTGGGCTGGGCGCTGGGCTTGGACTTGTACATACTGGGGGAATGAAGTGCATTGTGGGTTGCTGAATGGCAGGCTGGCCCACCTGAGTAAATGCTGGATTCACCGAGCTCGGCTGCAGCACACCCTGCTGCGACACTGGTCCCTGAATACTGACGAACCCATGCACAGCATTTCCATACCCTGGTGCCACCCCACTGCTTGGATTCTGAGGGATGACCCACTGGACTGTGCTCTGAGTGCTGTTCACCACCTGGGGCTGAGGCATCGAGTTGGAGCCGGGTGGGTGGACTGAGGACCCAGACTGCAGGAGTTGCTTGATTAAAGGAGAGTCTATGTGCGCTGATGCCAACTGCTGTCCTTGGGTCTGTATCCGAGCAGCAACGTGGCTGACAGACTGGCTCTGGGAACAGGCTGTCACTGAAGGCTGGGAAGCAGGATGAGTCGCCACACCAACTGTTAAGCTTGGCTGCCGTTGGACGTGCTGTGCGCTGGCAACGGTTGTAACTGCAAATGACTGCTGCGGCAAGGTTCCTTGTATGGTAGTGAGAATGAACTGCTGTTGCGGCTGAGGCTGCTGGGCCATGTGTTGTTGGACAATATGCTGTTGCTGAACGACTGCATGTGATGGCTGCTGCTGCTGCTGTTGTTGTTGCTGTTGTTGTTGATGTCCAGGCAATTTTGGCTGTATTGGAATATATGCTCCAGAACTGCTTGAAGTCGGCTGAGATCCACCTGATACACCACACTGCCCTGTCTGGCCAGGATTGGTTGATGTGACTTGGCCAAGAACAGTTGGTACACTGCGCTGAATGTTCTGCACCACAGCATATGCCGAATACATCTGGCTCCCATTTGCACCAGCGCTGCCACCAACAATCACCTGTTGAGTGGCAGAGACAGTCTTGGGTAAGATCTGTTGCATTCCTTGGCCATCAGATTGCTTGATCTGGAAGCCTGCCTGAACAGGAATGGTACTGGTCTGTACTGGGAGAGCACCAATCTTAATTCCGTGTGTGCCTGGCAGAACTCCCTGTTGCACAATCTGCATGTTTGGCTGGCTTTTTAGACCATTTGTTGCAACAATGCCCTGTGCGTTGATGTTCACGATGCCCTGTGCGTTGGGTTGGCCAACCTGGGGCTGAGCCTGGATCCACTGCTGCACTCCAACCTGAGTTGATGGAATTTGCATCTGGATGCTTTGCTGAGGTCCCTGTGTCACAAACTGCTGCTGGTGCCGGGCAACGTTTGCCTGGGAATGGTTGATTCCCTGCGGATTGATTTGGATTCCCTGGGCACTGATTTGAATGCCTTGGGGATTCACAGGAATTCCGCCTGGATTCTGCAGTTGTTGTTGTGTGATGTACACCTGCTGGTTAGGAATGTTGACAACCTGCTGGCTGCTTGTCATTGCAGGATTGCCAGCAACTTGGGCAGTACTTGCATCTGTGACGGCCTCCTGTGGCTTTGTCTCTGACATGGACTGCTGGTTTGCATTACTTGCTTCAAAGGTGGACACTGCAAGTGTGGCCTTGGTTTGTAGTAAGGGAATAGAATTGGCTTGGAAGTTCTCTGCTCCCTGTTGCGGGAATGCAGCGGGCACTTGGTTTGTGTCTAAAGGCAGCTGCGCATGGATGTTGGGGATTTTTTCTATTTTGACCTCCCCTTCTTGGAGCAACTCGCTGGGTACACCCTCTGAGGATTTGGGCAGTTTGGGGGAGCCTGAAGAGGAGGGAGCTTCTGGGATTCTGGAATTTGAGACGTTGGAAGAAGGAACACTGGCTTTGGCTCCACTGCCGGCCGGACTACGCGGTCGGTAAGGTGGTGGTGCTCTACCGGGGGAGGCAGGACTTCGACCTGGGCTCTTACTAGGATCATTATTAGCAATCGCCTGGCTGTGCTGTGGTAACGGATTTTGAAGAAAAGCACTTGGGATACCAGCCTGGTTGACCAGGCTCCCTTGAGGAGAAAGCAAATCTGAGTCATCAACAGAGTTTGTCTTTTGCTGCGCACCTTGAACAGCAACTGCAGCACAGTTTGTAGGTAACGAGTTTGTTGATTGGACCAGTTGCTGTGTCCCAAGTGGTACACTGACTTTGGCTTGCACAACTTGCTGCTGCTGTTGCTGGGTGGCTTGAAGACCAGGAGGCACTCCGACAGAGGCTGCATTGCCAGGTTGTCCCTGCATTCTGGGGCTCTGTTGACGCAGTCCATGCCCGAGGATCAACTGCTGAAGCTGGGAGGTGCTTCCCATGTTGCCGCTGGAAGGGCCCGGTATCATTCCGGCACGGCACATCTGAGGGGGCATCACGCTGCTGCCGGGGCTGCTCATCCCCTGGGCAAACAGCCGCTGCTGGGGGCTGCTGGAGGAGGAAGACCCGTGGGATGGGGACAGCCGCTGGGCCATCCGCTGCATGATGCTGGAGGCCAGGTTGGACTGGGGCCCTGCCAGCTGGGGTTGGTAAGTGGGCGAGGGTTTGGCCGGGTGCTGGTAGAGCTGCCAGTTGAAGGGGAGTGGCAGGACCCGTTTGCGGATACCCATGATGTACACTTGGGCGCCACTCTCTGAATCCACCCGCTGAGATGATACTGCTGGAAACACCATCCTGGAAAGGTGACAATAAAGATCTGAATACTCCTCTCATCTGTAGTAATGACACAGCAAATCTTTCCACTGATTGAAATTTCAGCCACAAGTTTAAATGTGATCCACTCTGTGAAAAAAAGTCAGACTTCGCCAGAGTGACGAGTTTTAGTTTAGATTGGAAAAAGCAAACTCAACTCTTTATTTTGATGTGTCACTCAGTTTAGTGTACTGAAGAAAATGGACATGGGCGTTATGTTGGTGAAAGTGTTGAGGGTTCCTACTGCTTTACATTGTGCCAAGATTCTTTTAAAGGGCTTTAACTCAAAAATGGCTCTGGTGACTTCTAATTCATTTTCACAGAGCAGATCACAGACTCGAAGTAGTCCTCTGTCAAGAGAAAGTTTGGGTGGCAAAGAGTGCTGTCACTTACTTGATACACGTTGCAAAGTTTGTGGAGGTGACCATGTTGACCCTAGAGGCTTTGCTGCAAGCAGATAGGTAGTCACTGTACAGGTCTAGTCTGGACACTGACCCTTCACTGTCAGCCTCGTAGAATGAATGCAACCTGATTAAGGAAAGAACAAATGTGTTTTTCAAGACCTGAAACTTTTTACCTCATCAAGTCCTTTAGTATCAATGAGGGCCCTAAATTTGAAGCTACATTATTTTTAAGTGAAAGGCTTATGGTAGATGTGCTTACCATATTATCATGCTCTACGGCAGTACATACAATAACACCCTTTCAGCTGAAGTTTTACAGGCATTCAATGTGGATTCGTAATTACTAGGCAGAGTACTCAAGCCTCACTACGCTCATTATCAAAACAGCACACTCACCACTGGCAGGTGAACTTCTCATTCTCGGCATCTCGATTAGCGGGCTGGACAGGAGCAGGGGGAGGTGTAGGGGTGGACTGCTGCTGCGGCGGCCCTGAAATATTGATGCATGCAAGTGGTTACTTCAACTGATGGCCGGTCAGAGATGAAAAAGGGCCAACTGATAATCTGATGATTTCCACGGCATACTTGTACTCAAACAAAAGGCTGTCAGTCACAGGCACCTGGTGACTTTGCCTGCAAAGCCACGAGGTTCAGGTGGCATTTCCAGCAGTGGCATTTTCACGCATCAGTTCATCTCTAACATTTTGACAATTGCTGAAGAAAATGGAAGACATGCAACTGCATGTCACGTTGTAGTACTTTCAAATGGTGGGAGTAAACACTGACAGGTCAACATCAACACTGACATTTGTGGAGCACCTTCAAGTTCTAAACAGAGCTACATGGTATCACAGTTGCGGTCACTGTACAGGCATGAAATGAAAAATGAAATCATGGATTTTTGCTGCCATTCGTCTTTCTACAACAGTTCCACAGAACTTACTCATGGAAGGGGGAGGGGGAGTGGCAGCAGAAACTGCATTAGGGGGCGGCGGCGTAGGCTGAGACACAGGCTGATTCCTGGCCATGCTCACAATGGGATGCTGGATGCCATCTGGGGCATGATCGACAATCTTAATGCCGACAAAGGCCTCGGCGCCCAGGGACTGCGCATCCAGAGTCACCAGGCACACTAGGACATCTGACGGTGGAAATGAAGAGACCAAGTTCATTACAAAGGTGACAAGTTTGAATCAGTTTGCACTTTTCAACATTCTTCAACCTTTGTGGCATTTTCTTTTCATATCAAATGAGGCCTGAACCTACAAAATACGGCAATGAAAAATAAAGTAGCATACATTCAATCAGTGAAAAGGTACTCAATGTTGGAGGACAGTTGTTGTTGCACCAATGTTTAGGTGCATTGTACATATTGAGTTAAATCTGTCCAAACAAAATGTGTGCTCATTGGACCTTGACCTACATGTGTACCAACCAAAGTGAATGTGCTATGAGCACTCACTTGCAACAAGTTGGCCAAACAGTGCCCTTAACATTTACCACACGGAGCCCTTAAAGTCTGTAGGTGGTCTGAACAAAGATGACTGTTTAAAACGGACAGCAAACACTCCTCATGATTTCTGGACCAATCTTGCTCACATTCTCGGGGATTCCACTCACCGACACTCTTCTCCATGGTGGCAATCCGGGCGCAGAACACCTCCCCTCTCTCCGACAGGGCCAGGAGAACCTCCAGGGCCCCCAGTAGGAGCTGCACATCGTGGATGGTCAGGAGGCGGACGATGGACCGGTACACCCGCACCTCCATGCACTGCCGGATGATGTCAACGTTGCTGTCCACCTGGGACAGCTTCTCCACCACTTCCATGGCTAGTAAGGGAACAAAGACCAATCAAGGTTGAAGGTCTATAATTTGTTACTTTGGGACAAATGCCACTTGGATTCTTATAATGTATCTAACGGCCAGTTTGTTTCACATGGATCTGGATTGTGATCAGTGAACTCCGAGCTGGTTTGCACTATCTGTTAGGTGGTTTCTGGTGTCAGTGAACCAACGACAGATCACTGATTGCGAACCGGATCCACATAAAATAAACAGGCCTGAAATGAACATTTAAAGGGACACTCTTAAAATACAAGTTCAAGAGTGTCCATTACATAAAATTCTAAAAGCACAAAATAACACTAGGAAATGTCAGTTTAGGAAATTGAGCTAAAGACTGCCATAATTTTTTAATTAGTCGGATAAAAAGAGTAGAACGATGCTGTAACTTAGTTTCAACTCTAACACTTGTCTTCCACAGTCTTGCCAACACTGTCACTAGTATAACGGTCAATTACCTCGTAGTATAATAAACTTGTCTTGGTTCTTCATGGCTTTATCTATGGTGTGGAACATCAGCTGTGTACTCCGATAGTCAATGGGATCAAGTATGAACTGGTACAAGAAACAGTGGAGTTGTTGGATTGATTAAACCAGTAAATATCTACGTGTACTTAAAGAAAGCAATTTAAACAACACAAATTTAAAGACAGATTCCTTATTTCTGAATATTACTTGTAATTATTTGCACCAAGACCTTCAATGCGAAATAAAACCCGTGGAAATAGCCAATCTTGCCACATCTATGCTTGGATTGTACATTATACTACCACTAAAAAACCCAACGACTGACACAGTCACAAGTTGTGAGCACTGTTTTATGCACACAAATATATTTATTCATTGCCACTGAGTGTGCACAGCCACACTACTCTTGGTATCTGGATGCCTCAGTGTGCAGCATGAGGCAGAGAAGAAACTGTGCTTTCAAGCAGCCTCGGTGCCAAGTTGAACAATTTAAACACACTGAACAACTGAATAAATAATGGATATTGATGCTTTACCGCATTTGTTATTGGCACTTGAGAAATAAGAAAGAAAAAGCAATTGAATGTTTCCGTTGTTTCCTCAGAATGCTGACTTGGGACTGTCACATACCTCCTCAGCTATATTGCTCAGGGTGTCCATGCCGATGTGCCTGAGTGCTGAGCAGCTATTGTGAATACACAGCAAGAGGAACCTGTAAAAAGTCCTGTGGGCTGCCATGACTCTTTTGTTGTGGTCCTCAAAGGATAAATTTCTCAAGATCACTGCAACCTGACAAATAGGAAAAAAAAATAGACAGCACCCACGCCACAGCATGAGTCGTTTGTCCAACTGAAACAGACTCCATACAAAGTACAGGACTAAATAGGTGCGCCCTCTCCAAATGAAAATTAAAATTGCCAATGAGGATTAAACTCACAAATCTAGGAACAAAACCACCCTAACAACCCCCCCAAAGAAAAAACACCAATCAGAACCCAAACAAATATGTATATTCATTACGTGTACCAACTACATGTATGAAGTTATCACTGCTTCCTTTTCCCCGCCTTCTTGCTGCAGGTAACTAGACCTCACTGATACGAGGAATTTGCCCCGTCCCCATGTCAAAGCACCAGTTTTAAAAACAAATGTGTGGGGGAAAAAAATCCTGGATATACACGTACACCTGTGACATTTCATGAGGGTGTTAAATGTTATCTGGGCAAGGTGCAAACACAGAGGGGTATATTAGTTTCCTCAATACCCAATCTGCAGATGAGATGGAGGGCATCTGTGAGCCGCTAGTGGTGCCAGGTGGAACAACTCATTTATTTCAAGATCTTTCACTGATGAGGATTTCTCAGCTGCTATCTTATTACACACTTCCTGATCGTCATGTAGCCAGCATGAGTAACATGATCCCGGCCTAAAGGGGTTGTTTAGAGGTTTGAGAAGGTAGCGGGATTTCAGTTCAGAATAGCAGGAAAAGAGATTCAACCACCATTTCTCCAGCCAAAATGACAGCTAAGGGGCAGAAGGCTGACAGTTTACCTGCAGTATTCGCTGTCCTTCTATGTCGTTCAGCCCAAGCTTTCTCAAGGTAAATTGCTCAGCATCTTTGATCTTACAGTGACCTATGAAACAAATGTACACATTATGAAAAATTCTTCAAAATACATGTCATTACGCATTTATGTTTCAGTAACTGGCTATCTGGCTACGAAGGAAATCCATGTAACCTCTTTATAAACAGCAGTGTACTCAGTACACTACCCAGAGATGCCAACTTTTCAAAATGAAAAAGTGTAATCCTGTCGCACTTCCTGTTCCGGTTTCCCAACAAACCGAAATTTTTCAGTGCGACCCTAAAAATTTCACCAGCAAATTAGAAAAAAAAAATTTCAAAAAATCCTGTTGTCTTTTCATTCCAAACAAATACTTGTCAACAACTTCTTTTCACGTCCAAAAACTTGTATATGACTAGCATTGGGCCGGTGAGAATTGTAATTAATTGTTGATTATATTTCCACATTACATGTAATTCTAGTAAGTTTTATTATTTTAATCACGTTTGTAGCAATTTTTGGCAACTTTCGTCCCATTCAATCAGCACAAAAAAACTGTCAAAAAGTTCTGGCCTTACCTACCGACCCTATTTAATCGGCAGCAGAGCTATTTTTTCTTGGCCTAATTAATGTGCTTCTCGGTATCGTAAGATCCAGTGTGGGCAATATTTATCACGTCACAGTTACATGCATTACAAAACACATTGTCACTGCAGTCCAATTTTTTTTTGGGGGGGGGAGAGGAAGAGGAAAACAAACCCAAAACAGACAAAAGAAAATCACATGGAAGTGCTTTTGGATTTTTGAAAGTAAAATTAGACTGAATTGGTGAAGAAATATGAATTGGCCAACTGTTGACACCAATGTATGGTGTGTTACAGCCACAAACATGTGTAAGATTAGTAGTGTACATGTGACAAACAGCACGAAGTATGCTGACATCAACATAATAAACACAGACAGCAGGGGAGAAATATGCAACATTGGCAACTGGCATAAAACATGCACGTGAAAAAATCAAAAAGAGTAGAACGATGCTGTAATTATTTATTTTTTTTATTAATAAAATATTTATGTGCTATTGAGATACACTGCCGAAAAAAACCAGCAATTTTGAAATTTGCTAAATCTATTACAGTCAAACTTCGTTAATAAGAGGTCCTTCGGACTTGGCAAATTACCTTGTTAAAACAGAAATCTTGTATTATCAGGAATGAAAATAATGAAAAAAGAAAGGATTGGGACCTGTAATTTTTCTTGTTATAAGCAGAGTCTTGTATTAACAGTGCTCTTATTAACAAGGTTTGACTGTACTAACTGAATAATGCAGCATCGCGTACACTATCAATGAAACCAGGGATATTCTGCCAAATCATCCAATTCGCTGCTTTTGGGGGTTTTTTGTCACTGGAAACTATACTAGTAAAGGCTCACCTTCCGTTCTTAACGTGTCTGGACCTATGATCTCCCGTATGTCATTGTCCGTTACAGTATCATACCAGAATGTCACAAAGTCACGCTTTGTGGTCAGTTTCCAATCCTCTGTGTACAGGGACCGAAAGCCCCCTGGTCCTATCAAGCAAACACAAACTGACTGATCAGGAGAAAGCTTATCCATAATTCAATTACTCCACGATTTGCCCAGCAGTGCTACCGCAGATAAGAATCAATCAAATTGCATAGCATTTGTTTCACACCGATATTATAGGAAGAACGTACAGAACACAGTCCTCATCAACAAGCGTGTGTAAATGGCTAGGTAACTGATTGCTATCCCATTCACTGGACCTCTGTTCAGGCCAAAAACAAAAACAGAAACACAGATCCTATTTTAACAGTGTGACCCTAAATTTTTCATTGGCAAGTTTTAAAATAAATTTTAAAAATAAATAGAAAATCCTGTTGTCTTTTCAAAACACCTTTCCACAACATTTTACGCCCAAAATGCTAGTATTTGTTTGCATTCTTACATTTGCTACAAATATTTGAGAAGAAACTTCCACTGTTTCACAAATTCCCTTTTCACTTGACTATCGTAGTGATGAAAATATGTGCATAATGATGATCAAAGAAGCAATGTAGTTCTGACTTCTGCTGTGCCACACACTATAATTGCCAAAGAAGGCATGACAGAAATGCAGCAGTCTACATGTATAATAACATTCCCCAAAATATAATTACATTATACACATCATGCACAGCAGAAATGGTTCCAGGTTGAAAAACATCAGCTGAGAAAGAATTCTGCAAGTTCATTCACTGAGCTTGATCTTCCTTGTCTATGCATGTATTTTCCACATTCATGAATTTATTTTGAGGTTGTAGCGGTACCACTTGTACTTGAAGTGAGCACTTTTCTACAACATCTCTTGCTGCAGTGCGATGTTCATTGCCTGCCCTACACACGGTACATGTACAGATGCTTCATGGCACACTTACCATGCGATATATATACCAAAGTTGTTGGCCAGTTTCCCGTCTTGACTAGCATTTTGCATAGTCATGTACACGACCCCAATTCTCGAAAATTTTATCGACTGTCAATATTTTTACATTAATCAAAGCAAATTTTATCACTTTTTGTGGAAAGTTGTTTGCTTTAATTTAATTAAATTAAATTAATTTAATTCTCACATAATTGGATATCCCAATAATTCAGCCAAAAGAAATGCCCTCCCCCTTTTGTCCCAACCTACTTGAACCAATCGTACTTTTGTAAGGCATGTACCAGAAGCAGAACAATTTTGGGGGCTTACGTAAGCATTACGTAACATCTAACATAGCAGCAATAACAATTATGTACCATTGTCCATGTGAGAGGTATTAATACATGTACCTTGTTACTGCCCTTGTTATATACATGTACCGGTAGCATTAGTCCATAGGCTAAAAGCTTTATGAAGAATCTTTAGACTTTTTTGTCGTTATTATTCTACCCACAAACAGGCTTTGACAATAAACCTACAACGCAGGAAAAAAGGGGTTAGATTTTCATATTTCAAGAGGTGACGCATTTTCTTAAATAGATTTTCTATGAGCAGAAATCCCCATCATGACAAGTCAAATGAAAGGAGTTCTATCATCAGAGCGACTTCCCCTTCACAGACAGGGCCACATGGGATGAATCTCTTACCCTCACCTTCATAAAACACACCACAGTGAGCCAAGAGCAGATCAATCAACTTGGTAGCTCGCTCCAGGTGGAGTACGTGCCGTCCCTCGTTGGACAGCAGTGTGCAGACGTTGATGGCAAAGTCAACTTCGTTGGGCAGGCCACTCTGCAGCGAGAACATGATCTTGTCGTAGTCGGAGAGACGGGGTTTCTGGGTGGACAGACCTGCACTGACACGCACTTGCTCTGTTGGATCGAAAGGTAGTTATGATTTTCGTGTCAAACAAAGTGCATTTTGACCTAATTTCTTTGCCAAACAGCACTTCATGGAATTGATTTGATACAGAAATCAGTCACTCTTGAAAATGTACACGATGTTCTAAGTCACTATTTAATGGCAAAAACTTAAACCAAGGGAAAACTTTCTCCAAGGGAAAGAAAACATTAATATCGGACAATTGAGGACCCAATACTCAGATAGTTATGGGTACGTGTGTAAACAAGTGACTTTACCATTTTCCAGTATCCCTTTTAAAGTTTCTGTCATCTGCCAATTTAAAGGATCTTAATTGACAACATTATCTATAAACTTAATGGTTTGATACCGGTAACCTGCAATTATCTCAACACCATACCATCAGTCTTTCTTCCATTTAAGAATGTCTCTGAGGGAGAATCTTCGTGTACATATACAAGTAGGGTAAATATCAAACAAATACTTCAAAATCTAAATATCTCTACAGTAATTTTAGACAGATCCATTAACACCTACTCGTATAAAGGATATTATACTAGTATTCATCTTGGGACATATTCAACATACTTGAGTTTATCAAATAAATCATTTAGAACTTAGTTAAATGTATACATGTACATGTGCAATCCTGTGATGTATTTTACATCCAAATTTATTCTCAAAACTACTCATATATTTAGACAGGTTTGGCTACACATGGAACTCACCAGGGATCTCTAGGCCTTTCCTCGTATCTATATTTCTCTTCTGGGGCTGGTTGGAGGGTGTTGCTGGCCGAGACCGTAACACCTCCTCTGCATCCTCCCCCTGATGGTGGATACGTTCGTAGGACTCCAAATATCTGGGGGCACAAGAATATAAAGAAAATTACTCACATAAAAATTATTACTGGTTCTCTATGACCAGCACAACTAGAGGTCACACCAGGCCATTTTACCCTAATTGCTTCGTCTAAGAATGTAAGGCACAATTAAGCAATATTCTACATGTACGTACACAGGAATACAAGTACATGTACATGTACCATACATTGTAAGTGTCTGACAAAATTAACCCTAACCCACCTCAATCCTCTGGGTGGTTTTGGAAGATTTTGGAGGATTCAGGATCAATGATGATTTGAACATTTGAGGATTTTGGAGGATTAAGGATGAATGGTGATTGAAGCATGGAGGATTTTGGAGGATTGAGAATGTGCCCTAGCACATGTAAAAAGGCCCCAGTGGGTTTAATTAAGGGTTAAGACTGTTTATATACTGTACTGTAGTACGATGATGTGTGATGTGTACAGTGTAATCGTTATTTAACTGTAACCAGTAATCATTGACTATGATGGAGCCCATTCAGCTTTGGTATCTGTAGCTGGTCATTCACTTGCACATGGGTGGACATTTGCAAGTTAAGCGCACTTTATGGCATGTTAATGTAAACACACAATGAGTATGTACATTGAAGTTGTAAGGACCTTACACCCAATATTTGATAAGTCATTTGGGGGGCCAGGGATGTTGTGGAGATATCATGTTGTCAGCCCACATCTCCGTACATCAATAGGAGTCTACCCCAAATTGCACACCACTCAGGATTCCAAGTACAGGCATGATATGTTCAATGAAGTGCATGGCAATCATTTAAATGTACAGGGTAGTCCCAAAGCAACAACCGTACGTACATAAGGAATGTATCAACTTTAACACAATGTTTCACCCATCTAGATGTAACAATACATGTACAGTGCTGCCAACTCTGGAAAAGAACAATCAGGGAGATGTTTTTGGGAAGGGGGATGTATGTGTGAGCATGAAGCATGAAGCCCTTACGGCGTGGGGTTCGGGGCCTGCTTAAGGGCCCTGGAAAATTTTGCATTCTAGATGCTCTGTGGTGCAATGTGAGGCATCTCCTGGCCACATTCCTCTTCATTTTGGGGGCAGTGGCTGTCAAGATAATAAGTAAAATACTACATGTAGTGGTTCTTCCTTGGAATCTTCATCTATGGTTAAATTATCTTTACTCATGGCATTCATGATTACTGCCATTTTTGTATGAGCACAGCTGTATTTTGCCATTTTGACCACACGATGAGTCGAGTCTACCATATCAGCAACCAACCTTGTTCCCACAGGTGCACTATTGCCGTGCCACTTTGGTTAACACTATGCTTGGCTTATGAAGGAACGTTTAAGATGCCTACGGTGTTGAGGTTGCTGCAACATGTGCACATGACACCAGCTATGTGTGTACGTGTGTGACAACCATCTGGAATCCACCTGCCAAATATGATGCGTACAGCAAGGGTGGCAACAAATTGCTGGTGACAGACTGTTCACTGGTCAACGTTTGGGAAAGTACGAAAGTGCATACATGTATATGCTTACAGGTTACCAGTTGTGTAGACTTGAATCCAGGCCCAATGTACGAGTGAGATTCATCGACATTTGAAATTGATGTACATTTGAATGGTACTCTCCCACGCTGAGAAGTGCATGGCACCAGTAAATACTCTTGTACGGAGTCTATTTCTCGACAAGGGAAATGACAGCGTGTGTGTACACGTACAGTTTATGCATGTAACACATAATTTTTGGTTTAAAGAAGAGGAGACACATTCATGCTAAGTTTTATTACAACTCTGACTGTGGCAATTAAAAATGACAGGTAAATATAAACCTGCACACACAAATTGACAATCCGGGAGATTTTTAGCAGGTGCAGGGAGGCAGAAGAACAACCGATTTTCCGGGAGTCTTCCGCAAAATCCAGGAGAGTTGGCAGCTCTGCATGTAGCTTCAGTAGGCCAAGCTTAAGTAGCATTCATCTAAATAAGACTGATGGTGAGCTACTCCTATAACAGCCTGTCATGTAACAAAGAAAATGGCTTTGTCCAGAGCCCAACTGTTTTAATCTCAACAGCTGCGCCAACACATCTTCCTATTCAGTTATTCAAGCAATTCATTAAACCTATTCAAATTCACTGCTCAGTATTATTGGGGGAAGACAGGGTTAACCAGCACGATGTACACTGCAGCTCAGTAACATGCTCACTATGTACGGCATGGTACTGGTACGTGTATCGCTAGCTACTCTAACAAAGAGGAATGAACAGTGAAAAACATACATGCGCAATTAAATGTGCAGAGAATGGTCACTGCATTTGCTTGCAAAAACGCATGATTACAAAGCACACATCTGTGTGTAGTCCCACAACTGTGTGCAGTCCACATTTTTTACTGCTGGTAGTTAGACTTGCTATACAAGCAAGCATGGTTATTAAACAAGCATGGCTATCATATGAACTGAATCTGCTTGCCCTGACAAAGATACACAGTTACCACAAGCTCAGCAATAAGATAAATTAAGAGCACTAATATATTTTTGTCAATATGGTTATTAAATGTTGTATATGTTTAAAGAGAGAATTTCTTTTTGGGGGGGTATATTTCCTCTGACAAATTACTTTTTCTTGATGCACTGGACTTACAGCTACATGTACACTTCTCTTCAATACATGTATGCATATATGTACCATGTACTCTGGACATTAAACTGTCTTTTAAAACAGCATTTGAATGACCACAACATATCAGAATTGCATTTAAGAGTGATAAAAATAACCCCACTGTGTCAAAGTGTCTTTAGATTTGTGGTGTGCATTTACGGGGAGTTTGGGAACCGGGTACCCAATTCACATAACAGGCAGGTACCCTTAATTACAGTGAAGATCAGAGCAAAACACGGAAGTACAGTTTTTCCAACTTATCCAAGCCCGCACTTTACTACAAAGGTGCTGTGCAACCTCAAGTACTTCTCTGGCCATCTCACTTTCCCTACATTGGCAAAAACTTGCAAGGGCCTAATCTGAGTACTGAGACTAGATCCCTTTTTTATTCATTCAGAGATTCAGTGAATAGAAATTATACATTTTACATGTACATGTAAGTGTCAATTAAAATACCGTTAACCTGAGATTGTTGAGTTACTGTTGTGAAAAAGTCTGTCAAATGTTTTATTCGGAGTTTTCCAACAGTATGCCAGCAGGTAATAAACAAAAAAGGGGTGAATACCTTTCTTATATTCTGGATCAGAATATTTGAGTAATAAATTTGACAAAATGGAATCAGGTACCCATTATCAACAGTCAGGTTTCTGGTACCTGGGTGTTCGACACTGCCCTATTTTAGATGAAATAATCTTATGTATACTAATGGTTGCAGTATTCTGCCATTATGGCACAGTAACGGTACTCTGTAGGAATTGTAACAAACTTCTTGACCCTTTTTCTGTTATTTCAATGGAGCCTTTTTAATACATATTGCATTTTAATTGTAACTTTACAAGCATGTTCAATTTCTGCACATTCTACTGTTGAACATGATACTCATGTACTAAAAAAGATCTGTGGTACATGTAGTACAGTATAATAAAAACCACAAGCAACCCCCCCCAAAAAATACATAAATAAATCCATGAAACATCTGTTTCTTATGACCACATGGTACACATGCATGCAACCCCTCCCAAACAATAATATTCTATCCATATTGCATGTACATGTATACATACCATCTCTTTCAAATCCACAACCCCCCCCCAAATAAAAAACCTCAATAGCACAATACAACAAAAGACCGGCTTTGGCAAAGCACAGGGTTTGAAGCATGCCTGTTGACAAAACCCCATACAGACCCATCCTGCCCAGCCTTGTCTGCCCAGTCCCTACTATGGGAACCCCATCACACGGTGTGAAATGTCCTCTATTATCCATGGCTCTCTTTTTATTGGCAGGCCATGAAAGGACTCCAGCGAACAATAACACCACCACTTTTATCCTGGTAGGAATACTTGTACATAAAGGTGCTTTGCTATGGATTTGACATCATAATACATGTAGCTCACAGCTGAACAGTTCCACATGTACATGTACATGCTTACCGTGTACATGTTCAAGTATATACATGTGATACCACTTCATGTACATGTATTTACAGGGGCATTTAATAGTTGGGATTTAAATTTGAGCCTTACATGTAGACAGGGGAAAAAAATGAATTGGCAAAATTATTCAGAACTAAACCGAAGTGCGTCAAACATTAAAATCTGTACCCAAGCAAACACTTTACATGTACATGTAGGCCTGCAAGATTACAATTACTCTTTTGAGTATTTCCTTTAAAGACATTTTGATAAATACAACCTAAAAAAATTCAATTAATTTTTGGAAAAATTTTGCATCGCCAAATGAGTTTTATTGACAATAACAAGGTGGTCCATCTTGAGATCATAGAAAGAAACCAATTTTCCCAACAATGCCTTCACAATATCACAATATCTTAAAGATTCTGTGTTCATCTGACTTTTTTTCTTTTTAGGGGCACAAGAGTGTGTGAGATTTTAAGTTGAAGTTTTGGCCATTCTTTTCCATGTATATATATGTTCATGTATGTGTGTACAGTATGTTCATTGGAGTTTTATACATTAAAATAGCCACATGTGAAAGATCACTGAAAAGAATGGATCAATTAACCGAGTAACTAGTGCACTGACGTAAATACTACATGTATACACATTCTTGTAGGCCCACATACATGTACATGTACATATGTGCATTCACGTACCTGTACTATGCAAAAGTGTCCAGGCTGTGGGTTATCAGTCTGGAATGTTTCCACAAAGCAGGTCAAAGTACACAAAGTCAAGGTTTCTGCTATGTACATGTGTGTACAATGAGAAACTCGGATGGATGGTGTGAATGCCCCAAAAGATTTCAAGAGGCACACGTCCAAAGTATACATGAATGTACTGGTACCGGTACCCTACATGTACATGTACAATACACACGCATGCTCTTTAAACAACATTATCTTCAGTTCACAGAAAAAGAAACACCAGTTCACAAAAAGGACACACTTGCAGTTATTCCCCAAAACATTCAAATTTCAGGAACGTCAGAGCCTTCAACTGCCACACAATACAGTGTGTGTGTACCATTTACAGCACATGTAAAATGAAACTATGTCACACACACAATTATGAATTTAAAAGACATCATACAAGTAAGTGCAAGAACCAGCGTGTGAATCAATGCACGCATTCTCCATTCTTTTGCACTACACTTCTTGGTTCAAAATGATGTCACATTTCAGTAACGTACATGTGCATGCCACTACCGTAACTATGCTCACTATTTCGGAAACACCAAAATTTTCTTGGGCTCCCAAATTTTACATACACTCCTAGCATACATGAAAAATTCTTCTTTTTATGTAGATCTTATTCCAAGGACTTGAAAATTTAAGCCTTACTTGCCAACACTGTCCATACCAAGAGAATACGTATCGTACCATTGCATGTACATGTACGTCACGCAAAGACCCCAATACTAGCACACTGGTGATGAAAATGCAGAAATCCTGCTTTGCTATTAGCTCACTAAAAACACAAGGATTTTGACCTCCAACTAAATTCATGAAAATGGAAAATACATGCGCATCTAGAGAAAACAACTTTCCTGACTTTTTTAACATGTCTGGATGTTCCAATGAAAGTTTTTATGTTAGTCTGGTTGTTGTAGAAGACTGGCTTCTGGGCAATCTATTATGTGGCTGGAACTGGTTGAAACTGCATGTCATGCAATTTCACTTCACAAATTAACTCACTGTGAGTATATTAACCCAATCAAAAGGTTACATTCATTGGCCAACTTCTATCCCCGTAAGTCCTTAAAATGCCCAAGTGGGCTTTGAACAAATTGGAAACGTTTGGGCTAATGTCATTTACAACAAGCAGTTAAATATGGTACATGTACAGTACATGTATGTAAGTACTGGTACATGTGGAATGTACATGTATTTGGTAATACCCCAAATCTGACATCAAGAATGACAGTTTTTGAGTTTCAGTAAAGACCTTTCAGTGAAGAACTCCACAAATCGAACAAATATACAAGCACTGTAAACAGATTTACTCTGTGTAGACAATGTGCCCTGCTGATGATGTTTTACTATGCAAACTATTGGGCAAAACTGCTAGCTTTTTCTTCCTCGTTGTAAAAATCATAATATACATGTACGTAAAGTCATGACTTTGAATGTATAATAATGAACTTGTATCGGGTACATACCTTGTACAGTTAGTGTGCATAAGCACATGGAATGTCAGAGCCATATCCCCTACAGTGCATGTACACATACACACAATTTGTGAACACATAGCTTTGCCTACACTGACTATAATACAAATGTTGGTTTATTTGCAGAGATGAAAAGTGCACATCTTTTTTTCATACATGTAAATGTACGTGTCAAATGATACGTGTGTGTCTTACAACACCACCATTCATTACATCCTTTTTTTTTCTGCTTGCCATACATGAACCTTGAATGCTATCAATGACCCTATTAATATTTATATAGTGATATTATGGCTATGTACATGTAAATGTACAGTATTTGCCTGCTGTCTTCCGTGTACTGGTTTGTGCTTACAAGAGTGCCTGTACATGTCCATGTACATATACCCGTCAACAAAGAACAATTATGAATGAACTAAAAGAAAGAGGTGCATTACTTTATGCGAGCAAAGCACACATCAGAAACGTGCAGCGTGAAGTCCATTTCATAGACATGTTGTGCACATGTACCCGGTAGACAAAACCTGAAATGTAAAACCTTACTTTCCATTACTACCAGGAAGGTCACTGCTATACAGTAGCTAGGCAAAATTTCATAATGCAAAGAAAATATAAATGTAAATGTACAGGTATATGTATGTACATGAAGATGTACTGGCCTTGTAATATGCATGCATGTACATGTACATGTAGCAATCACTTTCAAACTCTATAAATCCTACGTACATAATATACTGGTACATTCACATGGAACTAATGACTAGCAATAATATGATGTACATGTACACTTTATGATTCTCTCTTAACCCACAGTACATGTAACCCTGACATGTCTTTCCATTTAATTACATAAGGTATTTACATGTACATGTACCTGTACATGTATGTACCCATGTGTAAATTATGTATGTATGCATGTATGTACATGTATGTAATTATGAATGATGAAATACACGTGTAGTATTGAAAATACCAGTTTTGGTGCATCTGAACAATAACGCACTTTGGATCACCATTGTGGTATTGTTTCTATGTACGTGTACATGTACAGTAAGGTATATAGTCCATGTGCATGTACGGGTCAGAGTTGTATGTACTGCATAATGCAGAATGCACGAATGTGCAGAGCATACAAAATATGTTGCCACTATACACATGGCGGGCAACGACCTTTTTGTACACACTAGGCACACAAGTGTATTATTCACGTACACTGTATGTCCATGTACATGTATGTACATGTACATGCACGCATATGTACCTACTGGAGTATGCTGACAATGCTGGTAATGATTCAAACAAGCTACCGTAATGGTGGTTGGCTTGGCGGCTCTTGGAAAACACTGAGCTGAAAACTACAAGCTGTGTGGTCAAGTACATTTAGTTAAGATGTCTGCCCTAGTAACCAGGTGGTTGTGGGTTAGAGTCTTCCCACAGTTCAACCAGAGATAACTACACTTATTAAATTTCGCTGGCCAAGGCAACTACTATTCATACTGTATAGCTTACTACAGTACACATGTATGTAATGTGATGCACAACACATTTATATGCATTTATGAGCACAAAGAACATGTGTGGATTGAGTGTTGGTGTATATGTATGTGTGGGTAGAATGATGCAGATAAACATGTACCTAATTAACGATAATGTCACTGACATACATGTAGGGAATGGTAAATGTCTGAGGATAGAGCCTGTCATGTGTACAACTTATACCAAAATTACCACAGAGTCACAGACTGGTCCAGAATTTCCAAAAGAAAAGAAACTGTATCCTGATCATGGTGCTGACCTACCCATACACCTGTACATGTATGTGCATGTACATGAACATTTATATGCAGGGATTTGATCCTCAAATGACCACTGTCCCGCCAGGCCATCGTTTTGGGAGAATGCAGCGGCCCCATGAATTTTTGGCTGACCCCTGTGTATGTACATGTCTCGCATGTGTACATGACCAATGGGATCAGCATACAGAACATGTACATGTACATATACCAGGTGTATCAGAACAGTTTTCACTGCTTTTTACTTGGTTTACCAAAGCATCTGGTTTCCAAATTTGCACTAAAAATGCAGCTCTCTGTCACAACATGATGTCCCTTCAAAAATGTTTTTAGTGTTTATGTACAATGCGCAATCACACTTTTGGGCCATGAAAGTGAGTCGAATGTCACAACCTATCTGCACTTCCCTACATTCAAACACTTTTGTAAGTGGCTTCATCACTGTAAATCCCCCCTTCCAAAAACATACATGCTTCAGCATTCATTTGTGGGTTCTGTATACCCTTAGGGCAAACTGATTCAACCTCAGGTGGAAGTGATAGCCTTGGCTATTTAAGCTACATGTACACATGTACAGGAACCTGAACATGAATGTGCATGTACATGTGTATTCTGGAGATGCAAGGACTAGACCCATACACATACAATTGTATCACGTGGTGAGAAAGCATGCATTTGACCATGGTGGTACACATGTACATGTACATGTACGTGTAGGTCCGGTAGGATTTGACACACCAGACACCTACACGTACACATACATTGTAACATGTTCGTACATAATCAAATGCACGGCTGGGTCCAAATTAAATCTGAAACTTACTTGACATAGAACTGGCGCAAGGCAAAGGCAGCATGGCCACAGGAGGCTGGGATTCTGAAGTATTCCTGTAGGTTCTCCCATTTTCCCTGGTCAGTGACCTGGATCAGACAAGATAAGTTCAAGATACACGTATCAGCAAACAGTCAATACTAGTGAAAGGTTCATGTAATGCCTGCTTGCAAACAACTGGCGGTTCCAATGAAGTACGGTACCTGTACAGCACCTGTACTATCACGTACGTGTTCCAAGTGGTAATAAAATCAGTGTACTTGTCTGTGCAAAGGAGTACGCACCTTGTATGTACATGAATGTACACTCACACACAAAAATGACATCTACATGTACATGTAAACCTGTGCACTCTGACAATTCATGCATAAAAATATGACAGATTCTGAAGGCAGTGAGATTTTAAAAGGGCAGGGCATACTTTTTATAATAAACATTGCACCCTTTGCATGTGTATTTTATCTTTCACCCTATAAAACCAATGAAATTGAAGTAAAATACATGGTTTGAGTCAAATATGGTAAGAAGTTCAACTGTCCATTTGGCCAAATTTCCAACCCAAATCACATCCAATTAAAGGCAAATTGATAGTATAAAACACTGGAACCATTTTGAACAGCAGCAATGAATAAACAAAAAAGTTTCTTTATTCAACTTTTTTCTTTATCAATCCAGTAAAAAAGCATAGAATGCTTTACAATTTGATTTGTAACTAACTCCTTTTGGATATAAATACCAGTGAGTTGACCGAATATAGCCATGAAAGAAGATCCTAGGCAATACACATGTACCAGGACAGCACTACAAGTTTTGGCAGAATGTGTACACGTACACAGGTTCAATTCTAAAAATTTTCAATACATACGTGTAGGATTACTTTCCACAACAGAACAATTTTAATGCTGACAATGTGAAGGTCAGATGTTGACTTCTTGAGGTCATACAGAAAAGATGTTCAAAGACGTACACACAGATATCAATACATATCAATACGCTAGCTGTACATGTAGCTACGGACGTGCAGTGAAGCATGCTCCCAGCTACATGTACATGCAGGCAAACATTTGATGGAGTTAATGTGGCCAAGGTTTCTACATGAATGTCTCAAATTCAAAATAGAAAGATCTATATCTGTAAAAAGAAAACAATCTGGAAATGCACATGTAGATTCATGAGGGTGGTGACAGTAAAAACTGCCATATTTCCTGTTTGTCCGGCACACACACACACAGGTCTACAGAGGTACGCAAGCCAGAACTTCAACTTGCTCGCTGTACTGGTACATGCACATGTATGTACGGTGCTTCGTCTGTCATTTAATATATTAAAAGCCAAATAATTTTACAACGTCAAACGAGTATTATACCTTACAAATACTGTACAAATGACTTCCACTTTAAAGTCAGTACTTTAGTGTTTGATTTCATTTTGACCTTTTGCCTTTATTGAACCTTGCCTTTTTCAATGTTCTTTAAAGACCAAAAATAATCCTGAAGTTACTGTGGGCCGGTTCAATTTGATCTAAGCTTTGCATGAAAACGTTGAAATCTGAACCCTGTGACATCACAATATTTTGACTATTTGTCTAAACTTACATGGCGACCCAACACACAATTTCTGTACATGTCTGAGAAATAAGTTCAAACTGCCACGATATTTTCAGGGTGAATGTAGACCTCAGTACAGTTACAGGTACAAAGGTACATGTACATTTATTGCAGCAAGGAATCAGGTATCCTGTTGAAGTAAAACAAGCATATCTTGTAGCAGAAATGCATTCCAAATTTCGAAGGAAAAAAGGCCAACCTAAAACTGCATTTAATTTCGTTTCATCCGAAAATGCTCCTACATGCACATGCTAACTACTTTCAGACAACAAAGATAGTTTTAGAATTACTGATGTAATGGGTATACAGGAAGTCTGTTAGGATACTCCATGTTTTGGTTGTATACTTTAACATTTCTCAACTACAGTACACCTACCTGTCAAAAGTGTTTCTTTTTTATCATTGTTATTTATTATCATGTAGTAATTCTTATTTATCTTATCTCATATATTTTTGATTTAGAGTGGAACCAGTTGCAGTTCCACTAAAAATAAAGTCTGTATAACGTAGTGGAATTCGACAACCAGAATTGGAAGCCAAAACTATGGTGGTCCAATGCTCGCGGACAGATTGTGTACATGTATGTAGATGCATTACACACCTCTCTACCAACAGGGTGTCGTTATTTGGTAACGTGCATGTCAAGCTGTTACGGCTTCTAATTAGCTTAGTCCACATGTATACATGTATATATTAGAATCTCGAAAACTCATTCAATTTTCAAAACTTACACAAATCATGCAGACCACTGGATGTTACATGTATGTAACGTCCATGACAGCAGTCGCCAGGTCCCTAATTCTGCCACCTACATGTACATGTATTGTCAAGTCAAGTTGGTTTTCACAGCAAGTGGCCAAAATAAGGGACCTGGCAACTATACCATCATGGACATTACATTAGAGCAACCAACTCCCATAAGTAAAAGTAAAACAACTGGGTGCCAATGACATTCCAGCGTCACTGTACACTCCGCATGCACCCATAAGCCCTACAATTAATAACTTCGTAAATGCAGATAAAAATGTACGTCTGTACATGTATAAAGATGCAAATATAGAGATGGTTTTGTTGCGTAGTATAATGAAGCTGTAAAGAAGGATTCATGGTAGTTACTGCAATTGTGTGGAAGCTGCAAGCAATCAGCTACATCAAGCTGTTTGCATATGGGGCCTATGTACCCGTATTTATAGAGCCTGAAGTTAACCCCTGTTGGCGCGCTTCCGGAACCCTCGGATAGGAAATATAACGTGCAAAGAGTTTTGAATTTATAATAGTTTTTCATTCATTCATTCTTTAAAAATCCAACTCGGAAAAAGGGCTTTGGAAAATATTTGCGAGTACGTGTACATGTATGTCGATTTATAGATAATGAAAAATTACCTGACCTAAAAGAGAAATATCCTGCCAAAAAAATGACCCATTCACATCCAAAAATCTAAAATACGTGAAAAACAGTCCAATGTGGTGGTCTCGTACGCAGATGAATATTTACAGTTTGAAATTTTATAGTAGTCTGTTGGTAAAAGCCGAAATAAAACAGATTAAAATATTTTATGAACGTTTAAATTTATAAGGTAATAAAGTTAAAGCAAAAATGTACTTTTACGAAAGATTCCAATAACCTTTGCTGACAACAACTGCATGATGTCAACTAAATGGGATCCAGAACCCATCGACTGCAGGTAGGGAAATCTTTGCAATGTTGTACAATCTCATGCACGAACAAGGAGACCTACATGTAGGTATGATATCGCAGGACATGAAAGGTCATTAATAAAATTCGTTTTTAACCCATCTCAGGATGACTTTTCCTAAATATCACTTCAGGAAGACAAAGGTAAAATTCCAATGTGAGTATTTCATGGATTGGTTTCAAATAAAACATTATTCTTCCAAAAATTATCCAAAGTGATAGGATGGCCCAATATAAAATCCCCATAGGTGGACCGCGTGAGGGTTCCAGAAGCTGGCTTCATGACCTTTTACTTTCAGGCTCTATTGCCAGCCGCAGCAAAAAAAAAATCTCTGACACCACATAAGGGCTCAGAAATGCTGACTTGAAACAAAATAAGTAACATGGGAAACTGTGCTTGAATGCATTCATTTCAATTTTACTGAAGTCAGAACACTATTGTGGATTAACAGCATTTCAAACAGAAATTGCTTCTGGAGCCAAATACATTAACTGTTACAATTTATAAAAAGGCTTTTATTCCATCGTATGCCTACCTAGGCCTAAGCATAAACAGTACATTATAAGCAAGAAGCACTCGCTCATCCTAGATCAAACACTATTGACAAGCAATAATTCCCAATGAAACAATATCAAAACCAAAGTCATGCCTCAAATCTGTATGTAGTAACAGATGAGTCAGTAATTCTAATTTGTAAACTGGATCTTAAGCAACGAAACATTTTCATCTTATATGACTGTAAAATGTACAGTAAAGTTAAAAAGACACAAAGCACTCCTGTCTATGCATTTCCAAACCCTTCCAAATTTCCAAGACATCAGCCCTGGACACCCAAGACACTACTAGTACAACCCTGTGTAAAAGGTAAATGAAAGTAGGCCTACAAGTACCTAACAGAGTAATGATGAGCCCCTTCTTTGATTTGAGTGACCATCATTCCCTTTCCAATTTGGCCAACACAGCACACACACAACTGCACACAAACATTTCTATCAACAAACATTAAGGAAAACCCCAACTGTTTTTATGTTTTCACAAAGACAAAAAACACATTGTGAATGAGTTGCTCACCGCACGCCAGACACACCACACACAGATAACATGTCCTGTGTAATTCGTGCACTGTTTTCCACCTTTATTCCAAACCGAGATACAACCCGAAACCATTTTGTATTCAGAAGGCTGCCCCCCAAATGACACCCAAAATAACGACTTAATCCCGTCTTCCGAGATCCACCATCCGTGTGACAATCTCCGCGCACATCTATAGAATCCCCCAGTCACAAAAATTAACCCCCATTTCCAGCCAACTTGGACGCAAAATGCAAAACCCGGGGAAGGGAAGGTGCGGGAATTCCGAGTATAAAATTATCCTACCTTCGTCAAACCTCCCCAAGCAGTGACTTTGCTGTACAGCAGATATAAATCCAATTCTTTGCCAGCAATTGTCGGCAAACGATAGAATGGTGTTCTACACAGACAAAAGAGAAAGAAAACAACGCACACTGAATAAGAGAGAACTTGTGGAGAACAATGGCATTGAAAAAAGTTAGTCCCGAAATGATGAATAGAAAATCGAGAATGAAGTAGGGTGGGTAGCATTTTTCGGCTTTACCCTTTCGATGCATGAAACTGGCGAAGCTGGTTGACAAACGCCGTACGCTCCTGCTCGTAACTAAACGGGTCTTTATCCAGGAATTTTGCCATAATGTTGCCCCATGTACTCTCCAGCTCCAGCACCTTTAGGAGAATGAGTTCTGTTAGGTCATCTGTTAATGAATTTCCTGTATGCCAAGTGGCGCATCAGTTTAAATTTCCAACACCAATCTTGGCCACGGAGCTCCGTTCTGTGACAAAAAAATCCACTTCTCGTGCACGTTGTACGTTCCTCCTTGTTGTTAAACCGCTAGCATAGGCTTTTTTCAACCCACAATTTTCCCCCCTTTTTTGCCGATTTCCTCAAAATTTTGCCGCAGGCATGAAAGGACAGTCCCTCCGCTCACCGACGGGCCGGTCAATTTCAAATTCAGAAGACACTTGGTGATGGAAAATAGCCCACGTAGTAGGGTTCAACTGTGTGAAGGAAAAGCGGTCCAAGAAATCCGTAACAAAAAGGACATAAATGAACATGCCGAAAATAGCAATGGCGCTAATAGGGGGTGCCACAATTGAGAATGCACTGAGCCAGTCCAGCAAATATGGCGGCGCCCGGGATATTCAAATTAGGTATGGAGCGCCAAAGTTTTTAAAATAATTTTTTTTAATGATAGATCAAATTCACCTCTTACACCATGACTTGGTTTCCTTCCGTCTGAATATTGTGAACATCTCTATATATTTCGACTGCAAGTGAGGCTCCACGGGCATTTCTTCGAAAATGATCGAAACACTGAAAACAGAACTAGCAGGTAACAGTCGTTGGTTACTAACGCTAATGATAGTTTATGTTGGAATTATCAAGCTGCAGGTAAAACAATAACAAAAATAAAAGCACAAAATAAAAGAATTCTTGTTTACAAAAAAGCTTCAACTTCCATTTTGTGTCCAACTCGAATTTGAGCAAACATCAGGGACACATGGACAAGAAAAAAAATCAATCGGAGAAGAACCAGAATGAATGGATATGTATCTTTTATGTTTCGGCAACGGCTCCAAAATTGTTTCACTTGGAATCTGTACATTTAGGTCAGCCCCACTGCAGGTGATCAGTGAAGTAAACTAAGGCTACTAGTACGACAACAAATTTTAAGAAAATGGAAACTTTTGATTTTAACAGTAAATCGACCAACCACAGGCATTCCTGTTCTTGTGTGAATAAAACAGTGTACCTTGCCAGCCCAAGCGGCCCTTTTCACTTGTAAGTAAATGGATGATTCGAACTGCATGCCAAAATCTAAAAGACCTCCTTTCCCCAACGATTTGGTATAAATGAGTATTGAAATCATATATCCCTTTATATTTAAACAGGAAGAATCACCATCATGTAAAGCAATCATTTTGCACTAACTGAGCCAGCTTAAGGCAATGGCTTGCCTGTTTTCTGACAGCCATACTCAAAAAATTGTACTCCCATCTTTAGCATAACGACCTCGATCTATTTTATTCTTGATGAAAAACGGACTGAAATACGAAGCTACTTTTGAACGTCCAGTAAATATGTTCACTTTTTCTGATATGCTCACCAACTCAGTCTTCGAAATTTCTCCCCGAAACAAACCACAGAATAAAGTAAACATCCCACATCTTAATAGACGGTACACAGTACGGTACGCGCGCGAGGCACTCATGCATAACCACTTCTTATGCAAATTGTGCGCCACGTGCTTTCCGCCGGTTGTAAACAAACCACGATGATTCACCCCTAGTGGCCATGTGTGTGTGATTGTACGTACACTGTACGTACTGTACTGTACATCTACTGTACATGTACGGTACATACATGTCAGAGTCAGTGAATGATGCATGCAGTGGACCTTGTGATTTTTGTACTACGGGAGAAGTCTTCCCTTGAAGGTGGACGATTTAAAGTTGGCGCTAAAAAACGCGCTCTGCACACACGCCATGCCGCACCGTGCGTGCGTTCGACCAGGCACCACGGTCGCTGTCGTAACTCCGGTTCGTTCGTCAAACACAACGCCGATTGCGGTACGGTGCGTGGTGCGGATCTGGAGCAGTCACCTCCCAGTTACTGGTGCGGCAACAGGCATAGTTCATTTGGCTTCTACCTCTGGTGACTTACGCTCTACCTTGACGAGGCCTCAAGAATCGTGGATCAGAACTTTGTCGATTTTTCGCAGCATCCCGTCTTTGCCGCCGTTTCCAAAGTTCCTCCAATATGTCTCAAGTTTCAGTCCTCGGCATCTTCTTCTTGTTGGCTCTTGTGTGCAGCGGGGACGCATGGATGGACTGGTTTTGGAACTGGAACTCCAGCGAAGGGGTCGACCCAGACGTGAAAAGGAACGCGGTAGGTTTGATCAACTATGTCAACTTACGTTTTATGTTACTTTTCGTTAGCACTCCATAATTCCTGACATTATTATTTTTGCATCACACAATATGTCTTATTATTTGGCTTTGAAAGTGTTCCGTACACCATGTACACCCACATGTAAAGGGACATCACTTGACAGCCTGTACTGTACACAAACCCTATAAACAGATGACCATGATAAGACTGGTCTGAAAAATTGTGTATTTTCTTAGTAAATGCTTTGATGTTTTCCCTGGTTGACGTTTTGGGATATGTATCATATGATATGATACGTGATCTACCATTGTCAGGGAAAAGGTAGTGATGTCCGTAGGAATACGGAACTCTTCCCTTTCCCCTTGGGAGTTTCTGATTTTAAAACAAGCCAGCATGTTTACTGAGTAGTGAATTGGTCGATGCCTTCTTTTAATGTATCACGACAGAGGGGTGAGTTGTTGCTCAGAAAAGTAATTCAAAAAGTTTTGATTTCTAGTAGGCCTTCTTCATGTACATGTACATCTAGTGATTCTGTCAGTGACAACACAGATCATTTTTAAAGTGTGGGAAAAAGTTCCATAGACATCACTTATTTAATTTGTCTCTATGGTAAATCGACCATTGGGAATCAATAACATGTCCTCAAAAGTCCAAGGCAGCGAAGAAAATATCGACATATTTACTTGGAGGACATAATTTTTTAGACCAGCCTCATAGTGATTGTGCACAGGGTGTCAGTTAAGTATGGAACTTTTATAAAATGTTTTCCAGAGTTTAATTTCAAAAAGCTTATTATAATTGATAAATCATGCAACTTCCCACGACATGTTCTCCTTGACCTCTCATATGTCTAACTTTTTAACCAGACTCTCAATTACGATTCCTTGAGGCCTCATGCTGAGTAGACTGCCATATTTTTGTTATGCAAGGCAGTTGACCTTTCAAGCTGGAGGGGGAAACATCGAGAAATGAGAATGCTTGCAAGTTTGCCACTTACATTCTCTGATATGACAATGCTAATTTATCTCATTTTGGAGTGGTGATGAGAAAGGTATTCAGTTAATATCACTGATCTTTAATTTTTGATGAGGAAAAGGTCCCAATTCTGGTCAATATCTTGCCCAGACAATTGTACGTCCTTTTCTAGCCCCCTCTCCACAGGACTAGCGGGTTTCATAGGGCACAAAGTAAACTGAGTGTGGTGGAGCCTGTATTTGTGAATTAATTTGTTTGTTTTTCTTTTTTGAAGCCAGTTTATTTTGTGAACTTTTCTTTGGGGCGAGTACCAGGAGAAAAGAAGGCAAAGTTGGTGACGGATTACACAGCCCAAACCTTCCTCAAGAAAGGTTGCCTCTTGATTCCCCTGAAACTACCACCACCCTTCGTACTAACTGCTAGGAATTCACCTGCTGACTTTAAATGGATGAGCCCCACCTTGGCCACCTGTCGCAAGAATTTAGTTTATACAGTCTTGCTGAAATTTTACCCCCACCTGAGCATCCTGAAGGTTGGCAAACTAAATCCTAATTATCCCTCTCCCACCTTCCCTGCATTGGTAGAGAAATACAACAAAGAATTGGCCACCGCCATGGTTGTTTATATTTGGATTTTCCTGGCCAGGTGTTCTGCGTCTAGGATATATCACCATATTTTCGCAACACAACTTTTGCCTATTGTACTATGTTCTGTGCAAAATTGTGTTTAACTTTGATTTTGTTTGAACTTTGTTGTACATATGGATTGTACCTCTAATTGAAAAGCTACCGAGCCCATACAGAGCAGTCTTTGAGTCTTGACACACCGGTACATACAGACCAAAATCAGGTTTTCCCACTGCCTTTGGGTAGAGAAAAAGTAGTTTATGGCAATTTGATGTTTGGGTAATTTCAACATGTAGGACCAGTCCTGCTTCTTAATTCAAACAAACGCTTAAGTGCACTGTGATCATTGTATATATCCTTCTGAACTTTCGTTTTGTGAATGTCTGCTGCTTGTTTGCAGGGGACAACTTCGTGCTCTGACTAACAGTGCCATGTATGTAATCTTCACAACTCAATGACATGCATATTGATAAAATAAAAATAAATGGGTTCTGTGGAATCAGTTTTGATTTAATTGGCTACAGATTCAGAGTCCTTTCACTGTAGTCCAGCCAATGCAGGCGGGGGTCCCCGAAAGAGCCAATCTCAGCACTTGTTCGAGCATTTTTGCAATACCAAAGGTGTACTTTCACTACCAATTTGACATAGAGGAGGGCATGAGCTTACTTTATTCCAAGGCCAAACCTGTTATTGTGTGGGGTTGGGTTTAAATTGATTTAGTCAGGCATGCAAGTGGAGCAAACACAGAGTGATTGAAATCACAGACTGAACTTGATACCAGAAAAATTAGGTTCTCAACTGAAGAAAGCATATAACCGAAGAGCCAGCCAATATGTTATTTCCATATACCAGTTAAGGAGAAACATACTCTGTCTAAAATAGGACATGTCCTTCTACCACTACCAGCAGAAAGTTTAGAATGCTTGTCATAGTCCTCACCTAAAGTGAAGGGTAATTATCAGTTTGATTGTGTGAAACTTGTGTTCAAAATGGTAGTGTTAAAAATCATTGATTTTGTTTGTTGCTCTTACTTTGGGAAGGGAAGAACTGACTTCCCTAGAAAAAAAATGCTAATTCTCACAGTGGTACATGTTCAATTTGATATTTTGTGTACATAACAAAATAAAAATTTGGAAAGAAGATAAAAGTATTTAGAAACTAAACTTTAAAATGCCTCACTTGATATACAAAGACTGCTTGGAACACATGCATGTATACATGTACCAACAGCAAGAAACAGCGGAAAAGTGAACAAAGATGGGTACAAATTTACTACGTGTATTAAACGCATAAATGCCCTGTGATTTCATTTCTCAAGATCATGGACATGAGGGAGGAGTGCTCAGAAATTCACCTTTAACACAAATGTGAAAGTGTTGGCAGTTACAGAGCAAGGGGCAGGTGCAGAAAGTGGAACTCCTTGGAGTTCTCAGTAAAAACAACAAACACTGGAGACCTACAGTGGCAACTGGCCTATAGGGCTAGTGGGTATCAACATATGGACCTCCGTAGAGTCCTATAGGCTGTACAGTACAAGTGTTGCTCTATATGGTACATTTGACATGTTTGGAATACTGTATACATATCCTTGAATTTTATGTTCACCCACCTATGAGAGAGTGCATCTGTTCCAAGCCAAAACCATATTGCATTGGTTAAAAGACACCAAACCAAAGGATGTGCCACTTTTATTTGGGATTCTAATCTGTGTCTCCAGTAATTCAGAGATCATCCTGGTTTGTGGAATGCAGTTTTTTACTACAAATTTTAAAAATCACCCTTGTGTTTCAATTAATTTGATTTAAGGTTTTTTTTTAGTTTTGTTATCTTCAATCGTAATCAGACATGCAACTTTTCCTCAGTCAGCTGGTTTCCTTGTTTTTCACTTCTCACTCCTGCCATTAAATATTGAAAAACATTCTACAAAGTCTAGTACAGATTTGAATTTCGTTGTTTTTGTCAAAGTCCAGATTTCATGCATGGAGAATTTGACGATTTTTTCATGTTTTTAGTTTTTCAGATTTTCATGTACCGTTATTCAAAACTGTGATGTCATTTTAGGTATCATAAAACCTCATGTCTTACTAATTTGTGGAAAAATGACAGCTTGAATCGTTTATATTTTTCCAGCCTTAATCTCCTTTTCCTTGTTGATTCATTGTTATGGAAGTACCTGAAAATAGGCCCAAAAGTCGCCCCTAGCTTTGTCAGAAATATTTTCCATTAGCAAATTTTGGGTTCACAATTTGAACAGAAAAACATAGAAACCGAACAGTGTCTTCCCTAAATGGCATCATAGCAACAGCGCTCTCTGATATCTGGAAATACATACAAATTCTTTGTATGTGGTTTTGTGACTCGTGAACAGAGCGAGCTAATCACCAGCAAAGGTTACCCTTGTGAGGAGCACTACGTAACCACTGCTGATGGCTTCATCCTGGGCCTGCAGCGCATCCCCCACGGCCGCAATGAAACAGCAGACCCATTGCCCTTGACCAACCAGACTGCCAATGCCACCAACCAGGAAACCAAGAAGCGACCTGTGGTCTTCCTCCAGCATGGCTTGCTGTGCTCCTCCACCAATTGGCTGACCAACCTGGCCAATGAGAGCTTTGCCTACATCCTGGCTGATGCCGGGTTTGATGTGTGGCTGGGCAATGTGAGAGGGAATGTCTACTCCAAGCGACACACCCACCTGAGTCCAGACTCGGATGAGTTCTGGGATTGGAGGTCTGTTGCTCAATTGATTTATGGTCCTTTCACATTGAAAAGTGTCCAGGGAAGCCCAATTGTAGCTGGTTCCTGCCTTCTCTAAACTGGCCAACTCATGCTAAGCTGATTACCCAAATGACTAGCTAGTACTTATTTGCTACTTCACTGATTGGCTGGTTGGCCATTATCACATGTCTCACTTGTTGGATGACTTGGCATGGGCTCCCTGAGGACTAGGCTGAAGAGAGGGCTGGATGAGGTATGACTGGAATATAAGCACTGCAGGTGTAACTGCCTTTATTTGATTGGATGGTTTAATGGTCAGCAGGACAATTGCTTGAAGGTCTATTGGACTGTTGTCAAGATTCTAACTTTATAATGAGAAATCTGGGGGTTGGGGCTGCTTTAGAAGAACTGGCTGTATAGATAACCAAGTTATAGGTAAGGGAACACAAATGGTTACATTTTGATAGACAAGCAAGCTTGACTATTAATTTATGTGTACTTGTAATTTTGCTTAAGGGTGTAATAAAAGTGTTCATGCTGACATTTGGTGAGAAAGAATAATTGAGTAAATAAATTCAGATTTACATGTAAGACATATTTTTGGGTGCAGCTGGGATCAAATGGCCGAGTTTGATCTGCCAGCCATGGTCGACCTGGCCCTGGAGGTTAGTGGTCAAGATCAGCTGTATTATGTTGGACACTCCCAGGGGTCACTCATGGCATTTGCTGAACTGTCCAGGAACAAAGAACTGGAGAAGAAGGTAAAGTCTAGAAGGTAGACTGGGAGGTTGAAGTTTTAGAAAATAGTTTTGCCATGTGAATAAAGCAGAAAACAGCAGGAAGAGAAGATTCGCCTAAATCAGATTGAAACCTCTAGCTTTGTTGTTTTTCTGTTGGTTAAGTATCCCTCCCCTTTCCCTGTATTTCTTCTCTAACACAGTTGTGCTCAGAAGAAACCTGGAATACTGCCTTTAATAAACTTTTGTTTGGGCTTTGTTCACATTATAGATAAAAATGTTCTTTGCCCTTGGCCCAGTGACAACCGTTGGTCACATGACAAGTCCCCTGAGGTACCTGTCAACTTTTGTTCCCGAAATTGAGGTAACTGAACATAAGAACGTACAGTACTTGTAAATTAAATGTGCTAACTTAAGCATTATGGATCCTTTAAGTGTAATGGTTTCTTCCACAATTAATTAAATTCCTGCACTTGTTTTCTGATAGTCGTTGGAATTTTAAATCCAGGAGTAATGAAAATCGGACTATATTTCTCTCTAACCACATCCAGTTGCACTTTGAATACAGAGTATTTGACAGAAGCCAGCTTAAAACAAACATCCATTTTTAAGTTTGGTAAAAGGATGAAAACAACTTTCAATTTCCAAGCTTCCTGTGGGGCTATGGTATATGTCTTCTGGTTAGAAAATAAGAAACACCCTTTTTAACTTTACAACTTGTTTTGGTTTGGATGAATGACTCTTATGGTTACGAAAACAACCGACACATTGACGGAAATGACAGTTCTTGCTGCACATACTCGGAGTGAGAGACTTCATGCCATCGTCCAAGATCACCCAGTGGCTGGCAGCCGACATCTGCTCCAGCTCAACTGATATATGGTGCGAAAACATCGTCTTCGTTCTTTGCGGCTTTGACAGGGCTAATCTGAATGAGGTAGGAGTCAAAGTGTTTCTCTTGTCTGTTGGTCAGGCTGTCTTCCTATCTTAGCATGCTGTTTGCTTTTAACTTTCTAACTGTTAATAAGTCACAAGGAGATCCGAATAGCTGACAAATCTGAATTTAAGAGAGAGCTAAGAAACAAAGATTCAATATCCGCACAAGCTTGCAACCTTCTCAGTACCCTATCAGTGCAGTGCTCTAGTATCTTAGCTCCTCAGTCTCGTGTTGCTTGTCTATTAATTTAGACTAGATTTCTACTTGGTTTATTACGCATAATGTATGCAGTATTTGTCAGTATCAAGTCTGTTGGCTCAAATATCGAAATAAAAGTCTTTATTTAGAATCAGCCAAATCAATTGTGTGTAGATTTTGAAACTGCTCCGAACATATTCACATTAACTTATTATTAAGTCTTTGTGCTTTCCCTCTCTTCTGTTACAATTGTATTTCCATCTGCTGTCTGTCTGCTTACAGTCCAGAATGCCTGTGTATTTCGCCCATTCACCTTCTGGAACATCAGTTCAGAACATGATCCACTTCGCCCAGGTAATCCACAAAGCTCTGTATAAACAGAAACCTACAAGAAAAGGAAGTCATGTGTAGGCTTAATTGAGGCACTAGGAAAATATGTGTTCATGACATTTTCTTTTGATTTTTTGAAACAAATTTAATTGCACCTGTATTGGTTTTTAGATGGTGTCCTCCGGGGAATTTCAGATGTACGACTACGGCACCAAAGGGAAGAACATGGCACAATACAACCAAGTATGTAGCCCTGAATTCAGCTCTTTCTGAAAGTTTTGCTCCTTCTTGAAAACATGCAGAAAACGTCATGGTTCTTCTGGTATCACTAGATGGACATCGGAGGCATTGATTGGATAAACCTATTTTCTACATGAATTTTAATCCACTCTGTTGAATATTTCATAAAAAGTAATGTCCAACTCCACCATTTTGACCTTGGAGGTTAATTGATTGCCTTTGAAACTCCTTCAAAACTATTCAGTTCAGTACTCAATAAAGGATTTGTTGGAGTTGGGCCCTTCTTTCAATGAGGTATTCAGTTGTACCACTTTACAACTCATGCACCCAGCTGGATATGTGGGTTGCCTCCCAAGCTGTTCAGATTTTCTAGTAATGGATTAAAGGTGAAGTTGTTCACTTCGTAAATGGAAGGTATGCTATTTATGACTTACTTGCACCCCTAGACAAACAAATGGACAACTGGGGCCTGGCAAAATAGTGCAATTTAGTTGATAAACCTCTGGCATGCATGATGGGCATGTACTGACGTTTGCCAGTCCAATCCTGCTGCAGTGAGATCTTGGTGCACAATCTAAAATCAGTGTGAAGAATTTGTTTCCTTTGATGTTGGACTGCTTCATCCATTTCAAACATCAGGAATTTATAGCAAAATCAGGTTTTTAATATTTGGGCATATAGTTTCAGTCTGAATCAGCTTTGTCAAGTTTAAATTTAGAGATTAAATGGAGGAACGACATTACACTTAAGACTTGAGGGCAAGGCTAGCATGTGTAGTCACTTGAAATTGTGACTGAATTTAGCGACCGATTCGGGGTGCAGGTTGAATAGGTCGGTCACTAAACGTCTTCACTCACCTTTTGCTTGTGGACAGACCACTCCCCCGCTGTACTACCCGGAGAACATCAATGTCCCTGTAGTGCTGTACTGGGGGGGCAATGACTGGTTGGCCGACCCTAAGGATGTGCAGCTGCTCATCCCCAGGCTCAGGAGCCTCTGGCAGAACGTCTACATCCCGCAGTATGACCACCTGGACTTCATCTGGGGCACCGACGCGCGCCACTGGGTCTACGAGCCCATCATCAGGACCATCCAGAGGGAGGAGAGCCCAGAGATCTTGGAAGAGGATAATGATGAGTCGTCTTCCTCCGTCAGTGAGGTGATCCTGGAGTATTACAAGAAGATTGAGGAGATGCAAAATGCGAACGAAAATGCTACAGATGCAATTTAATATCTTCCTCTACACTGTTTCCCACATTAGTAACCCCCCCATGAGTTTTCCTATATGTCATTCATATATATACATGTATAGATCAGTAGATTAGTTTAAATCAAGTGGAAGTCTTTTATAAGTGGCCCTGTCATCAGTTAGCCTATCTGACGATCCTATCATACTTCTTGTACCTGTGCTTCCAATGTGTGCTTAAGAGTGAGGTGGCCTTGTGGCTAGTGTTTATGGCTCATGGACATAGAGTCAGGGGTTGAATCCAGCTGCTGGATCACATCTTGTGAATTGAGACAAGTCGTTTCACTCCCACTTGCCTCTCCTCACCAAGGAGTATAAATGGGTACTGGTGAGGACAGAGCTGGCTGTATATGTTTGATCCGGGGGTTTGGGCCAGAAATGGCAGCATTGAGCTGCCTACTTCCCAGGGAGCTGAGATGGTTTAGGAATGTTTATGGCCCAGTGAGTAGGGATAATAATAAGCACTTGGTATCACCTGGTAATTTGCTGCTATATAAATACAGTCCTTATTGTTATTAAGGAAAAGAGATTGTTTTCTATTTGTTGAGAAGAATTGTACATACCAGCTACAGCACAACTTTGTAATCTTGAACAGTTGTCGAGACTTAAGTTCCCACCGATTTATAAAATTTATTATAAAATACTGTTAATTCTTGCCAATTTTGAATTTATGCAAAACTTAGCTCAGCTGTCTCGTGTAGGCCCTGCATTGCCAACTTCTGTGTTTGACATGGGACCGCAAAAATAGTTCCAAGTGTGCCGCTCGCCAAGATATTGTAACTAATGGGTTTTCCTGGTCAAGTCAAACAGTTTAATAATATGTAGGAAACTCTTTACTTGTAAGTCCAACTCACTGTTTTGAAAAGCAACTCGTAGTTTGATCTTGTAGCTTTCTACCAGAGGCTTACAAAGTCGCAAGGGTTTTCGGTGTTACCTAACAGCAACTAGTTTTATAAGAACCAGTATCAAGAACTTAATTATGTTACCTTTTCTAGTGTCCAGTTTTATTTTCTTCAAACTTGAAGGTTCTTCAGTCTGATATATCAAACGGCAAATGTTCTCTTTGGCTGTTATGATGTCTCCCACACCGTTCTTAATTGCAAAAATCAAAGAGTATATTTTCCTTTACCTTCAGTCAGTCTTGACAAGTGACAGTCCTGCCTCAGTGCCTCCCGTAGGCTGTCAGAAGAAGAAGGAAAAAAAATCGAGAATTGTTTACAGTATCACTGTCATTGCTATTTTCAAATCCACAGCCACTTATGTGTAAAACCGGTGCCCCGATATGGTGCCACTTCTCGTGGACACGAGTACTTCCAACCATGAAAGACAAGAACAAATGTCGAGGGTTGTCAGTTGCTGTGAAAACTTGTCAAAAATGCCATCAATTTTGAACAGAAAAAAAAATTCAAGACTATAAAGTCATTCAAAAAATTGTTTACTTGTAATTTTATTATTTTAGTCATCTTATAATAATGCATAATTTTGAATTCACCATGCTTAAGATTGATTTTAGTCTAATCCGTCCCTTTTTGTATGCATGTGCATGTACTCCTATGAAACTTGTTAGTAACGTTTTGTGTTACTGAAAATAAAATAATAAAATAAAGTTACGACCAGGGTTTGTCCCCTGGTCGCAAGTTTATCATTTTCAAATTGAAGTTTCTTAAATGTTCAGATTTGAAGCACTTTCTAGTCGATCGCAAGTTCTAATATCCTTCTCCTATTCAGAATCTTCGCTTGTTCTCCCAACTTCTTGCTGATCACGTTCCCGGGATTGCCCTGGCGTAGCTCTCGAATTAATGTGTTAGTCGTGGTGAAATTCCGTCAGACAACGTAGCGCGTGCAGTGTCATCGATGATGAAGCCTGGAACTTTCACTGCAATGCGCCCCGGCCTCCCGCGTACCGTCTTTAATGAAGCAAATTTTCGGGACAGGTCGGCTTGTGTTCGTGGCGGTCGAAGCATGTAGTCTAATACAAGCTATACGGAAAGTTGACGGACAAAAAAACGCACGGAGGATGTGTTGGAGAGAGCGGAGGAAAATGCTTACAAGGCCATTTCATCATTGTTTATTGAGGTGTGGGGACTTCAGGAAATACTTCGATGTTTACTGTCATATTTTTTACCTCCTGGTTCGCTTCATTTTAACCAGTATGGAGTAGCTGTAGCTACGAAAGCTTATGCAGAGTTTTACTTTAATAGTTAGTCAATAAAGTGCTACTGATTCTTTATATTTGTAGTCTACCTGACTGACACGGCTACCCACCACTACATTTGGTCGTTCACATTGAGAAATAAAAGACAGATTGGACTGAGTTTGAAGGGCCCGCCAAGGGTCCACAGGGTATCAATTACTGACCGATTATCGACCCAGTAACCGACAAATTTACGACCGCGATAAGAGCCACGAGCTTGGCAGCAAAATGTGCTCAGAAATCAACTTCCTTTGCGCACCTCTTGGATCTAAGTGGAATCACTGCCTAGACCTTATGAATCATAAAAAGTCAAAATCCACAATCCCAAGTTCACCAGTTAATTTAAATAGTTCCATTTTAATTCTCGATATAAAAAGGGCGCCCTCTATTGGCCGGGATTAGAAAAACCATGTACATTTTCTATTGGGAAAGTTTTGGTGTTGCTTGCTGAAATAGGACCGAGTGTCTGCCGAGGTAGTAAACCTTGTCCTAAAGTGTCGATTGCAATGTATCAGGTAGATTTATCAAAATTCCATTCCCACTGAAGTTTTCTCACTCTTCTTTAGCATCAAAGTCTTTATTATATTGAAAAATGTATTTCCTTGTTAAATTAAGTTTTGAACATGCATAGTACACGGGTTTTTTTTTCATTTATTCTTTTATTCGGTTGTGGTTGTACTTGTACTTCATAAA